GTGAGAATGTATCTATTTAAAAAAGAGACACATAATCCTATTCGGAAAAGGGGATGTTCTTCTTGTGCTTTTCGTGTTTAGTTGCAAAGAGACAAAACAAAAGGAAGGCAGCCAGGAGAAAAAAATTTAAAAATGGGCCTGTGTCGCACAACCCCTCCCTCTCTTGAATGATTCTCTTGGTCTACTTTGACTGAAAATTGAGTAAAGGAAAAGAGATTGGCAATAGGGAAAGGATTGCTACAGTAGACAAAAAGAAAGGAAAAATAGGCAAAGCAAATACTCAACCTAGATTTGTCTTTGGTTTCTGAAGCAAGAAGACAAATTGCTCTCAATGTGGCCCACGGCAAGACACCTCCTTAATCTGCATCCAAAAAGAGAAGTCAGCCACATGGATCAAAAAAATTGAAATAGAAGAAGAGAAGAAAAGGAGGATTATGGGTTTGTGGGTTACTGTGTGAAATCTCATAAGGAAAGAAACAATTTGTTGCTTCTTTTGATGATGCAGCAGATGTCTTGGGGAAGTCTACGGGCTGGTATGGAAAAGCAAATATATCAGAAGCTATCGCTTTGTTTGCTGGTTCCTTAATGTTGCGGTGCACATGTCCTTTTAAAGGAAATTTCATATTGCCTAATCCTGTATGGACAAGGGGCTTACAGCTTTCTTGGATCCTCAAACGGTTCCAATGCGATAAGGAGGCTAATTCATACTTCACTTGGAGAAGGATTTTTATCCTTGGGTGTTTTGATCAAATTGAAAGGCATTTGCTTTTGGCACCAAGCCGTAAAAGAACCAATTGGAGCAAAGGCACTAATCAAAAATTAATTGGGACTAGCGTAGTGCACATCTCTCTCAAGACCCAATGATCTCAAGTCAATATTCCAAAACTCAACGGTCTAAAATACAACGTTCTCGTCTCAGGCACAATGGGATTGTCCATTAAAAATTCCAATTGGTGAATAATTTGTGCAAAGACCAAATTCTCAAACCAAAGCTTGAAGGGTCCAACTTTCTCAAATTACTTTGCTGGAAGATTGGCCTGCTAAAATATGAATATGGTTTGAATACTTTGGGTTGTTCTTTATTCTTTTTCATAAGGAGGTATATATATTTTTCTCAAAAAGGAGGTATATATAGGAGTTTACATATAAGGGTTTTAAAAGAATTAGGAAAGTATCTCCTAATTGTACAATGATTTTATCACTTATATATAAAATAGGAAAGTAAATCTCTTAATTAATCAAGGAAGTAAATCTCCTTGATTAATTAGGAGACTCATGTCAACACTCCTCCTCAAGTTGGTGCATATATGTCACGAATGCCCAACTTGGTAAGTGAGTCATGAAATACTCTTCTACACTCACAGCATATGCAATATCTGATCTTGGAGGACGTATGAAGAGTAGAACATTTGTTGGTGGTGATAGAAGAAGGAGTCTGGGTTGACCACATGCTTTTGTGAGTCTGCAATAAGATGGAGAATCGTATGGGTTCTTGACATCGCAGCAGAAGTAAGATGTGATATGAGAAGGTGAGAAAGGTGATGTGAGAAATTTGCTGTATGAATTTGATGTAGGAATTGGATTTAAGAGGTATGTGTATAAGATTTGATGGTATGTGTTCAGGGATTTGGATAAGAGGATTTGAGGACTTTAGATTTGAGGGATTTGGATTTGGGGAAAAATATAAGAAATTTGAGATAAGGGTTTAGAGACAAAACAACTTCTCTTGACTTCTCCCCTTGAAGAGAAGGGGTCGTCAGAGTCAAGAAAATAAGCAACATCTTCTTGAGAAAGAGAAACATATCCTTTTCACTCCCCCTTCCCCCTTTGAAGAGGAGGGGAGGAGAGCACTTAAATTGCAAAAAGAACGCACCAACTTAATCACCTGTTTAGCAGGTGTGGGGTTTTATACAAAAGACCCCAATGTTATTAGGAGTGAGCCAAGGGTTCGTTCCTTTGAAATCTTAACATGGTATCAGAGCGGGTCGGTTGACTAGGCCTGATTAAACCCAAATCAAACAAAAAAACCCCAAATTGAATCAAAAATCAGACAAACCCAAACAAAATTAAAAAATAAAAAAAAAAAAAAAAAAAAAAAAAAAAGTGATGTGGAATTGGTTGCACGTGTGGCCCACTAAAAAGTGGTCCCATGTGAGGAGGAGTGTTGAAGAATACACGAGTCCCACATCGGAAACTTAACAAAATAGAAAATCCCATATAATAAATGGTTCCACTCCTAATAACATCGATACCTTTTGTATAAAACCCCACACCTGCTAAACATGTGATTAAGTTGGGGACAATATCGATGTTACTAGTGGTGGGCCAAGGGTCCGTCCATCTGAAATCTTAACATGGCCTATTTACCAAATATCTTTAAATGGTTTTCAAGTATCATGGCAATTTGAAGAACCCGAGGAGATTTGGTCCACGTCAGATGGCAACCCAAATGGTCAAATCTTATGGAATGAACACATCTCACATGAATCAATGGAAAGGGGCAATCAACAATTAGCAGGCTGACAAAACTGGAGACATTTAGTTTCAAACTTCGACCAGATAAATTATCAAGAATTGTTCCCTCCAAGCAAATGGTTTTCAATTAGCACTTGTTCCTAAATCAAAGGCATGAACAAAGCCTCACCGTCAAACAAAACAAGGTCTTGGACTTGGCGGTGTTCTTTATTAAGTTTTCAAGTTGCTTATTTAACTTAGAAAGCCAAGATGGCAAAGATGGACATTTCACTCTCAGGTTTGCAAGATAAGTCACCATGGCAGAAGCAAAATTCCATTGTCAATAACAATTGGGGAAGTGGCAAAGAGTGTCAGCAAAGGTTCACGAGAAGTATATCAATTGAGGGCCAGGAGGCTCAATAAAATGTTTATGGCATTCGGTTCTATTTGCCTCGATTCTCAAATGCAAGATGGCTATCAAACATGCCCACAAAATCCCAACAAGAAATATGGGAATCAACCACTGTGGCAAGGAAGCTATTTAGAAAGGAGTCCTAAGTGACTCAACCATATTGTGATGGTGACTCCAATCCAAATAAATGATTGGTCATGCCCCGAGCATCAAGCTCAATTTCAAAAGATACCAAAGGAACATCAATATGGATTAACGGGTTTATCAATCACAAAAGCCCATTAATTTCAAATCCTTCAAATCATGCATGGATACAAATGCATGTGCCAATGATCAAATTAAATTAGTGGGGTTCATCAAAATTGCCCATTAGTTTTCTTTGTGTTTGGGCCACAAATTGGCATGCCCAGCCCAGCAAAAATTAGGCCCAGAATGAAGCTGCAAAAAATCAAAGAGAGATGGAAGCCCAAAAGCCAGAGGAGACCAGCCCAAGACTCATCAAAGTAAACAAGGCTAATCTGGGCCTCACGGGCCCAATATAAAGGGGAAGCCCAGAAATAGGGACAATCCCACGTGATATCTCTGAAAAAAGAAAAAGTCAGCAATGGCAACTGTCATAGGAGAAGTGATTGAAGGGTTCATAGCATCAAGATCGATTCTGGAAAAAACTGAAGATCAAATCCCTCTTACACATATATATATATATATATATTCAGAGATTTTTTTCTGTCTTTTCAGAGAAGGTAAAACTCCCAAGGAGATAAGCAAGTTACAATCTCAGAGAGGGATAAGCAGGAAAGCAGGAAGCTGTCCAGAAAAGAATCAAACTAACCATCACGGGCAAAATATCGCAAGGGGCAGTTGAAATTAGGCAAGAGATTTCAAAGAAAAAAAACAGGGAAGTGATTGCCTATCTGTTGAGAACCTATCTACCAGAAAATGATGAAATCCCCTTTTTCTCTTTTCCATTTTTAAAGGAAGATCTTTTGAAAGGATTTGCCGCCCATTATTAAAAGAATTACCCTCCTCCAGAAGACATTTCTTATAAATATGAGAAGGAGTGAACAGGGCAAAGGACACACAATCAATCTTACAACAAAAATTTCATCACTCAACCAAACAAAGGTCCTACACAGGTAAACCGTCACATAAACAAGCTCAGAGTTGACCAACAAGTCCACTTGAATTTCAAGTGAAAAACCAGTCCCAGATCAGAATGCCCAGAATCCAGACTTAGGAAGCAAGTCATTCAAAACGAGATTTCTCTCGTTACAAATTTGGTTCAGCAAAAACCAACACAAGCAGAGTTTGAGCCTCCTCCAAGTATGGAAAACCCCAGCCAAATTCACGGAATAGCCTCTAGCTCACCAACGTCCTCAAGAACAGCCACTTCTGCCCTTTCAGACTGAAGAAACCGCAGTTCTGCCTACTCAGAAGCTTCGCAAAAGCTTGGGGTACATTAAAGCTCTGCCAGAATCAACCTTTGGCATCGATTTGTAGTTGAAAATCGGGCAATCAGAGTTGTCTACGATCCAGTCCAGCCCAGACATTCCCAGTCCAGCCCATCACAGAGCCTCCCATCCAGGCAGAAATGGAGATCTAGCTATCTCTTTTATCTTTTTGGCATCGACATGTATTTTTGTAGTCTTGTAAAAGGCACTTCCGCCCAAAAACAGCTTAAATTTCATCAACTATTCTGGCCAGAACAACCTCTTTATACTGAGATAAATTGTTAAAGTCCTCACCAGTTTGAGGCAAGAAAAGAACTTACTTGGGAGATATTCCTCACCCAAATTCACAATCGTTTGTTTAGGAAATCAGTAACTTGGGGCGCAAGTTATCCATTCCAGACTAAGTCTGCTAGACTGTTCATTACTAGCAGTGGCACGCTCGCACACCAAAGAAAGCTGACTTGTTGACCAGTCTATGGTTCTCAAGGCAGTGGGGAACTTTGCCCTTCCATCATAGGAGTAAACACAAAACGGTGAACACTTTGATATTGACAATGAAAAATAGTACAAAACCATCCAATTTTTCCCATGGGTTATCTACCTATGAAAATCTTCAAATCATCTCAAAGACACAAATTTTAAATTAGTCGGCCACACTTACCCATTAATTTCTAAATTTGGAACTACGTCAGTTTGATCCCGTCAATGGTACGTAGGCAGTCTAGCATCCCAATAGACGCAACAGCAATCAAATTTGAATCCCTGATTTATCATAACCAAAATTAGTCACTGCAAATGTCATTTTTAGAAAAAATTAGTAGGTTAATCAAAGTTGCTCATTATTTTTCTTGGACATTGACAATAAGAAGAATGGTACAAAACCATCCAATGTTTCATGGGTCATCTACCCATGCCAACTTCAATTCAAATTTCCAAACACAAGTTCTTGATTAGTGGGTCACACTTACCCGTTAATTTCCAAATCTTAAATCCGAACAGAATCCCTGGTTTATTTCTTTAACCAGATTCGCCCCCCAAACACAATGTCATATCAAAATCGAATCCCTAGTTTATTCAGCTGAATTCACTCAAACACTTTTTCAATCAAATTCATACAAATCCCCTTTTTTCAATGAGTCACTTACTCATTGCAAATCTTTGAACTACAAGTGGCTTGATTCCTGCGAAAGATACGTAGGCACCCTGAGGTTGGACTTGGGAGCAGCTGCAAAACCAAAGACACATGTTCTGTTTCTTTATGATTGAATCAAATGGTGTTCCCTTGAAGGAAGGGATTATAATTTAAGAGACTTGCGTCTTGAACTCGTCGAACCTAAAATAATAAAAACCCATTATTTAATTAGTAGAGGTGAAATTATGTTGTGAGGTTCACAATTTTTTTTTCTCTCCAACAGAGCCTCTTTCAAGCGTTATATCTACGGACATCCACTCACAAGATATAATGCGAATTGAAATTTGAAAGACAACTGAAAATTTCATAGCAAAGTGGCCAACCAGCCAAGTTCAATAAGAAATAAGGTGGTCGACTGAAGACCACTTATTCAAAAAAAAAAATTACAAAGTTCAAAAATAGCAAAAAGGGACCACATCTACTAAGGGACTTCGGCATATGACCCTTAGCCGATCACACCCTTTGCTACCTCTTGATCAACCACACAGACAACAGCCTCATTCTGCTCAATCAGCACCATCTGTTCTACAGCCCCAGTTGCATGCTCTTCTGCATCTGCCCTAACCTCATCAGTTGCAACACATTTGGCAGTGTCTTCCTTCATTGCAACTTTGTCAGCTACCTACTCTTCAACTGCTTCTACATCCATAGCATTGATTTGCTCACTTTGAGCAAGGGGCAGATCAAGATAGAGCTGCTCATCATCTTTATGTTCGAGAGGGAAATAAGGAGAAGCACAATTCATACAGTCCAAATATCCTAGCTTGTACGCATTAGCAGCAATCTCATTCTTGGATGCCTCTGTGGCTTCAACATGAGTTTCCAACATGACCAATAGAGTTATCACCAACTCCCGAATCGGTAGTTCGAGCAACTGAATGACTCTTTGTTTGAGTAGACGACTCTTTAGCTCTCTTGGTCACAACTTGCAACATTAAGTCAGCTCCACGCTTAATTTCTCGTGGCCTCGCAGACGAGTCATGGTTGCTATGCAGAGGTACAGTCATCTCATTTTGATGGCACTGACGACCCAAATCTTTCTTCTCAACGGCCTCCTTACAAAGCATATCACAGGTTTTGGGTAGTTCGGGTGGAGACTTGAGCATAATATCCTGGACCTTTTGCATGCCATTGACCTTTTTACTGCTTGCACTGATGAGGCACTTAATCCCGACAGATGAGGCAGGAGCAACTCCCATAGGGACCTTCTCAGCTGACGAAACCCCCCCTAAGGAAGACTTGCTCGTGGCAAAAAAGGTCTCGGCTGCTTTCACTAAGGGACGAATCCCTTGATCTTGAGATTGTAGCTTCATCGCAAGTGAATTTACTGCTAGCCTTCCTCTCCTTCGGGAGCTCGGTCGAGAACTCCTCCTGCTCAGCTGGCATATCATTTAGGTCCGAGCCATACAGCTTCCATCTTCCAACATCTTTGGCAAGAGGCAGACCACCAACCTTCTTCCAATGTTCGCTTAGCAATTAGCGCCATTAGAGTTCCATTGTATTATAAATATGACCTCCTACAAGGAGAAGAATACACATAAAACAAATATTCTCATATTAGGTTTCATATTTTAGCACATATAGTATGCAGAACAAGTTACTAATTTGTATTCTATGACCTTAATACATATTCGGATCTCCATCAAAACCAATTTCATCATAGGGAATTGCCAAAACTTCATTTACAAGAGCATATTAAAGCAACTGGCTCACAAGTGCCCACTTCCTCTCTTCCATCCGTACAAATCTACCAATAACAAAACACAATGCAGTTTCATTAACTATCTCAACAATTCTCCCTAACCTCAATCCATTATCATTTTGCTTTCTTGGATGATAATTACAACATCAAACTTCTATAGTGCGTTTAATGTATTGATTTTATATATATATTTTTTAAAGTTCAATAATTTCATCAAACAAGTCCCTTTGACTTTGCCAAAAGCAAGTGTCAAATGTGGTCATGAAGTAACGTAGTTTATATGATTTAATATATATTTTGTTTATATAAATACTATAGAAATTGTAAGAGTACAAAAACAATGATCATTAGATTTTTAGCAAATAGATATAGCTAGCCCATCCATTGAAAAATTCATGGTTCTGCCATTCATTGTAAAATGCAGAAAATAATACAAATAAATGGCACCAAGATTGTACACAATTACTCGTTTACTTTGATCACTATATTGAGTTTTCTTCTTTCTGTGTTTTGTTGGAACAAAAAAACAAAAACAAATAAACGAAAGAGAGAGAGGAAAAATTGGTGACATGATTGCTCTAGACCTGTCAAACGGATCGTGTTTGTGGGTTTTGAGTCGTGTTTGTGTTAACCCATTAAGTTAATGGGCTGACACGACACGACCCGTTAGTTAATAGGTGAAAAATATCATACCTGAACACAACCCGTTATAATTCGCAAATTACACGACATGACCCGTTAAGAATTAAAAAACTAAATAAATAAATAGACTAGAAAAAAAATAGCAAGAGAACACTCCTGGGAACCAGAGCATAGCTCTAGCCAATTTCATTGTCATGATGTGGAAAAATCAACGAGCTAAACTCAATACATAATTATAAATATCAAAAAATAGGAATTCCCCAATACAACAAGTTAACCATAAACTAATATTCAAACGAATTCCAAACAAAACAAAAGCTTCATATGGGCCGTCGATGATGTTAATATCTTCCTTGGGAAAGAGATTGATGGCTCTAACAAGCTCTTGCGAGTGTACGGAGGCGAAGCTAGACCTAGCGTGGGAGAGTTCGTGATTCATATCTAGACATGGTTGGATTCCTCTTTCTTCTTATTCCTTTTTCTACTTTCTTTTCCTTCTGCCGCCGAAACAAAACTGAAGAAACTAGCATTGTCTAGCATAAGAGACTAGTGTAGAGGATGAAGTTTCGGTCTTTTGGTTAATGAAGCTTCAATCTTCTACTTGTCTGCTTTTGCACATATTAATATTATATTAACTTACCAACCACTAGATGTGTATAAATCAGAAAGCAATTAGACAACATTAAAACAATGCATACAGCCAAGTGCGTAAAGGTGGTTTCTTTGAAAATGTGTTGGTAGGGGTTCGAATCCCTTCTTGGATTCAATTATTTTCACTTTTTTAAAGAGAAACTCATGTAAAATTACAAAAATACCCCTGCTATTAATGGGTCAACGGGTGATTCACAAATGACACTAACACAACCCGTTAGCTTAATGAGTTAACCTATTATCAACCTGACCCGATGACTCAAACCTGAATACTGAATTTTTTGTGTGAATTCGTGTTGTGTTAACGGATCGTTACAAGGTTTAGATTGCTCAACTGGAGGAAGAAGAGAGAGAGCAGTGGAGAAATCTTGAGAAAATGAAAAACCCACAGAAAAAAAAAATTTATCTGCAGAAGCACAAATCTATTTCTTTCGTTTGGTGGGGCTTACTTCAACCATTGGATGTTCCCAGAGATTGAGATTACAACCACCTAACTTTTTTTTGGTTAAAAAAAAGGCTTAAATGTTAAAATGGTCCTTGTGTTTTATCTCATAGGCCAATTAGTTCCTATGTTATCAATTTGGCCAATTTGGTCCTTGTGTTTGTATATGTTAGTCAATGTGGTCCATTCTCTTAAAAATATAAAATATAAAATATTTTAAATTAATTAAAAAAACTGTAATTGATTATAAATTTTTTAATTCAATCTGAAAATGAAATATATACATATATATATATATATATATATTAATTTCACCTTCCCAAATTTCATGCACATGCCTCAGCCACCCTCACCACCACCACTCCAACCCCAAACCCATAGCCACCCTCACCACCATTCCAACCCCACCTAAACCACAACAACTCTCTCTCTCTCTCTCTCTCTCTCTCTCTCTCGGCTTCCACTTTGACAAATCACGAAGATCTTCATAGCCAGTCACCGTAACCTTGATGGCTCTACCGCCAATTGATCATCCTCGCTGCAATAAGTCGACGACATTCATGCCAATGGATCAAAGAGGAGAGAGAGATGAAGGGTAGAGTATGAGAAAATCTAAAACATAGAGAGAAGAAAAATTGCAGCAAGAAAAGAGTAGGCATCAATTTGACTAAGAATCTTTTTTTTCCCCTACAGGAATCGATACCATTGGAGGTTGAGGCTGTGTCATTTTAGCATTATTATTATTTGAGTTTAAATCTTTATAATTAATTACATATTTTTAAATTAATTTTAAATATCTTTTTTTAAGGTTTTAACATAATTTTGACGGAAATGATCAAATTTGTTAACAGATACAAACACAAGGACTAAATTGACCAGATTAATAACACAAGAACTAAATTGTACAATAAGGTAGAACACAGGGACTAAATTGACCAAATTAATAACACGGGAGCTAAATTGTCCAATAAGGTAAAACACAGGGATCATTTCGTCATTTAAGCCTGAAAAAAAGGCCATTTTGCTATAAAGGTGAAGATATAAATCCCTACATCTCCTTTCGCCCACAACCCTAAACCCTCTCAGTCCAGCCGTCGCTCTTCTCCCTTCTCCTTCTCATCCCTTCTCACAGAACCATGGCAGAGAGACCAGCAGAGAGAGGCCGGGGTGGGTTCGGCCGAGGCTTCGGCGGGCGCGGAGGTGACCGCGGCCGTGGAGGAGGCCGACGCCGCCCCGGGCGCCGCGAGGAGGAAGAGAAGTGGGTCCCAGTGACCAAGCTCGGCCGCCTCGTGAAGGAAGGCAAGATCAAGAGCCTGGAGCAAATCTACCTACACTCTCTACCCATCAAGGAGCACCAGATCATCGATGCTCTTGTCGCCTCCGGTAGCCTCAAGGATGAGGTGATGAAGATTATGCCGGTCCAGAAGCAGACTCGGGCCGGTCAGCGAACCCGATTTAAAGCCTTCGTTGTCGTCGGCGATAGCAATGGGCACGTCGGGCTCGGAGTCAAGTGCAGCAAGGAGGTGGCCACTGCGATACGTGGTGCGATCATATTGGCTAAGCTGTCTGTGATTCCGGTGAGGAGAGGGTACTGGGGTAACAAGATTGGGAAGCCCCATACGGTTCCTTGTAAGGTGACCGGCAAGTGTGGCTCTGTCACAGTCAGGATGGTGCCCGCTCCCCGTGGTGCTGGAATTGTGGCTGCCCGTGTGCCCAAGAAGGTCTTGCAGTTTGCTGGTATTGATGATGTTTTCACCTCCTCCCGTGGCTCCACCAAGACTCTTGGCAACTTTGTCAAGGTATATCCAAATTTTCATTGTTTTTTTTGTGTTTTCAAATTAGTTGATTGTTTGTATATTATTATTATTTATTGGATGTTGTTTAGTTTGCTTAATAAATATCAGAGTGTGTTGGGTAGCTTTTGGTGATGCTATTAATCTTGAATTAATAATTATCTATTGAAAATTTGGACAAAGAGTTCTTACTCTTACAAATATGCAAATGAAATTTGAAAGAAGAATGTGATGAGCTTGTGGAGTTGAGTGTTGTGTAGTTGAAATTGAATTCTACCCATTTCAGGAAGCTCTTAACAATCTTTAACATTTTGTTTTGCATGTTCTTAGAAGTGGAAAATCTTTGGTTAATGCTGTATCAATGGTTTGTGCAGATCTAATACATTTTCTTGATAATCTCTCATTTGGCATATAATTTAACAGTTTTAGTTTGTGTGTATGTGCATGATTGAGGTTGCATGAATGCAAAAAGTTTTAGTGCCTGTTGTGGTTGTAGAATTATGGAAGTGGCATTTTGACATGAAGTGCAGTTGAAGCATTAATATTTTTGAACAAGATATCTCTAAATTCTAATTCTTTGCGTAGTCGGGCTTTGAAAAGTTTTTAATGGTTGGGCTGGTAAGTGGATTTGGAAGGTCTGACCCTTGGCCCCTCTGATGATCCTGGCAGCCCGACTTTGACGTATGAGCATTAAATAAATATATAAACTTGATGGTGATGTTGCAGAGCTTCTTCAATATAGGACTTCTGTGAACCAATATGTTATGTTTAGGGCTGACTCTGACCTCAATGTAGTCCGGATTGAAATGAGTAGTGTTCCTCTTGACCCTGAGTGTCAATTGTTCTTTATGATATATAGTTTGCTCTCCTTGGTAGTCATGTTAGTTCTTGATTTGCCATTGCCTTTGGTACAAAGAAAATTTATAATCACCACCCTTCAGTTTGGGTTTAATACCTCAGTTAAAGATGTAATTTAACTAGACCCAACTAAGTTACTTGAATCTCATATTATTTGTGTTGTATCTAATCATTTATGTGAATGCATTTTTGCAGGCTACTTTTGATTGCCTCCTGAAGACTTACGGTTTTCTGACCCCTGAATTCTGGAAAGAGACACGCTTCAGCAAATCTCCATTCCAAGAGTTCACAGACCTGTTGGGAAGGCCAACCAAGCCCCTTCTGATTGAAGACGTGGAGAAAGTAGAAGCCTAGTCTGACTGAGAGAAGCTAGTGTTTATTAAAGATGAAATCTTAGTTTCTGCATTTGATTTCTAGCGTTGAAGACATAATACGTTGCCATTTTGGTTTATCAACGTTTTTGTAATTTCTTTCATCGTATTTTTGTTTGTTTAAACTATATGCTTTATTGGTAAAATATGTTACTTTGCTGGAATATTTTTGTGTGCACTGATGTTTACCAATGCTTCCATTGCATTTGGATATTTAAGCAATAGCCTTCTAATGTACACGAATGAATGCGATAATTTACTAGATGCTACCTATTGTGGTGCCACTAGTCTGTCAATCATTAGCTAGCAAGGGTGAAGGTAAAACCCAAGCCCAAGCAGAAGATAAGCTGCTATCAGCCTCGCCTGATTACGGATTAGTATACAGTTTGCAAGACCATATTGCGGAGGGGCTTGACAGTGGACATACCTATGGATTTGAATATGTTTCTGTTAGACAAGATTGCTTTGCGGGTGTTATTCTCAGAGTAGGGCAACCTGCGATGCTATTATTATGGCTCTGGTACACAGTTCTTTTTGTACGCTTATTTAAAGAAGTTTAAAAAAAAAGTAGGACAAATCTCAAAGCCTTGTTTATGCGGTGCTGATAAATTCTCCTGTCATAACAAATAACAGTTTTCGTGACTATTTCATGTTTTTTAGGTTCTTGATTCTAAGAACATCTACTTCAAACTTGATCATTTTTCTTGTTTGATTTTCATTTGGTGGTTTCTTTACTTGAACTTGTTTTTTGTGCTCTGCTGTTGCAGGTCGTGTCGGAGTTTTTGGGAGATGCTTGTCCTGAACATATACATAGCTCGCAAGTTTCTGTACCAGCTTTTTCATTTTTACTGTAAGATGCTAAGCAGGTGCTGTGTAATAGCTAATTGACATGCTTATTATTGTTGAATATTTTGTACTGCGCCGGATTAAGAGGTTGGACAAGTTATATCGTGTTCAGTACTGTACAAGGTAAAAGGTTGTTTTCAAATGAAAAAAGAAAAGCATCCCACTCTCTCTTAGAGCATCTCCAACCGATATGTTAAAAGTGTCACATAAACATTTAACGGCTAGAAATAACATCTCACATCACTCCAACCGATGTGTCAAAGCTGATGTGGAATGAAGGCTGGAGGTTGAGATGTTATTTTTGACATCCCAAAAGTAAGATGTCAAATGAATATTTTATTATTTTTAAAGATAGTTGGTTGTTACTTTCATTCATTATTTTCCTTTTTATATATTTTTTCTTCTTTATCTTAAATGATTTGACTGTTACAATAATTATTTATTTGACATATCGGGTGGAGTGTAAAACTATGTAAATGTCAAATTGCTACATTAGCCATCAAATTTAAATTTGATGTTTGGTATTTGACATCTCCCTTAAGAGCATCTCCAACCGATATGTCAAAAGTGCCACATTGACATTTAACGGTTAGAAATAACATCTCACATCACTCCAACCGAATTGTCAAAGCTGATATGGAATGAAGGCTAGAGGTTCAGCTGTTATTTTTGACATCCCAAAAGCAAGATGTCAAATGAATATTTTATTATTTTTTAAGACAGCTGGTTGTAACTTTCATTTACTATTTTCCTTTTTTATTTTTTTTTCTTCTTTATCTTAAATGATTTGACTGTTACAATAATTATTTATTTGACATATCGGGTGGAGTAAAAAACTGTGTAAATGTCAAATTGCCACCTCAGCCATCAAATTAAAATTTGATGTTTGGTATTTGACATCTCCCTTGGAGATGCTCTAAGACAATTTACCGGACTGGTAAATTTAGGCCGAGTCCCAAACAATTGGGAACATCTCTGCACAATATTGGAACATGGGACAATTTGTATGTGTTATCGAACCTTTAAAAAAAAAATTAATTAACAGTATATTGAAATCACAAATGCCATTTATAAAGCGATCACATTTATATACCACATTTGACGAACATCACATATTATGACGCAATAATAAAATTAATGAATTGAGTGGTAAAAAACGAGCAAGAACATCAACCATAAAATTAAAGAAAAAAAATTGCATTTGATTGGAGTTCTGGGCCCAAATATCTGGATCCTTCAGAAATGGGCCAGTCAATCAATCAAAGGAACAAACTAGCCCAAAATAAAAACAAAAGGTCGCCAAAACGACGTCGGTACCATGTAACCCCGAGGAAACCCTAAGTTAATAAATCTCTACCCCTCACCTATCTTCCTCTTTCACTCGCACTGCCTCCCGCCCGCAACCCTCTTCTCTTTCTCTCTCTGTCTCTCCCCTCTCTTTCTCAGTTCCGATCCAATGGTACGGACCAAATTACTTTTCAGATTGATCGCCATCTGTTTGTGAGAATGTCTCTGACAATCTAGAGTTTTTTTATTTCAGGCACCGAAGAAGGACAAGGCACCGCCACCGTCGTCGAAGCCGGCGAAGTCTGGAGGAGGCAAGCAGAAGAAGAAGAAGTGGAGCAAAGGAAAGCAAAAGGAGAAGGTCAACAACATGGTGCTCTTCGACCAGGGCACGTACGACAAGCTCATCGCTGAGGCACCGAAGTATAAGCTCATCACACCCTCCATTCTATCCGACCGTCTCAGGATCAATGGGTCGCTGGCGAGGAAGGCCATAAGGGACTTGATGGCCAGAGGGGCGATTAGGATGGTTTCTGCTCATGCCAGCCAGCAGATCTACACCAGGGCCACCAACACCTAGGTCGTCTTGTTTTCTATGGTTATTAAGTCGTTTTGGTGATTATTATATCGTTGTAGACTATTTAGCATCCCTTTTTTATTTGCATGCCAGTTTTGTTTTTGTTTTTATGGTTAATGAGACTTTGATTATTCAGGATCATTACGCATTAGCTTGCTAGTAGATTATGAATCCATTCAAATAGTGAGAAACCGTTGTTCTTCTTTGTTGCGTTTTCCATGGTTTCCATGAACTTTGTTGTCATTCCAACCTTAAAAGTTGAAACAATATTTGCTTATACATCTATTTAGAGGCTAGATTGCATTACCCTTACATGTTCTTATAATTTTGAGTTCATCCAGTTTGACAGTGCTGCCAGAACAGTAGGCAAAATATGCAACCTAGGTCACTGACTGATGTCATCTCTCCCTTCTCCTTCCTTATTGCTCCTCTCTTTTCTCTGAAGATCGCAACTTTTTTTTCTTGACATCTTGTATGTCCTTCAATTTATTTTCTTGTTCTTTTAGATTCTTTAAACTACGTCAATTTTGTGTGCTTTGGATTTAGTTTTCTGTTTCTTTTTCCGCCGGAGAGATGATATAGTGCTGTGTGTTTGAAGCTAACAAGAGTAGAGATGTTGTACTGATTCAAGTACTTGCACTAGGAGTCTAAAATGGTGTTTTAAACGCAAATGATGCTTTGGAACTGTTATATGGCTGACGGTGAACTATAACTGTTTATTTGTGCAAAGCAAACCCTAGTTAGGTATACAGTGTGATGATTGATGTAGAAGAGTAGAGTAAGATTCATATTTGAGTAGTTTTAAGGACTATGCGTAGCAAGGCACAGAAAGAAAATGTTTTCAGAAGTTTTTATGGGTTAAAACCTAGCATGAAGTTTTCTGCTGCAGCAACTGGGTAAGATGCTTTTGGCTTCTTAGATTTAGGGTTGGGATAAGTATGGATTTTAGGGTTTTAATAAAATACATGATGAGAGGCTTCTTCACGGTTTTAGGTTGGCTGCCTCTAGCAGTACACTATCCATTTTTCAGGTTCTGAAATTGGATGCCTCTAGTAGATTGGTTGATACTTGGATTTTCTTGAAAAATATTGTAAATTTACAAAGATTTTGCTTCTCCATAGTTTTATGCTGAATCTGAGGAATTTGAGCAGATGATCCTTTAATTAATTTAAAGCATTAGCAGGGATGTCAAATATCTCCAGATTTCATCATTTATACATCTTGTGTTACCGGTTGCATTTTACTTCATCCTTAGCCTTGTTTGGTTCATGGGAAAGGAGGTTTGAGGATGAGAAATCATTTGCTTTCCCTTGTTTGGTAAATCCAAGCATGCGAAATCGTTGTTTGGCTCATGGGAAAGTGAAGCCCTCTTCCCGACTTAGGTTTTGTTTTCCCTCCTCATGAGAAAGTTTGGGAAAATGAGCCTTAGGGCCAGTTTGGCATTGCTGTGCTGTGAAAATAATCGCTGTCAGATTTGCTGTGAGAGAAATCAGCTGTGAGAGAAAGCAGTTTGGCGTTTGGTAAATTTTTTGTTAAAAGTGTTGTTGGTATTGATTTGACGCAAAATCAGAAAATGATTGCTGCATAATCATTAAACCTTACACCTCTTCGAAACTGATTTCTGCATAATCAGAAAATGAAAGCACTTCATTAGTTGCTTTCCCTTATAGCTTTCTCTCACAGCAATTTTTAATAAGAAGTGATTTTTTCGCAGTTTACCAAACGGGTTGGGCTTCTCAAAATTTTTAAAAAATCACTTATCACCCCAAATAAGCAATGCCAAACTGGCACTAAATATATATTTTTTAATGACTATTTTGTACCTATTAACAATTTAAAATTATAATATATTATTTAATGCATTTTTTTTAATTTGATTTAATATGAGTATAATTGAAAATTTATATGATCTTTGTTTTCCATTCCTACACAAAACATGGAAAAGGAAATTATTTCTCAAATATTACCAAATGTGGGAAATGAATCTTCCATTTATTATTCCTTGAGAAGTTATTTCCATTCAAATTCGTTTGGTGAACCAAATGTGGCCTAAGGATAAAAGTTTGCCCCAGCCAATTTACCCAAAACATAAATATATAAAACTAATTTTTGTCAACTTTGAATTACAACTTACAAGAATACAACAAAAATCAAGCTTACATCTTAAGCAATATAATGACAATGCCCGAGTCATCTAGACCCATCCTACCACACATGCCCAATTTACATACAATAATGCTGACGGGAACCGGAACAACGCTATGCTGCAGGGACATTAAACTTTATATATAGAAGTGCTACTACAGTTTGATTTTAATTTCTCCTGTAAAAGGCTGAAGTGAATGCTTTCACCTGTTCATCAGCGCTTCAATGGTATCATGAAATCGAAGTACGATGTACACGGTCTTTGTGTGAAACCGGAATGAGTTGTTCTACAGTTCTGGAGACAAATCTGACATTTGGAAGATGAAGAGCTGCGTTATACTCCTCTTCATCAAACTCTGCCTGTTTTAATGTTCTCATATAACTCTCTGTAGCTGATCTTGGATGACCCCTTGCAATGGAGACCTGCGATTTCATGGAAAACTGTTACACAGCAGGAAAATAATTGCCTCGTGCCAATAAAATTAGTATGCATAGTCTTAATGCCTTGGTTCAGATGGTAGGATGGAGAAGGTCGAGCTGTAAAAAAGGTCTTAAGTTTGACTCGTCCCCAGTGTTCGTGCATGCATATTCAGATTTTGTTGCATTCCATCGATATTTTTAGCACCCCAGGTATCCATTAAGTAAGAACTTTGGAAAAACTATGGATGCTATAGATTACCAACGAAACTATGTAACCTTGAAAATCGAAATGGCATCTCAATGAAAACAAGGAAAGAAAATTAACAAGGGACTTACCAAATGTCCCTTTCCTAGCTCAAGAAGCCAAAAGCGCCATTCTTTCATAGCCTTCCCCTCAACATTAACAGAGATGTTTGTCCAGCAACTGTGATGAAATTCCACTCTGTCCAAACCATATGCCACTCCACTCCCAATCGCTTTGACATAAGCTTCTTTCAGACACCAATATCTACAAAACACACTATAAATCATCAGCTACTCAAATCTTTGGACTCTCCCGCATGCTGCTTACTGCGCCGATAAATAAACATTATTTTGCCAAACCCTAATGATTCACCTGAACATTCAAGCTCAACGCATATTTAATAAACTTGTATTGAAAGGTTTCTATTCTAATAGACCTGTGAACTTATCTCCAACAGATAAACAGAATGAATATGCAGTAAAAAATTTCAGGCAAGGTATGCTAGCCATATCTAAAAGAGAACCAAGCCACACAGAAAACTACAAAACTGTGACAGTTAGATGTTCTGACAAAGATACTGAACTTTATTCCATAATTTTAAACTCAAGGGAGATTTTACATGAAAACCAACAATGTTAGATAAGATAGGAAACAAAGTCTTTCTTTCTTCCAGTAGTTCTCTAGTGGGTCACTCAGATTTACAGAAAGAGTACAAGTGCACAAATCATAAGTATATTGAGATAAGAATATCTGACAAGGAAACAACAATGAAAAGCTATAACTTACAACACAAAAGTATTATGGAATAAATTTTCACAGAATGTCAGGAAACGATTTACCTGTAAAACTCAATCAGAATATCATCAGATGTGCCAGCATTGACTATACTATCCCATTCAAAACTTGAAAAGTATGAGGAGAAGTTTTGAATAAACTCTATAACCGTCTCTTTCTGAGGAATGACTATGGAAACAACGTCCACCCCGACGAGGCACAAAGGTTCGGACGCTATAGCAACATAGTCACCATGATGAGATGCATTGAAATTAAAATTGGGAAAATCTGCGCAAACATCATCACATTCCTGAAAACAAAGACATTATGCAGAGTGTCGTGAACAAGATATTAATGGTGGATGTACAAGCAAGGAAGGTACAAGAATTGCGCCAAGAAAAGGATGTAAAATCATTTCTTGTATAGACATAGTTGGAAATTAAACATAGTATGCAGAACAAGATATTAATGCCAGATTCCGTGACTTCAATACATATTTGGATCTCCATTAAAACCAATTTCATTTCGATAAAACAAGAAATGGCAAGTTTAATCATACATACCAGATATGGTTTGCCTTCCAAGGTGCGCTTAATGATAATTTCATCATAGGGAATTGCCAAAACTTCATTTACAAGAGCATATTGAAGCAGCCGGCTCACAAGTGCCCGCTTCCTGTCTTCCATCTGTACAAATCTACCAACGTCAAAATACAATGCATCTCTGTTAACTGTCTCAACAATTCTTCCTAAGCTCAATCCATTATCATTTTGCTTTCTTGGATGCTACTTATAACATCAAAACTCTAGTGGAAATTTCCCGTTTCATGTATTGATTTTTTTTTAAAGGTTCAATCATTTATCAGACAAGTCCCTTTGACTCTGCCAAAAGCAAGTGCCAAGTTTGGTTCATCTATATTACTTGCAAAGGGCATAAAATAACACAAATATATGGCACTAAGATTGTAGGCAATACTCATTTACTTTGATCACTATTGGGTTTTCTTCTTTCTAGGTTTTTTTGGAATCCAAAAAAACAAAAAAGACAGGAACTAAAAGAAAGAGCGAGGGAAAACCTGGTGACAGAGGGTTGCTCAACTGAAGGAAGAACAGAGAGAGCAAAGGAGAAATCTTGGGGAGATGGGTCCCACCCTGATATGTCCACAATCCATCTCTGTACCCCTCTCTCCATTGTTATGCAAAGACCTACCAAACAAGAAGAACTCAGCTTAGAGAAAAAAAAAAAAAAAACCCACCCAACCCATAGAAAAATGCTGCAGACAGAAGAACACTCTCTTTCGTTTGGCGGGGCTTTGGTCAGCCGTTGGATGTTCCCAACGGTTGAGATTACAACAACCTAACTTCATATACAAAGTTCTGTCTTGTCTCTGTAGTTTGCCCCGGAACCAATGATGACCTTTCGGCTTAAATAAAACCACCCGATTTGAAAATAGAACCCGACCCGAAATATTATTTTAAAATAAAAAATAAAATAAAACTCGTTCAATCAAATCAACGCAACAATAGGAAACACTCATCTTCTCCGCGGGTCTCTCTCAGCCTAAGAAAAACGAAGCACTCTCACTCCTCTTTTCCCTTTGCCGTTGGGTTCCATTCCTCTGCAACAAGGAAGCTCTCTTCCAAATCCAGGTTTGTGTTCGCAATTTTTCTTCTGCTCTGTCAATTTCTGGTGCTTTTTTTGGGTTGGGATTAAACTAGTGTCTGTAACTTAGAGGTTTACGCTAGGGCTTTTGATTTTTTTTTCTCTGTTCCAAAATTATACCATTTGTTGTCATGGGTTTAAATTGCTGTTAATATTTCTAATCTAGGCATCTCCATTATCTGTATCAAGATTGTTCTTGAAAAAAAAAATTACAAATTTTATATTTAAAAAAAATACTATTATCAATTTTATGCAATTGGGGTGAGTGATTATCATGTAAGGTCAGCAATGTCAAAACTTTGATATCTATCAATTAATACAACATTGAGTATCAATGAAAAAAAAAATGATTTTCTTCTGCCACTTAAAGGGGAGGGTTATGGATGGATTGCAGCATTGTTTTATAATCTTCTTGATGGCTATGAGTCTGGATATTTCTTTGGGGAAATTAATGACATTGAAGTCTTCTATATATTCTGTCAATTTAGATTCATATCCATGAGAGAGAGACATTTTAAGTGAAATAATTTGAAGAAATTAACAATTCTAGGTAAAATTTATTTTATTGTAAATGAATATTTGATATATTATATTTATACAGAAAAAACATTAACTTGTTTCTTGCAAAACTAATAACTCATTTCTAACATTTATGCTTTTAACCGTTTATATTATCGTATCATCACTTCATCAAAACCCTCATTTGCCTTGTAGACAGATATTGGTGATACCAAATCAAAATGTATAGCTCAGCAGCGAAGCGGCTTCTCCATCTCTTTGGTACATCCTTGGGTAGCAGTACCAACCACCGTATTATTCGTTACCGCCCTCTTCAATCCCTCATTAGTCGTTCTCACTTTTCCACAACTGTGAACTCTGAATCTTTCGTCAATCAAAGCCCTAACTTTCAAAACTCCACATCGTCAACGGCCAATCAAATCCCTAATTTTTCAAATACCACGTCGTCAACGGCTGATCACACTAGGAGACCAAGAGCGGAATACCAAGATGAGCAAGCTCGTGTGCTCCAAGCCTCACTCCCCCATGTTATAAGGTTGGGATGGAGCGAAGCGGCTATGATTGCTGGTGCAAGGGATGTTGGTCTGTCTCCATCGATTGTCAGATCATTTCCAAGGAAGGAGGGTATGCTCGTTGAGTTTTTCATGGATGACTGTTTGCAAAGGCTTAGTGATATGATCGACTCTAGTACAGAGGAGTTAAAAAGTTTGATACCAAGTGAGAGGATCACAAAGCTTGTGAAGATTCGCTTGGAAATGCAGGCACCCTACATATCGAAGTGGCCACAAGCTCTTAGCATCCAGGCACAACCAGTGAATGTACCCACAAGTTTTAAGCAGAGGGCGATGCTTATGGATGAGATCTGGCATGGTGCTGGCGACGACACAGCTGATTTTCAGTGGTATGTGAAGCGGACTGTCCTTGGAGGTATATACTCCACAACCGAGATTTACATGCTTACTGATAATTCCCCCGATTTTTGTGATACATGGGCATTCTTGGATGATCGGGTGAAAGATGCTTTTGACTTGAAGAAAACCGTCCAAGAGGCAACATACTTGGCAGAAGCTGTTGGTGCTGGGATGGGGACTTCTTTGCAAGGATTTGTGAAGAGAGTCTTTCAGGGCTAAGATATTACTAAAGAATTATATTGCAAGCATCAGTCCTCTCTCTGGTCAGTAAACTTGGATGAGATGCTCTGTTACAACTTTACTAAAGAATTATATTGCTAGCTCAAATTATTGTAAATCTTTTCCTTCTCTGCTGAAGCCTGAGTTGAGTTTAGTTGTCTATTGCAAGATCCATTTCTTTGTCAATTGAAGCTTCATTTAAGCTCTCAGGGTCCAGTTTGAAGGTATTGCACATTTTTGGTACTTTCTGTAGTCTGTTGAATTCATGTTGGACGGGGCTTCTCCTTAGACCTGACCTGAAATAAATAAAAGGGAATTTACCCGGACAAGAAAATGGAGTGTAAATGAAGTGTATGAGTTTATATTATGTATAACATGAAAATACTGTTCAAAATAAAAAAAAATGTTTTTCTTTAAAAATAATTACTATCATTGTATCAGGGTCTTTGACATTGTAATTCATAAACAGTACTATGTTAGTAGCTGTTCAACTATGATTGGAATGTTGTGGAACAACCTGAGTTTTTGGCATCATGAGCCTATGTATTTAGAATCTATGCATTTTTCCGCATTTTTCTTTATCTTAATAAAACTACTTATAACATGACATGTCAACTACCATCAATTTAGGTGTAGTTTTAACACTCTAAAAAGTCTAATTTTACCCTTCCAGTAGAGTTAAAAATTTTGAAATTTGAAACTTAAAAAATAACAAACCAAACCCAGCACTTCCTTCGACAACGGTAATCCCATTTAAAGGCCCTCCAAGTGCCCGGGATTGTGCTTCCACAAAGCATTGATTCCTGGGTTGCTCTGTCCAAACTCGTACAGTGAATTTACCTCGGAAAACCTTGTATTCTATGCTGCAAATAGTTGGCTGAACCTTGTATTAATACGTTCTCAATTTTTCCTTCACAGGCTAAAGATACAGGGGAAGCCATGACCTAATCGATGGCAAAGCTTGTCCAAGAGAACATCAAAGTTGGCTGATCGTGGAGTGGCGGTCTGCCGATGCTACTAGGGGTGGGTTTTATTATTAATTTTATTGAAAGGGTAAAATTGGACTTTCAAAATGTTAAAACAAAACCTAAACTTATGATAGTTGACGTGTCGTGTTATAGATTTTAAGATTATTACAATGATTAGGATTAAGTGAAATGCAGAAAAATGCGTAGATTCTAAATGTGAGGCTCGGAATTTGAGTTTATAAGCCTTATTTTGAAAAATAAATTAAAATCAAACAAGCTTCCCACATAAAAGATAAGAGAACATATGAGCAAGCAAATTGGTCTTCCATATGTAATATTCTTTGAAGGTTTTTCGAGTATTCACTTCTGACTTTGTATTTCAATGATTGCAATTAAAGACATGTAATTTTACCTAAACTTACAATGAACTCTAATCCATTAAAATATGTCAATGAGCGGACAATTTTGATCTAGTGATATTTATCTAAACTAAAATAAAAATGGATGAAAAGATATGCGAGTAGCATATATGCTAGGGTAACACCATAAACCAAAATAAAAAATGGAGGAAACTAGGGCGGCGTTCGGTAATGTTTTCCCTACAGCTAGATGTACTAATTTTGAATGACCCCAAAAGATTGGGTAATTTTATGTTGTTAACCCTAAAATATGCAAACATATTAGGAGTGCTAGTATTACATCGTTTTGGCACTAAGGGTACCATAACCTGGTAAAATAGATCTTTATAACAATATAAATTACTATATTTGGGTCCTAATTTACAACCTTTTGCATGTGGGATAACAATGTAACGGTTCACCATAATCCGGAATGTTGTAATCCTCTATTTGGATTGATAGGGATCCACATTACTATGGATTTTTGGCGCATGGGGAGGAGATTAATTACTAGAAAATGTCATGGAGTTCAACAATCTGTCATTAGATCAGTTCATCAAGGAGCATGACATGCATGGATATGATATTGGCAAAAGGGTAGTGTTACTCTCGCACTACCAAGTCATTATAAAGGATTTAATCGAAAACATTTGGCAAAGGTCGCGAGGTAAAATAGACATAGGGGATCTAGATAAGATGATTGTTACAATACTAGATAAATATAAAGTGATGCTTCCAAGTTCCTTTCTGTCTCCCTCTGTCTCTCACCCACTCATCGGACTTGAGCACCATCACCATGAGACCCTTCGGAAAATTATTTGCTGCTGCCGCCGCCAACGTTTTGAAAACTCACACTCCCCACCGGCTCAAACAAACAAAAAGTAAAAAAGAACTACCAAAAAACAACCACACTGAAGAGATGACTATGAAAAGCTCGGGGAAGTCACTGGAAAAAAACAGCCTATGTTTTAGGGTTTGTTGACATTGTTGTTGGAACCGTTGATCTAACTCTTTTACTACTTGGCGCTTCTTTTCTCTCCCCACTTTGGTGAGGAAAGAACCTGGAGCGGCACCCAAGAACTTGTCTGAGAAGCTCACCTGGGAGAACCTCGTTGAGGACTTCGCAATGATATGTGACAACAATTATAAAAAAATTAAAAATTCCCATGAAATGTATTGCGAGGTGCTAAAGTGGCGCGACACCATTTATGCAACCCAAAAGAGCCATAACAGAGGTGCTGATGGAATCCTCGCCACCATAGTCGCCGAAGGCAGTGCTGATGGAGTTGCCGCAGTCGTTGGTAGCATTGTTGTTGCAAATACAGGAGCCAAAGACGACGTCCCATACATTATGGTGCACCTATGCAATCCGTTCAATCGAAAAAATTGGGTGAACTCATGAAAAAATTGCATAGGTGCACCAGAATGTATGATTATTTGGCATGTCAATATAATTGATATAATTGAAAATATTTGGCAAATGTCGCGAGCTAAAATAAACATAGGGGATCTGTTAGAAGTATGCCCTAAAGCCAATCATGAGATGTAATTATCTTAGTCATTTACTTAATCAACAAGTCCATGTATCGTGAGACGTAGAAAGTGACTTGAAGAAGTTAAGTTGAGGAGACATTTTTGTACCATGTTCGCATCCTAAACTGTTCATAGCCATAGGATAATCAACTGTACAGTGATAAACCACAAAGACCATCATGCACTGTATCTGCTCAATCAGGAGGATGACTGGTCTTGAGTCATTCGTGTGGAGACACTAAGATAAGTGTATGGGTGTTCATTAGAGAATGAATTCACTGAATGCGATCAACAAAGAGAACTTGAAAGGAAGTTTTACTTACATGCCAATCAAGATCTCTCAAGTTGGAATAGTGCAAATTAGTCCTTGATCTAAAGCACCATAAGTTGTCTTATGAAAACGACGTAGGCCTTAGCCATTTGCATTCCTTTGGACATAACCCAAAGATATGACTAGGGTTCCTGATAAATTCATGGCGACATGTGAATGTATAACAAGGGATCTCGAGAAGGGTCTCATCTGAAAAGATGGTCGTCATGGAAATTGTTCATTCTTCATCTGCTGGGATAAAGCGCATCGTTACGTGAGGGACAAGAAGGTCAATGGCATGCAGAAGGTTTGGGATATTTTGCTCAAGTCTTCACTCGAATTACTCAAAACCCGTGATCTACCCTATAGGGAGATTGATGAGAAGCAAGATTTGAGTCGTCTGCGCTGATCTGGGGATCAAACTGAGAAGACTGTACCCTTATCGAGCAATCATGACTTGTTTTCCAAGCCACGAATAGTCAAGCGCGGAGCTTATTCAGCATTCCAGAATGTGGTCAGGAGGGCTAAAGAGTCGTCTGCTTGAGCAAAAAGTCATTCAGTTGCTCCAACTGCTGGTCCAAGAGCTGGTGATAGCTTTGCTGGAGATGAGCATGTGAACAAACTTCCTATCAAGTCCATCTGCCTGTGCCAAGTTGGTTGACCACATACATCAGGCTGGCGACCTTAGCACGTTCTCAAGCCTCTCCCTAGGTAAGCAAGAAAAAGTTGCTATGTATCATCTTCAAAAGCGGATGTTTTTTTTGTTACTAGGGCCATGCGGAACTCGTCTCCTATTGCTCCTCTTCTGCTCTACTAGATGAGCTGACGAGGAAGAATTCTGATATGGCTGACAAGCTTTCGAACAAGTCAATTTGCCATAATGCCAGGATGTATGAGATAAAGGAAAGTATGTTTGCACTGAAGAGTTCTCTTGGCCAAAAAGATGGTGAGCTCAAGTCTCTTGTTGCTACCCTCCTCGAACGCAAGGAAGCTTATTATCACCTCAAACAAAAGTATGCCTTTCTGGCCTAAAACCGTAACAAGCTGCTGGTCAAGTTTGACACTTATGTTGAAGCCACAGAGGCATCCAAGCATGAGATTGATGCTAATGTGTACAAGCTAGGATACTTGGACTGCAGGAACGGTGCCTTTCCATGTTACCCCCCATCAAAGATGAATATGATGAGCTGCTCTACATGGACGTGCTCCCTGCTCAAAGTGAGCATATCAACACCATAGATGTAGGAGTAGTTGAAGAGCACATGGTGGATGAAGCTGCAGTGGAGGAAGATGGCACCAAGGATGGCGCAGTTGATGAGGTTGGGGCAGATACGGAGGAGTTGGTAGCTAGGGTTGCCGAGCAGATTGTGGTGATTGAGTAGAGTGAGACTGCGGTTGGCGCAACTAATCAAAAGGCAGCTGAGGAAGTAGTCGGCCAAGGGTCACCTGCCAGAGTTCCCTAGTAGACGTAGACTCCTTTATTATTTTTTAACTCTATATTTTCACTTCTTGTTTCAATAAATGGTCTTTAGTCAACCATCTTCTTTCTTGTTGAACTTGGAAGGCTGGCCGCTTTGCTATGGAATTTTCAGTTGTTTTTCAAACTTCAATTCACATTGTATCTTGTAAGTGTATGTACAGAGACATGTAGATGAGCGTGGCCCATTTGGCCTATGTCTGGAGACATGCCAATAGCTCTCGTGGAGTGGCATTTTTGGCCTATGTTCGGAGACATGTCGATAGCTCCTAAAGTGTGTGTCCAGAGACATTTAGATGAGAGTGGCTCATTTGGCCTATGTCCATAGACATGTCGATAGTTCCCGTAAGTGTATGTTCGGAGACGTGTAGATGAGAGTGGCCCGTTTGACCTATGTCGATAGCTCTCGCATGGATCTCCAATTAAGTCAAATAAATTTTTATTTGGAGAGAGAGAGAGAGAGAGAGAGAGAGAGAGAGAGAGAGAGAGAGAGAGAAAACAACGGTAAAAAAGTTTTTTTTTTTTTTTTTTTTTTTTTGGGAAGTCTATGTCACTAAAAAAAATATAGGTTTCACATTTGACAAGTAAGCATTTAACAGAATAACTAACAATTTGTGTAACGATGAGGGTAAATTGTAGGTTTTCTGGGCTTTTGAGTATGTACTCTAAATGTCCCTAAAGGTGAGTATGAACTTGAAAATGACCGTATAGTTTGGGGGGCTCTTATGTAGTTTTTCCAAAAAAAATAAAAAAAAATAAAATTACCTACATATGTTATAAGTCCAATCCAAAATTAAAAAAATTAAAACAAACCCTACACACACGCTGCCCATCTCGGTGGTCCTATATTCTCTCTCCTTCTCTTTTGGCTATGAGACATTTGCTTGTTTCTCTATCTTTTTAGCTACCAACATCAGCATCTTCTTTCTCCCTCTATTTTCTATATCTTTAATTATAGTTTGAATTTTAAATTGAGTATTCTAGGGTTTAATTAGGGATGAAAGAGAGTTTGCTAATTATATTGATAATACATTGATAATTGAAGAATTTAAGAGTTCTAAGCATCGAAAGTTTTGGTTTATTTTGCATTGCATTTACTTTTGGTTTTAGTTTTAGTTTTTGCATTTGTGGAACTTTTATTTATGGATAGAGATGCATTCGAGGGTAGGCTCATTACCTCCTCCTTGACTAAGTGTATCATTTTATGTTTATTAATGAAATTCACTCGTACCATCGAGTTTACTATGTAAGTTTTGCCCGACCGGCTTTCGAATCCTAGAACCACCACTGAGGGGCCTTGAAATTGGTTGGCAGTAGAGGGACTGTGTCGGGGAGTGGGGTGGTTGTTGCTTGATGGGAGTGTAAATTTTTCATTTCATTATTTTAAAGGTATTGAGTACATATAGGCCCATTTTAGCATGATATATATCTAAAAACCCAAAATAGCCACTTGTCATTTTCTAATTGGTCATTCTTAGTGTGTTACAATTTTGTAACAACCAATTAGAAAATGACAAGTGGCTATTTTGAGTTTTTCTCTCCAAATAGACTATGTAAGTTTTTGTATAATATATCATGCTAAAATGGGGTTTTGAATAAATATCTCTACATATAATAAGGTGTAAATTGTGAGTCTAGTGATTAAAATAGACTACAATTATGATGATGTGGACTTATTGAAATTCATTAGATCAATCTAACAGTTATCAATTTTTTAAATGCATGTAAATGCACAGATACTAAATGCAAAGACTCGAGATCCAACTAATGATAGTTGAAGCTTGGCTTGAAATGGATTGACATGCATGATGCATCTAGTATGGTGGAGAAAGTCATCTTTCATGCAATTTTATGTCCACATGAATATATTAATTCCTCTCACACTCAACGTACCCAACACGTGAAATAGTTAGTAAACAAAAAATCTGTCAAAATTAAGATATTTCTGTTTAATTGGGTGACCAAACAGAACCCAAAAGGAAAATTCCAAAGAAATTCTTTGACCTACTTCAACAAACATAAACAAAAAGATGAGTTTACCACGACGGCAAACTAATATAAGCCTTTGCTTCATTGAAATGGTAATTAATAAAACAGCTTTATACTGTTTTTGGCTCACACTTAGCTGTCCCAACCAAACACGTCGTTATTATTAACGCGTCCAGCTAATACATAAATAAAGCACAACATGCATCCAATTTGTAAATCACCAAAAATAAAAAAAAACATTTTTGGAAAAAAAAAATTTAATTTGCAAAAGAGGGTTTTGGGTTTCGAAATTGAAATGTTGAAGATGAAGAAGTACGTGAAGCTTCAGAAGTGCAAGCTCCAGCAGGATAAAAAGTCTTCTCGAAGACCCAAGTTGATGGAGGAGGAGGAGGAGGAAGAGGAGGAGGAGATCAACTACAAGCAGAGCCTGCAGAGGGAAAGAATCAGGGCCGTTGATCATGGAGATGAAGTTGGTGTTGGGCCCAACACCCCTAGGAGCACAAAGCTTATGGATTCAATGCGCAAGCTGATTTTGCAAAAGCAGCCCTCCAATTTTGCTCCCAACAAAAGCAATACTATTATTGCTTCTGATCCGTAGTGATTATGATAGTGGTGCGGCCTACCGCAGGGGATAATTATCAAACTCTGTATATTGATTGCATGCATGCATGGCTTCTCACTTCATGCGTGTTCAATGGAATGCATGAAGAGAGAGAGAGAGAGAGAGAGAGAGAGAGAGAGAGAGAGAGAGTCTATTCTTTTCTTTCTTTTCTTTGTATTATAGTTTTCTTATTTTTCTTTATTTGTTCTCTTCCTTTCTGGGTTGTGCATGCCTATAGAATTGGCATGAAGAGGCAGAATTAAATCATTCATATTCACTCAATGAAATGTTTGAAGGGTGAGTCTGCTTGAACCCCGCTAAACTTTTTATTTTGATGGTTTTTTTTTTTTTTTTTTTTTTTTTTTTTTTTTACATTTTTCTTTATTATTATTTTTTCTATTTATTTATTTAAATTTCATTGCCAAAAATTTGGCCACCATTATAGGCAGGCACATATGCCATCGGTGTCTAAACGCCACGGCCAAACCGTCATGATGTACCTCACTGACTTTGCAGCCCCATTGGCATCTGGCGGAGAGTTGGGAGACGGGGATGGAGATGGGGGGAAGCTGGTGGGGAGAAGGCAATGGTTTGAAGTTTTTTCACCTTTTGCAACGTTGTTTGTGTTTTATTGCATTCAAATGTAAAATAAATTGTTGTACCCAAAAAAGAAAAAGTTAATTAGGATTCAAAGTTGCAAATACTGAGGGGTTAACAGAACAAATTTAGAGTTCATATAGAATTAGAGTTCATTCATATATATATATATATGTAACTCAGCTATGGATTTTCTCACCTCATGAATCTAGGCCAATGATTGAACTGTTTAGTTTTCAGGTTCTCTTTCCAAGATTGCCCATGAAATTCATGAGCTAAATTATACACTTTTTAGCCATTTGATTATTCACATTTTCGTTTCAGTTTTATTCAGTTATGTATTCTTCTTCAATATATATGAAAGTATTTATAAGGAAGTACAACTTTAAATAAAATAGGAAATAAATTTAAAGAGTGTTGCTATTTCCACCCCCTTGTCCTATTTTCTCACCCACCATGTAAATTTGAAAAAAGCCAAATTTATCTTTCCACCCATCATTATTCCTAAAATACCATTTAATTGTTTTTCATATTTGCCATTACAATAAAAAATTTTCTTCAATTAGCTCATCCTCACCCCAAGTTGCCCTCGCCATGCCCCCTCAACCTCCTCCTCTAGTGAAAACCCAACAATTAACACCATGACCATCACACCCACCTCTCCTTCTCCCATCCGCAGCCATCCCCACCACCAATTTGATTTTCCCACCGCAACCCTCACTCCTCCTTCACTAGACAAAACCCAAAATGAATAGATATATATATATCATTCCAAAGCCAATGGGGCCAAAATACAGAGCATTCAAAACAGGAATTTTCATACGGAGGCGCTATGCACCAGCTAAGAGAAATTCCCAACAAAGCATTACAATTAAGGAGGTTCAGGAAGACCATCCGAAACCAACACCTGAACTAGTGACATAGATGGTTGTACAACCCCCTAAATTGATGGGAGATGGATGTGGGTTTTGGAAAAAAAAAATAAAAAATAAAAGAAATATGGGTGCGGGTGCATGTGAGAGAGAGAGAGAGGGCTGTAAATTTGTCCTCAGAAGTCATTTTACAATTAGGTAAATTTGTCATTAAAATTTTGAAGATAAAGATGGGTGGGAAAATAGGATAAGTGGGTGGAAATGGCAACACTCAATTTAAATTACAATAAAAAATAAATCTAAATTATAATAGGAAATAAATCTCAATTGTAACTAGACAAATGGGTAAGTGACCAAAATCCTAATATAATAAGGAATCAAAATCCTAACTAAATAAGGACTCACCAACATGTTTGAGGATATAGATTTAAAAATCAACCTTGAAACGAGAAGGAATCGATTTGTTGAGGGGGAAACCCAAATACTATTATTTATTAGACTAACAAATATAAAACAATATTGTTTTATGTGTTAAGGTTTAAATTTTAAGATTTGGGGGCATCTAACTCTATATATATGAGGTATTCAGTTTGTTATCTTGATTCCTAATCATCTGGATATAACTTAACATGTACTAGCTTCTCGCCTGCGCCTGCGCTTTCATCCTGCGATATGCTTTTTTTAAAAAAAATTTAAATTTATTTTAGAATTAAAAAAGATAATGGGTAGTTGTATTCTATAAAAATAGGATCTATTATCTTATTTATCTTTTAATTTTAATTTTTTTAATATGAAAAAGTGTGAATTTATCATAATTATCCTAATTTAATTAATAATTTCAATTCTTAATGTTTGCATTAACCATGGTATTTTATAGTATTTTGAATCTTAATTCTCTTCCTTTTGTTCTATATATATAGATAATATAACTGTTCAGATTTATAATGTTTTTTTAATCAATAAAATAAAAAAAGAAACAGTGGTGGCGAGGGAATGGGACAGATGAGCATGGAAAAATTTATAAAATAGAAGAGGGTCACTGGCATACAAGGACTTGACGTGCAATTTTCAAACCGATCCATCTCCTACGGATCAGGGTTTTATTGAATTTAATTTCATGTCATTTTCCTTTTAAAAAAAACTTTTATTACCAGACGGTAAGCCAATGATTGAAACAGTTCAGTTTTCAGGTTCTCTTTAAAGATTGCCCCGTACAAACCATAAGCTAAATTATACACCTTTTAGCCATTTGATTATCCACATTTTCATTCAAGTTTTATTTAAAGAACTTTTTTATTTTTTTTCACCATAGATGACCAAGCACCTTCCAATTTTATCAGGGTTAGTTCTTGAAGGATGATGTAAAGTTCTGATCGTTGAATGGAAAACAAGAGGAGGATAGTACTTGTTGGGCTGAATCTATCATATGGAGAAAAACGCCTCAAATAGAAATGACATGGCCATTGTGGCGGATCTAGGGTTGTTAGACCGAGGAGTCGTGATGTAAAACTTTGAAATTCTTTTTTATGATGAAACAACGCTAGAAATATTATAAAATGGCAAAGCCATCAGGTATCGAACCCCTAACCTCCTTCCTCGACCACAATCGTTTGACGAAGTCCAGATCCAACGCATCATCCACATCACCAACATCAATCACACCCTTGGACACCAATGAAGGACCTCAGTTGTTAATCCTGGGACGTACTTTGTATTTTATTATTTTATCATTAATAAAGGTCGGCCGAGAGTTATTCATAGTCAACATGAATTTAACTTCTTGCAGACCGATGAAGGTAGACATTGCAATGACTAGGTAACTGATTGAAGTGTGTATGCATGCTAAATACCGAGAATAAAGACGCGTTAATCTTAGTTGTCGGAGTAGTTTGTTTACTAATAAAAGATGGGCATTCGTCCATAGTTTTTACGTTGTTGAGTTCAACACGTTGTAGGCCTATCGTTGAGCTTTTGCTTCATCACTTCGTCACTTCATCATAAGGACCGGAAATCTCTCAAATGCTTGCTCAATTTTCGAGGAGAATATATATTTTTTTTCCAACCCTCATCAAGAATGAATTTTATTTTTACAAAATCTTTTCACAATTGCCTCTTGCCTAATTCTCCGATGTCACTGACACTATAGTTCTCTTGGTTTGATCCGAAGGAACGAGTGGGATCATATATTCATGTGTACCAATGAAAGATTGGATAAGAGCGAGAAAGATAATCCATTATAATCATGCATTTATTAGATAGATGTGAGACATTAGAGCATCCATAATGGACTTTATAAACCACTTTCTTACAAATTTTGGGGAGGAATTGGAAAAATACAACTCCAATCATACTCCTTATCTACCTCCTAAAATAAAGAGATCTTTATAAGCTTCTAAATTTGTGTGTTTTTAGAGCATTTCCAAGGGAGATGTCAAATACCAAACATTAAATTTAAATTTGATGGCTGATGTGGTAATTTGACATTTACACAGTTTTACACTCTACTTGATATGTCAAATAAATAATTAATGTAACAATCAAATCATTCAAGATAAAGAAAAAAAAATAAAAAAAATGAAAGTAACAGCCAGCTGTCTTTAAAAATTAATAAAATATTTATTTAACATCTTGCTTTTGGGATGTCAAAAGTAACAGTTGAACCTCCAGCCTTCATTCCACATTAGCTTTGACAATTCGGTTGGAGTGATGTGAGATGTTATTTCTAGCAATTAAATGTTTATGTGGCACTTTTGACGTATCGTTTGGAGATGTTCTTAGCTAAATTTTAACTAAAAAATAAAGAGCATGATTGTAAATGTTCTTACTTTGCTTGTTAAAGATCACTTCATCTGCCAGGGTAATAAGGAGCTGGGACGTCGCTAGGTAACAAATAGTAGACTGATCAAACTCACCCACCATTAAACTGACATCTAAGAGTGCAAGACTCTTTTTTTTTCTTCCCCTTTCTGAAAGCTTTTACTAATGATGGTCATAACTACATAAGTGAAGGTCAGATATTATTCCTAGTTTTCAACAACAATGTAAATAAATATTAAGGGGAAAAGAACACTCAAATGATGCTCAATAATGCTAAGGTAATTTATAAAAGAGGTTTAAAATTAATATTTTTTATGAGAATAATTAATGAACAAATTTGAAGTCTATATCTGATGAAAAAATCTAATTTAGCTATTGAACTAGAACTCATGTTCCATACCTTCACCACTCCATTCACTTTACACTCTCTTGTATTGGTTAATTTTTTTTTAATATTTAAATTATAATCGGTATTATAAAAAATTACAATTACAAAGAAGATCCTCTAGAAATTTTATAACCATATAAGTAAAATTTTAACTAAGCATTTACAAGGCGCAGTAATTGGAATTTTATTTTGACTCTAAAAAGAAGAAAGAAAGAAAAAAGGTCTCTTCATTTTAACAGTATATATACAAGGCTAAGTAAAGTGGGACCTAAAACTAAGCCAAAACTCGAAAAATCACGCATGAACACAAGCAAATCAAGCAACCCAAGAAATCCGGGATTTTGAGTATTTGGACCCAACGCGTTTACTTGATGGTCCTTCCTTACACTCACCCAGAAACCTGTCTAAATATAATAATACCGCCAGTGGTAGTAGATAGAGACAGCCGGACAAAGCCTTTATTCTCTTCTTCTCTCTGCTTCTGCGTATTCTACTAGGCAGGCACCCTGGTAAAGCAAAGGTTGAGTCTTTTCTTTCTCACCTATGTACCCATCATTCGTTTCTACCCATTAGTCTACTCAGTTGCTCTTTCTTTCTGCTCAATTGGGTATTCTAGTTTCGTGTTGAATTGTTCAAATTTGATAGCTTTTTGTTGATTTGTTTATTGATTTTAGTATTTTTCTTTTGCCTTTTTCTTTTGTCCTGTTTCTGTAGGCCTTTTCTTGGTTTTGCGGTCTTATATGTTCAGTGACTTTAGTTTGTGATCCACAGATTCAAAGGTGTGTTCTTTGTTGTACAAATTGCTGATTCAGTAGCTGATCAAGCAAGGTTTTGACCCTCTCTGGGTTCTCTTTATTTGGTTGTCTTGTCTCAAGTTTCATCATTTTTGTGTGGTTGGACTCTTGATTTATTTGTCCTGTTTCTTGTATCGAAGGGAATTCATCTGTCATAGATGCCATATCAGAAAGTTGGTAATAGTGATTTCTGTTTGTTGATTTGGTGGTAGCAATTGTACATCACTTGTTGGGGGGGTATAAATCCATGCCTTTTATTTACATCTATAAAGTCAATCTAGAGGGATTTGACTTCTCAAATTTGGAGATTGGAGATTGGATCTTATGTATTTTGTTAAGACATTCAGTAGAGTTAGATATTTCTGCTGAGGAAGTGTTAAGGAAAGAATTAAGTGTAGGTCTAAATGGGGAATACTTGTGTTGGACCGAGCATTTCCAAGAATGGATTCTTCCAATCGGTTTCGGCTGTAATGTGGCCAAACCGGTCGCCAGATGACTTAGTTCACACAAACGAAGAAACTATCAATGAGACATCAACACCTAAGGAACCTGAGTCACCTATGCCGGTACAAGACAAACCACCAGAACAAGTGACAATACCAAAACCAGAAACCGAGCCAAAGCAATCCGCAAAACCCAAAAGGCCACCACAGATGAAGAGGGTCTCTAGTGCAGGACTTCGGACCGGTTCAGTGTTACAAACGAGAACTGGAAAGTTAAAGGAGTTTTACAGTTTGGGGAGGAAACTGGGACAGGGGCAATTTGGAATAACGTTTTTGTGTGTGGAGAAGGCGACAGGGAAAGAGTTTGCATGCAAATCGATTGCAAAAAGGAAGTTATTAACTGATGAGGATGTGGAGGACGTGAGGAGGGAAATTCAGATAATGCACCATTTGGCAGGGCACCCAAATGTTATATCTATTAAGGGTGCGTATGAGGATGCTGTAGCAGTTCATGTAGTTATGGAATTATGTGCAGGAGGTGAGCTCTTTGATAGGATTATCCAGCGTGGGCATTATACAGAGAGAAAGGCAGCTGAGCTAACTAGAACTATAGTTGGAGTTGTGGAAGCTTGCCATTCATTGGGGGTTATGCATCGAGACCTTAAGCCAGAGAATTTTCTTTTTGTCAGTCAGGATGAGGATGCACTTCTCAAAACTATTGATTTTGGATTATCTATTTTCTTGAAGCCAGGTAATTGTCATTGCGCCGTTTTCTTATTATTGGAATCACTTTTTAGATATTCTTCTATTAATGTTACTTCAGTTATGCTGCTCAAGGCTTTAAGTCTATCATGCCCCTACCAAATGAAATGCGATTCAGTACAATATTGTGCATAAAACTGATCACAGAAACTTTTTTGTCTAAATATTCATTGTCCATCTGCTCCTTTCAATCATCTTTAAAACAGTATCCATTCACTCACTTATCTTCACTCACTTGTCTTACAATATGCTTTGAATTTGAGGGCGATTCTCCGATAAGTATTTAAGTTAAGGATTGGTTACATATTTCTAATCTCGGCCGTTGGATTGCATTCATTAGATGTGTTGGTAGATTTAATATGCAACATACATGCAATCCAACGGTCGAGATTAGAAATGTGTAACCAATCCTTAACATAAAATACTTATTGGAGAATCTTCCTTGAATTTGATACTCAATCATGTTTTAACATTTTGTGGCTCTGTTCTGGACCATTATGCTGTTGTACCATTTGTCTCTGAACTAATCACTTCGAGCATGCAAGCTTTTTCTTTAGTTATCATCCAGTTAACTCATAAGTTTTGTTGGATACTCAGTCTGGGAATTGGAATACCTGAGGCCATATTTACATTATACTCCCCATTTTAAAAGCTTTAAAATTTTAGAATTATCTTCTTCCAGGCTTCAAAGTCCCAACTAAAAGATCTGATTGTGGAAACCAGACAGAGTCTGGTAGCTTCAAAAACAGGGGAAAGCAGGGGCAAGACTGCTATACAATTGCTTATGTTACCTTGGGTTCTCTAAGAAAATTTAAAATTTTGATAATGAAATTTAAAATCGGAATTTTTTATTTCATAATCTTGTGTAGTTGATAGTATTTACAAAAATTCCCAAAAAGTAAGTACTATAACATATGATTCAAGTTATATCTCATGAATGGTTTAGAACTTATATGAATTTTATGAGAAAATGGGAGTTTAGAACAAATGCTATAATTTTTATGTATGTAAATTCGAATCAATAGATTTTTTATGATAAGCGTGATCCCTAATCTTATTACCAACACATGAAAGTTTTAAAGGTCACATAAATAACCTAACCTAAGTTTTTTCCATAACGGTCACTTCTTAAATAAGCATTACACAAAATATCCGAGAGCCACTACTTTTTCATTGGCATTGCATCTTTTTACTATACATTATTTCTTGCTCTATCCATTCAGTAGCCTATATACCTTGAGCTGAGACTGGGATGACATTTGTATTACCAATAATTCCAAGTCATTCTCTTATTATACACTGTTCAACCATTAACTCTGCAGTCATACTCACTGAACGCCTGAGACCCCAGACTATCTTCTTTCTACTTTTGTATCTTGGCCGATTTGTTTGGCTTGTTTCACACAATGTACCACCCTCTTTTACAGTTTTGGAAAAGTTCTGGTTTGGGAGAGCTTTTATGGCGCTGTATTCCTATATAGTCAAATAGCTGTAGTGATTGCAAATGGCATCACCTTCACCTATAGGATTTGTTTAAGCCAACCTTCTGTCTTCTAAGAAAAAATAAATTCAGCCAAATGAATCATCCTCTTTTACAGTGTAGGACGACTTATGGTTTTGGATAGCTTTGTTGTAGTATTCCTAAATAGTGAAATTGCTGTAATGATTGCAAAATGTATCACCTCTGGATCTGGATAAAGTGAACCTTTGTTCATGCACATGGTTCATTTCTTCTAAAAAATAAGTTAGAGTGTGAGGTCAGTTTTTTAGTTTATTGATTTATGTTATTGTGGATGCTAATTATTTGATTACTACTTGTTCACATTCCATATGTAATGATCAAATTCAGTTAGCTGTTCGATGTTTCTGACAATGACGTGAGTTTTTAATATTTTGCTTTTAGCCACCTTCTTCCAGTCAGGTAGGTTCCCAATGTCTTTTTTTTAAAATCTCTCCACAAAACTTACTTAACCTTGTACACTATGGGATAAGCTACAGTACCTATAATGTCAACTTTGGATTTGAACTTTAGCTTGAGGTCAAAGTCTGGTCATTGTGGAAAATAAAATTTTGGAATTTCATGACAAAAGCTTGTTACCAAAAAAATAGAATACTTTGTTAAAGTTTTAATAGTCGAAAAGATAGATTCCATCAGTGGAAATTTCAATATAATATTTGAATCCATACAAATTTCTGGGATGGATACGATTTTATTGTAATGCAAATAACCATACATTAACTCCTTTTCTGTGCATGGTTTCCGAACTTAGTTTGGTGAAGCATGCTTCTTGTCTGTGCTCTTTTGACTGATTGGTACTTTATTTTTTTTAACAAATAATAACTAGAGTTGAAGATTAAACTTTTCAGAATTTAATGATGGAATCTAGAGTTGAAAGATCCATGGTGCCTCCTTGCAGGAGAAAAATTTAGTGATGTGGTTGGAAGCCCATATTATGTTGCACCTGAAGTTTTACGAAAGCGTTATGGTCCAGAAGCGGATGTCTGGAGTGCTGGAGTGATCCTTTACATTCTGTTAAGTGGTGTACCTCCATTTTGGGCTGGTGAGAACTTTTGGCTTGATATACATTTGATTCTTGATGTTCTTTCATGTTTTAATAAATATGATCTTACTTTTGATTGTTGTAATAATTTTCCCCATTTTCTTGTTTTTACTTTACTTTGTTGTGATTCCACAGAAAACGAGCAAGGAATTTTTGAACAGGTCTTGCATGGTGACCTCGATTTTGCATCTGACCCTTGGCCTAGTATTTCTGATGGTGCCAAAGATTTAGTGAGAAGGATGCTTGTTCGAGACCCTAAAAGGCGAATGACTGCACATGAAGTTTTGTGTGAGTCCCTTTCAATGTTTATATATATATATATATATTCTTTCAGGATTGTTGATTGTGAAATTTGAGGATTTTTATTTGTGGCTAGGGTATTTGACTAATCAGAATCCAAAAAGGATTGTACTGGAATACATATTTGTACTTAATTTCTTCCAAATCACCATTGGATTGCTCTACTTGGAGCTTTCTAGGTCATAGGCCTTAAGTACTCTTCTGGTCTGTTAAAAAATCTTAATATTGATGTGCTGTCCAAAAAGGATAAAAGAAAGTGGAAGTTGAACAAAACAGGTGCAAAAATGACTGCTGAGTAATTCTCCCATTGATGTTCACCCTTTCAGTTCTTTTTGTGAGCTCTAATGTGTGCAGCATCTACCTCATATACTTAAAAAGAAAGAAAAGACAATTTCCTGCCTAATCATTTGTGTATTATGTGTCTTATCAGTGTTGTTTTTCTTTATTTGGTATTAAAAAATTTACCTTGTCTTTCAAATCGGCAATATAAGGTTAGAGTAGATGTGATTGTTAATGATTAAATAGAGATATAAAGATTTTATACATTACTATGATGTTTAAAAAACCTTAACACAGCAGTGGAAGTCGGATCTTATTTTTTAAACCTCTTAGGAAAGCGCAAGGATCACTTCGGCTGCTACACTTTTAGGCATTTTAAGTTATGTGTATTTTGTTGTGATCATTTTTAGCATGTCATTTTCTTTTAATTGATTACATGGGTTTTATTCCTTTCAGGTCATCCCTGGGTGCAAGTTGATGGTGTGGCTCCTGACAAGGCTCTTGATTCTGCAGTTCTAAGTCGCTTAAAGCAATTTTCAGCAATGAACAAGCTCAAAAAAATGGCTCTCAGAGTAAGTATCTGAATGTGCCAGGCACAAACATTAGGTATTTGGAGCGCTAAATATTTGAAGTTGTTGCATAAAACTTATTGAAATACTTAATAACTTTTGTCTTTTGGCTGGAACTTTGATTAATAACTTAAACGAAGTGTTTTTTGGATCGTCTTTCACCAAGATGATAATTTCTTTTTTAATTTTTTCCAGGTCATTGCAGAGAGCTTATCTGAAGAAGAAATAGCTGGCCTCAAAGAAATGTTCAAGATAATAGACGCTGACAACAGTGGTCAAATCACTTTGAGGAACTTAAGGCTGGATTGAAAAGATTTGGAGCTAATCTCAAGGAGTCTGAAATTTATGATCTAATGCAAGCAGTACGTACAAGATCAAAGTTGGATTACTTTCAACTCTAGTAATTCATTATTTTTTTCAGGAAGTCAGAAGTAGAATAGTAGGAACACATATTTTACCCCTAGAAGACTTGACCAAAGTACTAGATACATGCCTCTCTCTCTTAGCTCTACCTGCCACCACACTTTGTCTTACACTCTCTGGCCAGTGCGTTTTTTCTGGTCATAGCCACCATGGTCATTCCAGCCACAGTGACCTTTTTTTAAAGAAATGAAAAAATGAATGCAAGTTTTTTTTTCTGATGTTAAAAAAATGAAAGAATTTTTTAAAGAATAATACAGTTAATTTTTAGGTGGCTATAGAGGGAAATTAGTTTGGTTCATATAGAATGGCCTCTTCAGGAGAAGATAAATATTGACATGGGCAAACTACGGATGCACCTCATGTGGTTGGCCCAAAAACAAAAGCCAGCATACAATTTGTTTATCAACACTATAGAACTTATGGTTTCATAAATAGGGGTAAATGCGACTAGATTCGTACGATGGTAGAATCTTAGAGGTAAAATAATTCTAGATTTGTAAAAGATTAGAAGATCTAGAGTTTATTTTTTAATAGTAAAGTTCCTGATAGATAAACTATTCTTGTTTAAGGTGAAAAAGAAGCGAATATGCCCGCATTTAGAAGTTTAACGCTTAATTGTCACGTGTCACAAATTACACAGATTTTCTTTCTAGGTTAGAATGCCTTTCTTAAAGGGAGTGCAAGTTAATAATATCGTTTTGCAGAGATTCTTTAAGATCATAAGTAACGCATTTTCTGATTTGCAGGCAGATGTAGATAACAGTGGAACCATTGATTATGGAGAATTCGTAGCTGCAACATTGCACCTAAACAAAATTGAGAGAGAAGATCATCTATTTGCAGCTTTCTCCTACTTTGACAAGGATGGAAGTGGCTATATTACTCCAGATGAGCTTCAACTAGCTTGTGAGGAGTTTGGCATAGAGGATGTTCGCCTGAAGAAATGATACGAGAAGTTGATCAGGACAATGTAAGTGATTCTATGTTAACAATACATCATTGGTATTAGGATGGGAAGTAGTTGATGATGTGGCTCAAAATAAGGCATGGATCCCAAGTGTCTAAACTTGGGATGATTCAATAGTAAACTAGCATTATTTGGAGAGTAATGCAATAGGTTCACGTATTCGAAGGGTGATGCGACAGTTACAAAGAGTTATACAAAAAAATTATTTTATAAACTGACATGGCAGTTCCATTTTGGTTTGCTAGCATACTTAAGAGGCATGCTAAACGCACCAATTAATCATGTGAGTATGGGTGGCTTCAAACTCAATTGCTGCGTCAGTTTATGTAACAAATTTGTTACAGTCAAACTGTGTCAATAGTATTGCTTTTGTATGCACCCAGTAGCCTTTTGGTGACCGATTAGAAAGCAGTTTGCATGAAACTTGGTCAAACTGCATGTCTGCTTTGCGACCCTAAGAAATGAATTCAAACAAAATTAATGACTTAAATGTCAAGCAAAAGCTCTTTTACTATCATGGTAATGTTGTTTGAAATAGTACAGTGGATTTGGGGTTTAGAACTCGTGATGACCCAAAAGAGGAATGAGTATGTCAAGAATCCGTGCCTTGTCTTTGTTTCATTACTACATGTTTATACTAATATTTATTGCACAAGGGATGAGTTCTGTCAAGCCAGCCTTCTGATCTTTTTACATGTGAGAGTTACCCATGTAAATTTCCTTTTTTTTATTGCAGGATGGGCGCATAGATTACAACGAGTTTGTGGCCATGAGCAAAAAGGAAATTTTGTTGGCCCGGGTAAGAAGGGGTTGCAAAGTAGCTTCAGCATTGCCTTTAGATAAGCAGTTACAATTTAGTTTCATAGACAGCAAAAGGGTTTCCTGCTTCATTCTTCATTGTTTTGAGGTATTAAGATGTATAGAAAGGTGCTTAACTGCTCATCCAAGTTGCAGCTAGACATTTCCGGTCATCCTCGCTGAATTTGTTGAGACTTCCACCCTGAAGGGATTTTGCAGTTTTAAGTCGAGCCCTTTCTATTTTGTATACGGTGGTGAGAAATTTTTTTATTTCCATACGTATAACATTTATTTTTATTTTTATCCATAATGAATATATTCTTACCTTGGATGGTTTAAAAGGCACAATTCTGATGGCATGCACGCAAGTTTGGTTTCATTCTTACAATTTTTTGTTCTTGAAATTGCAACCAAGAAAACAACATTGTAGACAAGTTTTTGAACCAAGGCCAGAAAAGGAAAACAAAAACAGGGTTTTAAAATCACTTTTCAGGAAAGGAACTTCTGTTCAGGAAGTATTGAATTGATGTCATTTTTCTCTCAGTTCAACAAAGAACCTTAAAAAAAAAACCTGTTATTGTTTATTAAAAATCATTTTCTTAAATCTGATGCATTTATGCCTGATATCAAACGACTACCACAAAGCCCATATGATGCATATAATAACTTCAAATATTAAAATAAGCATCGAAGTTTTTAGAGAACATGAGGCGCTAATCCGAATCCAATACTCTTGGATGACAAGGCACCGTTCTTTTTTTTCTCCTTCATTTTAGAAACAACTTTTATGTTTCGTTGGTTAGCAGAGACCATTGCGTTACGTGTATATACGTAATATAGTAAATAATTATAAAACTGTAAGTCAAAAAAATTTCAGTATCCAACACAAGTTGGAATTTGGAAATTCTATTTCTTGTTTTGTTTTGTCTAGAATCATATTCAAGAGGAATTCTGCATGTCCAATAAGAAAAGGAAAGAGGAATTCTACCATGTACAACATTTTATCAGGAACGTATATTGGTTTAACCCATTCAGGGAACATGATCTGAGAACTCAAAGAAACCCTGGGGAACTAATTTGGACAATAATCCAGTCCAACTTGGTTTTATCCGATGAGACCGAGTGTTAAATTCATCCATGATGTAGCATCCAGATAATTCCTACTTTCCCAGCAGTTTTGAATGAAGGCATTTTGGTGCTGACTTGTGCTCAAAAGACTTCTAATGAACAGTAACAACTCCAACACAAAACCAAGCGAGTAGGTCATAGGTTGACCAATCAAATTTAGCAAGTCCACGAATTTGATCTCTTCATTACCGGCTTCATCTGTCTGTCTCCTCGAGCGCTATCATACCCAAATGAGACGGATCTTCCAACATCATCTTTGCTACCCAAGTACCCCGCAACTGACCAGGTCTGGAATTTTCGGGCCTGCTTCCCAACATAACGACCAAGTTTCCCATCATAGTATTCAGGCCAATTGTCTTTCAGCAACCTGCTCTCAGCAAGTTCAATGGCACGTCTAGCAATCTGGGGCCGCCAGTCTTGATGCATGCAGCAGTGAGAAGCCATAACAGCACTGTATCAACCACAATGACAACATGTAAATGGCAGGAAAAATAAAGGAACACCCTAACAACAACATCGCCACATCATTTAATTATCACGCTGAGATGTATACACAGGTATATGTAGAGTAATCAAGCTTTAGGCAAAGTAAAAATACTACAGTTTTTATCTCAATTCACTGCTAATAACTCATGACCAAAACCTTCTAGTGACAAAAATGATAACTTCTCCAAAAATTTATGGAGTAAAATAGTTATGAAACTTCCTACTCTACTTGCAAGTTGCATCCGTTGCTCTGTCCTAGAAAACCCCTATATTCTCTCATCTCGTCTGCAATTATTTGCAGACATTCAGTCCATGCCAAAATAGCGTTGATGCTGTCTTGAAAAATTTCAAACGCTGAATTATAGGGAAAAAGAAATTTGCACCATGGATAGAGGAATGTGGACAAAAGAGGGTGAAATGTACAAATTAGTGAAGAATAAGAGTTGGTTGAGTAAAGATTCAATATGCTTTCATGTAAACTGCAGAATTGGTCCAGCAGAATGGGCCAAAGGAGGGGTGAAGGAGGCGACATGGGAGAAAGATGGGGAGCAGGGGAGAAGTTCTCTTTTTTCCCAATCTTTTTCTACTGATCTATTGTGCAATTTCCATAATGCCATCAGTAGTTACGGTAAAATTTTGTACAGAGGAGGCTATTGAGTGCAAGCATACCTGGCCAAGACCCTCCGTGTGGTAGCTCCATCTAGTATTTTTTGGGTCGCAGCCTGTTACAATCCGCCATTGATGACTTTCTATAGCTGGATAACAAACCTTTAGTGGCATTTCTCCTGCCAATTCTTTCCATCGTGATTCTATGAGATCCATTATTGCCATGGATTGTTCGGGGGTTGCCAACGATGAAAGAATTGCTATACAATTACCCAAGCAAAACCAACGGAAATCCATTCTGGCGGGACTGACATTCCCAATAAAGTAACCACCACGAGTTGGCATAAAATCAAAGACCCAGTCTGGAAGAGAATCTGGTATCACATTGAACTTGTTGACCGCTGTATGTGAGTACTCTTCAGTTTTATATCGATATATGTCATTTAACTGCTTAAAGTCTAGCCAAAAGTAACTTCTCATGTGATAGCTCAAGGCATGAAGGCGTTTTACTATGCGCTCTACAAACTCCTTCCCCTCATCATCTTGCTTAAGCAACAGCAAAGCACATCTTAAAGCCATGAAGAAAAGAGCCTGAATTTCGATGGGGTACCCATAGACACCCTGAAAACACAAAACCAATACAGAAGTGAGCCTAAGGAATTGAAAAGATAGGCAACACAAAACCAAATCTAAAAAAGCAGCATATTATCTTAAAACACAAAATGAAAGCAGCTAGTAGTGATGACTGATGAAGATCAATGAATGCTCTAACAAGAGAGTGCCCACAGTGCTTCATATTACAAGAAAATGTAATCTAAATTAACTTTCTTTTGCTTTTGTTTTTGTTTTTTGCAATTTAATTGATGGCAAGCTGAAAATTTGATGGGGAGATTAAAAGTTCTCAAAAGTCTGTGCACCAAAACATCACGATGGGTTTAGTTGCATGAATTTACCTCTGCCAGGGTAATAAGAACCTAAAACAATCCTTCAGGCAGAGATATCTTGGGGTTAACATGGCAGTGAGTGACTTAGCTCATAAGCCTTTACAACAAACCTGATTTACATATAATTTCAAATGCTGCACTCAGATAATGAGGAAGAAGGCACTAACTGGGAGATTCATTTGTTTTGACAGACAGAGAAAATATCGACTCAAATTCGAATACGTTAGATCCAAGTTCCATCCTCCTAGACAATTAAACAAACGAGAAGGCTGACCAGGTTGACACGAAATTCAATATTAGAGTTACTCACAGAAGGATGATTTGAGTTTTCTGAATGTTGTAGACTAAGTTACTAGCTGCAAAACTAACAACTTATGCATATGCTAATATTTTAAGGGTGATGTAGTACAGCCCGTAGGTATTAGATTAAGCACTCAAATACTAGAACGGAGAAGAATATAAGAGACTGGGGAGAAGAATAGAGATCGAAAAGACGAGATAAAGGACAGAAACAGTAGAACAAAGAAGAATATCGGAGATCGAGGAGAAGAAATATAGATTGAAGGGACGAAATCAGAGAGTTCTAGGAAAAGGTTTACTCAACATTCAAATCTGAATTTAAAGAACTACATGGGGGTATTTATAGCAAACTAAAACCTAGACATAACAGGATAAAAATCCCTTGCTTAAACAGAAATTCTAACCCAATAAAATAGGAAACTTAAAACTAGAAATCTGGAAATCTGGAAAAGTAGAAATCCTACTAGAATTTGGAAAACTAGAGAATCTAGGAAACTAACAAATACATTAGGAAACTAATAAACTTAGGTCCAACGTGTCCTGCATCAAAGGGCTTTGACTGTGGTGGACTCATGATATTAGGCATATATGGCCTGATTCATACCAGATGATAGAAAAACAGGACTCAACATAATTATGAAAATCTTACCATTCTACGATCAATCATGCAGCATCCATCAGCACAAAGAAGGGTTGGAAATGTGTCGAACCCCTCCGATAGACATAAACTTAGAATAAGCCGCATACCCTTCTGGCATTCAGGAAGTTCCGCCAATGAAGAGTCTCCAGTGGATTTTGTGTATGCTCGAAGCAATATGATCCACCAAAATCCAGAATCAACAGGAGCAACTCTTCCTATCGCACTCTCGCCAAAATCTGCTATTAAAGTCTCACTGTTCCTGACTGGATCATGGAGTACTTTGAAACTAGCTGGCATTACTCCTTCTCCAAGATGGAACCTATCAATCTTTTTCTCCCATGACTGAAGACGCAGAGTCTTCAAGATAAAATTTTTAACTATTTCAGGTTCACCATTCATCAAAAAAGCCAATCCACTAGGGACAAAGTCTCTGACAAACACCTTCACAGATGCATAAGAAGAAAAATAAGAATAAAATTTGTGATTGCCAACTTCATGGAACAGAAACTCTGCCTGGTAAATCAGAGTTAAAGAAAAGCACAAATGGAGAACTGGATAAGTTGAAAATTGAAACTAATATAGTTTGTTCAACATATAAAAAATATGTCCTGCATAAAGAATATCCAAGGCAGAACATATCCCACAGTTTGAAATATATTATTGGAACATTAAATCAGCAAGTTAATTATAAAGCTTGGAAGCTCGGGTATTCCGCCCCCCCTGCCCCCAGGCAGACAATGTGCCTAAGCCTGTTTGTATGCATGTATCAAAATTCCTAAGACATATATACATATAAACATGGTGGTCATCAAAAACTGAAAATGTGGCTCCCCAAGACGACTAAGGGACTGACGAAGGTAACACAATGCATTTCAAATTTGTTTACTATATGGATGTGTCACAATAACTCATGTCTTCAATGCAAAGACATCATAAATGTTCCTTACGCGTGTGTGTATTTGTAGGGTGATACTATATCCAAAAGATTGAAAACATAAACAAATGGAGATATACAAACAATGAAGTCTCAGGTTCTCTCTATTATTGCAGACTCAACGTTCCAAGAATATGTACATTTAATACGACGAACAAGGAGAGGAGGTCTCTACCTGATCATAGTTAAGTTTTTCTTCAGAGGTATCTGTTGCAGCAATTGTCCCAACTGGCTGACCACGGAAAAACACCAACGAACGCCTCAAAGTTTCCCAGGCTTCAGCAACCATTGGATGTGGCTCAAAGCCAGTCAGTGACCTAGGGGTGCCAATGAATGACGTTCTACTGGGCGAAAATACATATTCAGGATGGTCAAAAATCTGGAGGAGTTATCAGCATTTCTTGATGAGTGACGCGGGGACAACACAACAGATAGTTCACTGAGTGACCTTTCATCAAATGATCTTTTTCTCTCCATATTCAGAAAGCTTGGTCGGTCTAACAACTTTGAAAAATCAATTTCTTCAATTTCTGCCACACTACATAAGGCATCAACATGCCTTATATTTCCATTCTGAGACATGTCTGAATTGGGTATTGACATTTCCACAGATTTCAGCACTTGACAGTCAGTGACCCCAGTGGTTAGTTTAGTGCTCAACACCCACCCTGCAATTCAACCACCAGATTTGAACCATTGATCATCTGCAAAGAGGCAGTAATTATCTATTTCCACCTCTCCCACGTGACCAATAACGGATAAGAACCCATTTACTTTACTACTCTATCCAATGAAAACAAATAGAAATATTACAACCACCCAAGTAAGAACTGTAAATGAGGATAATTTATAGAATGATAATTGACAATTATGAAGTGGTTTACAAACCAAGTTTGTTGCATACAGCAGGAAAATTCACAACCCTCCAGTTTCCCAATTACAATCAATAATACATATCATATAACGATGCTCCAAAAGAATGCAGGAAACCAAATATATTACTATGTTTCCAATCCTTCAAATTTCAGCAGTTAGGTATCTCAATAATTTACCAAACAAAATGAAAAGTGGGTTTTCGTTTTCTGTAAAGCCAAATAAAAAGTAATAATCAATGGATTCAATTTGATTCTCATTTCCACTTGTTTCTTCAGCAACCAAACATATATGATAGCATGTAAGAAAATACTCAAATCTGTCCGCCGCAAGAAGAGCAATTCCCGGAAAACAAATCCCAGAACTGATGTAGAATGCTTCAAGATCCAATCAAGTTGAATACTTTGATAATCCAAACCCATCAAAACATGCGTGCATTATGGAATGGACATTGATTAATTAATTGGTTTTCAAGAACAGAGAACTAACCTCAAAGGAGTCTCCAAAGGCCAAGCTTGAGAGAACTAACCAAGCTCACTACTGACAGTGTATTCTTATAGAATCTTTGTTGGGTACCATGAGGCGGTGGTGGGTCGCTCAGTACTCTGTGAAATGGTAGAGATGACTGGCAGATGGGTTTGGGGTTAGAATGCCTAAATATCACTGCTACATCATATACATGAGACCTCTACGGCAGATGAGGCTCTGTGATGTACGGAAAATGTTGACACTTTGGTGCATCGTGGATGATTTTTATTGACTGTGATGGGCAACTTGGATGATTTTTATTGACTGTGATGGGCAACTTGGTTGCGTTACATGTCGACTTAATTAGTGTTTCCAATGCATATTAATATTATAACATAAAGTATAAATCAATTTCATATTACATGTTAAAATTTGAGATGATTTGAATCAATTGGCTCTTATTATAGTAAAATTATATCTAAAGTTCAAATTTCTCTTTCTGTAATTATCAATGAAAAAAATTACTATATATACATATATGTCACGAGATGTTACTGTGAGAAATATGATATATGATGTGGGGGACTTTAATACTTAGACCTTGTTAAACAAGAACATGCCAACTGGGTCTTTAGCCTGTGTAGCAATTGAAAATATGCGATGGCAAAGATGTCTCTTTGTCTTCGAGCTGTATATCCAAAGTGGCTGGTGAGCTAAAATGCTTAAATGGTGATCCTTTACAAACAACAAAGAGCACACTCACAAAGTCACATGAGGAACCCTGGACATCTTGTGATGATCTAATCAGCAAATTGCAAAAACTCGGCCAAACTTTTGAAGTTTCTAAGATTAATCAGCAAATTGAGACCATAAAATAAAACCTTGTCTTACGTTGACCTAATTGTTGTACGTATGTGGATTGATCACCATGTGCTAGCTACTTGGCATGGTTAAGTAGTGCATGCCTACCTCATGCAAGCAAGCTTCATGTGTGACTTAAAATAAAATGAAAACATGGACACCTAAGGCCACATGCGGATCTACTCCAGCCGAGTGCTGTTTTTTTTTTTTTTTTTTTTTTTTTTTTTTTTTTGGGTTAGGTCGTGTATTTATTTAAAAAAGCACAACTCTCTATATAGAAATAAGCCCATTCTTGAAGCATATATAAAATAGTAAACATGTAATCCATAACCTATATAAATTTGATTAAAAACAGACATCATAAATTTTCTTTTAGCCACCCAAAATGCCATATTTGAACCTTGAGAGCCCTCTCCCCCTTTTAAAAATTGTACCAACCTATCATTTTGTCTTCTGAATTCATTGTCGCTCTTTCTCTTTTTCAGTTCTTCTTCTCTTCTCTCTGGTGTCACACTCAAAGAAAACCTAACTCACGCTCTCAACTCCAAATTTGGTCATCTCTTTGTGGGAGCAAATATTTTCATCTCCAATTATGAGACGCCCCATGGACAAAAAGAATTTTCCCTAGGTTAATTAATTGAGCTCATTTATTTGGCCAACTAATTAATACTAAAAATAGGGATAATATCTTAAATATGGGATATTATATTTATTTAATAAGATAATATCACCAATTTAGATATTGTCCAAATTTGAAGATATCATCATCAAATTACGAGATTTGATCCCAATCAAATCCCTAATGGACTCAATCTCTGAAATTTTTGGAAATAATAAACTCCTTCCAAAGAAAAGTTTAATCTTTGCAAAACCCTAGCCTCCGAGGCTCCTATTGTAACATCCCGATCACATTAAACTGGTGTAGTGGCCAGTCCAATTAGCTGCGAGGGACATTAAGACTCTGAGTGTGTTCAATTTTGCAACTGGTGCAAAGGTTTCTTTATATTCTACACCATAAGGATGTGTATCCTTTTGCCACAAGTCTTGCCTTGTATCACTCGATAGATCCATCAACGTTGTGTTTTATGGTAAACATCCATCTACATCTGATAGTCTTTTTTACTTGTGGTAAAGTTTCCAGTGTCCAAGTTAGATTCTTCTTAAGAGCTTTCATCCCTTGCTTTGTAGCTTGAACCCACTTAGGATCTTTCAATGCTTCAGCAACCTTGGTTAGGATATGAATAGCAGACAACTGATGCACAAAGGCCTTGAGTGGTTCATACAGCTTTTTAGTGGATACATGATTCGCAATTGGATACTTTGATGTCTTGCCAATATCAGGTGAATAACAGTTTAGTGGCTTTCCACGATTCTGCCTGAAAGGTAATTGGTATCCAATAGATTTATCCTATAAATTCAAAAGTGTAGTGCGAGTAGTTACCTCAAGGATATTCTCAGGAGATTCGTCTGTTGGTACTATTCAGTTAGAAGGGGTCTTCATCTTGTTGTTCTGTATTGTCTGTAGGTGTGAGACTTGAATAAGAAACATCTTTGCAGGGGTTACGCGAGTCAGACGATTGATTGCTGTGAATGGGTGATTGATCGCTTTTGGGCAGAAAGCAATCTTATCCACCAGACACGGGATTATCGATCGTTTCTATACAGAGGCGAATTTCTGCGTTTTCCAAGTTACTTCAATTCTGCTCTTCACTTCGTATCTCCCCCTAAATCATAGAATTGGATGATGGGTCATGGAAGAACGTCTTAGATTCCATAAAGGTCATAAAGTGACATAGGTACGTCGGGTAGGAAGGTGATAATAGTTGTAGCCTTTCTGATGAGTGGCATAACCCATAAAAACACAACGAAGTGCACATGGATCAAGTTTTCTACATTGATTTTTGTGGAGATGGACGAAGGCCACACATCCAAAGATTCGGGGTGTGAGTACCAAAACAGAAGGCAGGGGCCCGTGTTGCTCAAGCACTTGGAAGGGAATTTTAAAGGTCAATACACCAAAAGGCATGTGGTTGATCAGGTGAATTGCAGTGACAATAGCATCATCCCTATGATGGCAAGGAACATGAGCACCAATCAGAAGTGCTTGGGCGGTTTTAAGAAGATGTCGATTCTTTCGTTCAGCAACAACATTTTGTTGTGGTATCTGAGGACAAGTCATCTCATGGATAATTTCATGTTGTTGGAAATAAGCCTAAAAGTCATGATTGACAAATTTTCCACCATTGTTTGAGGGAAAAATCTGTATTTGAGCATTGAATTGAGTTTTCATCTGTTTGTGGAAGAATTGAAAAAGGAAAAAACTTTTCATTTTTATTCTTCAGCAAATAAAGCCATGTCATCCATGTACAATCATCTATGCATGTGATAAACTACCGAACACACCAGAGGGAGCAATGATAGGTGAAGGTCCCCAGATATCAGAGTGAATCAACGTAAACGGAGTAGTACTAGACCTGACAATATTGTACATGACCCGTTAACACGACACGAATTCGCACGAAAAATTTAGTATTCGGGTATAAGTTATCGAGTCAGGTTGATAAGGGTTAACTCGTTAAGCTATCAGGTCGTGTTAGTGTCATTCGCGAATCACCCGTTAACCCATTAAGGGCAGGGGTATTTTTGTAATTTTACATGAGTTTCTCTTTAAAAAAGTGAAAATATTTGAATCCAGGAAGGGGATTCGAATCCCTACCAATGCATTTTCAAAGAAACTACCTTTATCCACTTGGTTGTATGCAATTGTTTTGATGTTGTCTAATTCCTTTCTGATTTATACACATCTATTTAATATAATATTAATGTGTGCAAAAGCAGACAAGTAGAAGAGTGAACCTTCATTGACAAAAAAAAATACTGAAACTTCATCCTCTACACCAGCCTCTTATGCTAGACAGAGGCTAGTTTCTTCAGTTTTGTTTCGACGACAGAAGAAAAAGGAAGAAGAAAAAGGAAGAAGAAGAAAGAGGAATCCAACCATGTCCAGATATAAATCACGAACTCTCCCTCGCCAGGTCTAACTTCACCTCCGTACATTCACAAGAGCTTATTAGAGCCATTAATCTCTTTCCCAAGGAAGATATTAACATCATCGACAACCATATGAAGCTTTGTTAAGGGGGTTTTGTTTGGAATTCGTTTGAATGTTAGGGTTTTATGGTTAACTTGTTGAATTGGGGAATTTCTAATTTTTTATATATATTTATGTATTGAATTTAGCTCCTTGATTTTTCCACATCATGAGAATGAACTTGCCCAGTATTTTAGGGTTTATATTAAGAAGATAATCAAATGAAAATTTTATTAAAGATGCTAACTGGTTAATCTAGGTCGGCAAGTAACAAACTATTATATTATTACAAAGGAAACTAAAAATAAAAAATAAAAAAGTAGGGCGTATACAAAACAAATATAGAAATTACCAGAAATGAAAATTCATACAAATAAAAATTCCCACAAATAGAAATTCCTACAAATGGAAAAATATTTTTGTGATCGCATCTCAATCCCTCCAAGCTCATCTTAAAGTACCAGAAATGAAAATTCCTACAAATAGAAATTCCTACAATATATGAATGGAGCATTTTTGTTCACCACTTTAACCCAAGGTGTATGGTCACCACCCTTCTCAATACTTGGCACGTGTCCATATGTATAACTATGGTATTAAAGGATTTAGGGTGGTGACCATATACCTTAAGTTAAAGTGGTGAGAAAAAATATTTTCATATATAAATGGATGCAAAACAGAAAAGTTCGGGATCTATTTAACCACAAAAGTACGGTATAACCCTATTTTAACAACAATTAGTTAGTGTTTGTTTGAATATTTGTGCGGCTCAGAGTCATTTAACCACATATTTCAAGAATTCCAACTAAAAGAACCACATATTTCAAGAGAGAGAGATGAGAGAGAGAGCGCTACTCAATCTAGACTCATTATTTCAGATTTCCCCACACACAAAACGAGCATTTTTTTTTATTTTCTTTAAAAAAAAAAAAAAAAAAAAAAAAAAAAAAAAAAAAAAAAAAATCATGGCTTCACGTAGAGAAATGATGAGTTCTAATATTGATGATCTCCCGGAGCTTTTATTGGCTGAAATCATTTGTCGACTTTCTTCGAATAAACTTGTTTTTCAATGCAAGTGTGTGTCCAAGCGTTGGTGTGAACTCATATCTAGTCCTTATTTCGTTTGCTATTTCATGCGGCTCCAACGTGAGTTGCAAAAACCCATTTTAAGTACACTAGTTGCTGCAAAGACTGAAACAAACACTGGAACATTCTTTCCAATGTTGGGAACGACAAGCATAAGTGGTGATAGAGAGGAGGAGAAGGAGGAGGAGAGATTGTGTTCCCTTCCTCCGAGTCTGAGTATGCAACTACCCATTATTTCAGAAGCAGCATTATATGTGGTAGGTGCCTGTAATGACTTACTTTTGTGTTGCCCAACCCGTATTCATCAACGTTATTATTACATTTGCAATCCATACACCAAGCAATGGGTTGCTCTTCCTCCCACCCGTCGAGTCCTCAAATCGGTCGTCGTAGGGTTCATTTGTGATCCCTACTATAGCTACTCGGACTCCTCATCCTCCACCTCCTCATTGTCAAAGAAAAAAGTAGACAATGATGTTTGCATTAATGTTGAGTATAGGTGGAGGGTTGTGCGAGTATTTCCTAATTTCTGTGTGGACATATTCCTTTCTGAGAATGGGGAATGGAGAGAGTCTAAAAATCCGGTGGTATGCTTAAGCGAGTTAGTTTCTGTCCTACCTACAGGCGTTGCTTACAATGGAAAATTGTATTGGCCATGTTACAATTCTTCTAACTCCTATGTTTTTGAGTTGGATCCTTTTAGCATCAGCATCAGTAGTAGTAGTAATAATATTATCGTTGATAAATGTCGGTTGAATAGGGGGCCCTTCCGGCCTTCTCCATATCCAGCTTTATTTGCGTGCCGACGGTGTCTACGACTATTCCCGCAAATTCAACGTGGTCCTAGTTTGAATGTGTGGGAGTTGGAAGAAGATAAAGATCAAGAATTGGTCGTTACAGAAACAAAAGCAAAAGCTAGTGATGATAATTTGATGATGAAATGGCATTTGGTTGTGGAAGATGATTATTCTAACGATGATTTGTGCTCTTATGAAATTAATGAGGATGATTTCTTCCCTTGTAGCACTGCACTGTTAGGTTTCCACCCGAATAATGAGGATATCATTTATTTCCGCAATATTCAAGGAGCTATCATCATGTTCAACGTTGTTAAAAGAACAGTAGAGTTAGTTCCAGAAATTCGAGGCATAGATGGGTACCGGTTTCTTGCCACTATCACGTATCCATTTATCCTCCCATGGTGGCCCACACCAGTTCCTAGCCTCTAGCTAGATTGACTTTAATTAATTAATTTATTACCACACCAATGTCATCATCCCAAACTCAAGGACGAAGACACCGGGTCTAGGATAGAGAGATTAATTTGTTTTTAATAATGTGTAATTAATTATAAAAGCTAGATTGTTTGGTGCATTAACTAAGGCAATATCTGGACAAGCATTCCACAATTCACTGGACAAGACGATGACATTTATGCACCAACTTATGGAGGAGTGTTGGTGTGACTTGCGGAACCCACATTGACTTTCCTTGCGGACTCGCATTGACTTTTCTTGCACACCAAGGATTCCTATATTAATGTAATTAATTTACTTTAATTATTACTAATTTCCAACTGTAAATAGAATTAGAAGTTATTACTTTCCCTTGACCTTCAAGATTTTATTGTACTATAAATATGGCATCCCACAAACAATATTCTCTCATAATTCCCATATTTTAGCAAACTTGACGTCACATTGTATTATGCTAAGGGTGGGTTTTGAACTTGATTGATTAATTGATGCGGCAACAACTGTCGTAAGGTGGTTAGTTAAGTGTTTACCCTGAAATATGAACAAGGCCCTATAGCAGACTTTGGGAAATTGTGAGATGCATGCGTGTCACTATTACCAATTGTTTAAATTCTAACAGACGGAAATATAGGTCATAGCATCTCAATCAAGCAATTGCTATTTTCCACAATTTGAATTTGGTAGAGACCATCGATCATAGTACTGTTGGTCCGTCGCAAATCTCGCGCCCTGGTGCTCCGGGCCTAGGGGATGTGCGTCAACACGTGACGTCCTCCTTTTGGATGCGGTGCAGTTATGCGTGGGCGTGCCAGCACCGTCTACCGTGCGTCGAGGTGATGATGAGGTTCGGGTAGAAAATGGTTTAAATGTTGCGCCTGTTTTGCGTTCGACTCCTAATCAAACGATTGTGACCGAGTGAAGAACGAATCTCGGCCGTCAGGTTCACGGCTTGAGCTACAAGGCCGTTTAGTGGTGGTGTTGGTGGTGGGTTTTTAGGCGGTGTTTCGGCGTGTTGCTCAGAGAGCGACGGTCGTATGATATATGGGGTGAGTGAGGCGATAACAGAGGTGGTGCTCCGGCGCCTTGAAAATCAAGGGTTGTATGATATATTGATGAATGGATTTTCCTTACAGTCTACCACTACTCCTAAGAAAGCAAATAAAGGTATTGAAAGTGCATTACAGAAAATATAATTTGCTCCGTGGGAGGCTTTTGGTTTGGTGTTTGAACCCTTTGAATGTAGTCCTGAGCTTAGCATTTATAGGAGTCCTGGAGGGACATTCGAGGCTGACAAGACCTGCGTGGTGGAGCCTGGCCGGGCAAGTGGGTAGTCAAATCGGCATTTGGGATCGTGAAGCATGGTGGTCTAGGGTTGAGAAGCATGGTGGTGTGACCCCCATAAATCTCGACAAATCTCTGCCATCGCCCTGATCGTGGGTTCTGCCCCCTTGGCCGTGGGAACGCATTTAATGCTCTGGACTGGTGGTTGATGATCTGACCCTAAGTCGTAAGATTACTTGTGAGAATGTCTGCGCCTAACCACCCTGATTCCCATCACCAAATCCTGACTTCAGTCACTTCCCTCGTGCATTGAATGCTTCTTGTGACTAGTGGGTTTTGCTGCGAAGTCAGAGGCATTACTTCATTAAATGGAGCGTGGGGCCCTGAGGTCACGTGGCGATTCAATCACAGCTTTTCAGACCGTATCTTTTGCGGCCTTCGGCCTTGGCCTTCAAAACTGCGGTCGCGAGGTCGAGAGGATTATGCCTTTGCAGCTTTTCTTTTGCTCTTAGGAGGGCGAAATGCTTGACAAAAAGGCAGGCGCCAGGGCCGAAGGGAAGTCCCTTCAATCAGTTCATGACCGTGTTTTATTAGGCACAAACATTGCCCCCACATCCCTGGATTCTTCGGTCGCAGCCTGGGCAGAGGCCGAAAGGATTCCAAGGGATGGACCCTTTGCATTCCCCTTGAAGTGATTGACAGTTGGTGCTTTAAATGCGTAGGTCAATTGGTGCATTAAATGCGCAAGCACGTCTCGCAGGCCATCATCACGCAAACCGCCGTTTGTCTCGTTAAATGAAACGACGGTTTCTGAGCTTTCGCCACGTCATCGCATGTGTGAACGTGCAGTCAGACCGCTTCATTTCTCGAGAGAGCCATGCCCTTTCGTTTCATACTCGTGTCAATATAAAAACCTGGCCTTCTTCATTTCTCTTTACTCCTTCTCCTTCATTCCAACCTGCTCTAGTGGTCTCCCCCTTGTAGCTTCTTTAGAACCAAGGCTGAGCCATATCCATGGACCCCTGCGTCATGCAGTGGTTGAGGCCGCAGTGACTGACGCGCCGAGCTTGCCGCCTGTCTCTTCGGCGGTTCTAACCGAGCTTCCGGCTATAGCAGTCCTTGGTGCGTCGTCGGCCGCCCAAGTGAGTACTAGATTTTCCTACTTGTCATTCCTCATGTCCCAGCTGGTTGCTTTCTTTCTGACCCCCTTCTTCCCCATCTTCAGGAGACCACCTCCTCCAATGATCTCGAGGAGTTATACACCAGCCTCCATGACGAGGGAGGCAGCTCGACCTCGGCTCCTTTGGACGAGGATTCCAGGGCCGTTGCTGGAAAGCTCCGAGAGTTCCTCTTCTTTGGGGTTCACCAAATGACCACGACCGAGGCATTCATGGAGTTCAGGTCTTGCCTGGATACGGCCATGGCGATGGGCCTGCTGGATTCGGCTCAGCTGGATGAGCTCTAGGTACGCTTGGCCGAGGGCGAGGAGATGATTGGTCGATACGCTGAGGCCAACCTGAGGATGGCCGAGGGGTGCTCGCTCGAGCAGGAGCTGTTGGCGATCAAAGAACAAGTCCAACCTACCATGGCTCGTTTGAAGGAGAACGACCTCGTTGTCCAGAGAGAGAACGAGGAACTTGCGCAAGTTGAGGCTCAGATTGCCGGGCTCCAGGTCCGTCGGGCTCTTATCCTTCAACGCCGAGATCTTGCGGTCGCAGCCGGAGCTGAGTTGAAGTCTTCGGCCAGACATATTTTCAAAGCAGCGACCGAGAAAAAGAAGGCCCTGGCCGAGAGGAAGCTGATCTGGGCGAGGTGGCAGGCAGACATAGATGGTGGAGACATTGCCTGGAGAAGGATAACCTGCCTGATCTGGGGGATGTTCAGCGAAGGCGTTTAGGGGGGTGGCTGTATGATTTTTGTAATAGTTAAATGTATTCTTTTCCTACAGACTCTATATATATATATATTTTGTTTGATCGGCCGTGACTGGCCGTTCCCTTTTCTTCTTTGTAGAAACAATATTTCTAATCTAATTATAAGGCGCAGGCCATTTTTCTATGAATGAGTGTACGCTATTTTCATTCTGGCCGCGCCGTTTGTTTAGTTTGCTTGGCTACTTCCGCCTCTTTTTTTCTTTTTTACTTTTTTGTCGTAGGCCCTTGGTGCCATTTCTTTTTGAACTTGCGCCGAAGCGTAGGCATCGAGCCCTGGTCGCCCCAAATTTTCTGAATCCTAGGGCACGGTCAGCCCGTAGTTCGTTTTTTGCCCAAGCTGCTCAAAAACCCAAAAAGGCCGAACCCTTAGCCTTATCAGTTTATTAATGCCACAGCCGTGGGCAAAGACATGGAGATGTGCCCATGGCCGAATCTTTTGACGCACGCCGGACCTCTTTGGTCCGAGGGTCTTGAGGGGGTAACTCCAACCGGATTGGAAGTAGCCGCAGGACCTGCTGTTCATTATTCTGTGGCTCAATCTGCTGGGTCATTTGAACAAGGGGTACAACCATTGCGACCGAGCCGGGCGACTTTAGGTAAGCGCCGTAGGTTTGGCCGGGATGCGTATGTGTCGCTGTTGGAGCGGCCGAAACGTACTGAGGGTGGGATCCTGGTGGGAACAACGACGCTTGTGATAGTGAAACGGTTGGATCGTTCTGACCGTGTCGTTGTGACGAAGTTGCGGTCGCGTCGCCTGGGGCAGGATGGGCGTGGATGGCTGAGGCGCGTACTGAGCCGAATTTCTGGGTCGCGGGATACTTGGGTTGTTCCGCCCTAATGATATGGCCAAAGCATGGAGTGGGCCGCGCTTCGTTTTTTCTGGGCAGGTGGGTCCAGGATTTACCCGCGTCGGTTGGGATTGCCCCCAGCTTTTTGGCTGAGAGTGCGGACCGTAGCTTGACGCCTGGGTATGGGTAGGCATTACCGGCATCCCCTCCTGGAAAAGCGTCCGCAGTTCTGTAGAGAATTTGTCCATTGCGGCCATAAAGGATGTCTCTATCTTGAAGGCTTGCCTATCCATTAGATCCACTATGACGTCTTTTGACAAGTATCCCACCGGGCGTGCAAAAGTGTTGGTCCGTCGCAAATCTCGCGGCCTGGTGCTCCGGGCCGAGAGGACGTGCGTCAACACGTGACGTCCTTCTTTTGGATGCGGTGCGGTTGTGCGCGGGCGTGCCAGCACGGTTTACCGTGCGTTGAGATGGTGATGGGGTTTGGGTAGGAGATGTTCAAATGATGCGCCTGTTTGGATTTAGACTTCTGGTCAAACGATTGTGGCCGAGAGAGGAACTTATCTCGGCCGTCAGGTTCACGGCCTGAGCTACAAGGCCGTTTAGTGGTGGTGTTGGTGGATTTTGGGCGGTGCTCCGGCGCGTTGCTCAAAGAGCGACGGTCGTATGATATATGGAGTGAATGAGGCGGTAACAAGGATAATGCTCCGGCGCCTTGAGAAATCAAGGGTCGTATGATATATTGATGAATGGATTTTCCTCACAATATATCACTACTCCTAGGAAAGCATGTAAAGGTATTGAAAGTGCATTGCAAAAAATATAAATTGCTCCGTGTGAGGCTTTTGGTTTGGTGTTTGAACCCCTTGAACGTGGTCTTGAGCTCAGTATTTATAAGAGGAGTCCTGGAGGGCCAATTGAGGCTGAAAAAAGATCTGCCTGATGGCTTAAAAAGATCTGTATGGTGGAGTCTGATCGGGGCAAGTGGGTAGTCAAATCGGCATTTGGGACTATGAAGCATAGTGGTCTGGGTTGAGGAACATGGTGGTGTGACCCCCATAAATCTCGGCTAAAGGTATTGAAAGTGCATTGCAGAAAATATAAGTTGCTCCGTGGGAGGCTTTTGGTTTGGTGTTTGAACCCCTTGAACGTGGTCTTGAGCTCAGTATTTATAAGAGGAGTCCTGGAGGGCCAATTGAGGCTAAAAAAAGATCTGCCTGATGGCTTAAAAATATCTGTATGGTGGAGTCTGATCGGGGCAAGTGGGTAGTCAAATCGGCATTTGGGACTGTGAAGCATGGTGGTCTGGGTTGTGGAACATGGTGGTGTGACCCCCATAAATCTCGGCAAATCTCGGCCACCGCCCTGATCGTGGGCTCTGCCCCTTTGGCCGTGGGAACACATTTAATGCTCTGGTCCAGTGGTTGGTGACCTGACCTCAAGCTGTGAGAATGCTTTGTGGGAATGTTTGCGCCTAACCACTTTGATTCCTGTTACCAAATCCTGACTTCAATCACTTCCCTTCTGCCCTCGTGCATTAAATGCTTCTTGCACCCAATGGTTTTGCTGTGGCGGTCAGAGGCACTACTTCATTAAATGGGGCGTGGGACCCTGAGGCCACATGGCGATTTGACCACAGTCTCTTCGGCCGGGTCTTTCATGGACCTCATCCTCGGCCCATAATGCCGTGGTTGGGAGGTTGAGAGGATCTTGCCTTCGCATTTTCTTCCGCTTTCGAAAAGGCTAAATGTCTGACGAAACGTGGCCGTTTCAGTCCATGCACAAATGCCACGGCCGAGAAGAGGTCCCTCCTGACGACCGTGATTTATTAGGCACAAACAGGAGCGGCTCCGTCTTTGTGGCCTGTCGAGGTACTGGGGTCTCGTGCCCCTAGCTGGTCGAAAACAACTCTTCTCGCTGGCCGACGGTCGTACTGGCCGCCGAATTTCCTCATAGCCGGTCGAGACGGCTCGATGGCCTTCCTCTTGTTTTCCGACGGTCTGGGCCGACCAATCTTAGAATTGCACAGACTGCACGGTACCAGCTCTGGTTCAGCCAACGGCTCCTTCCCTTTTGCAGGCCGACGAACTTCCCTGTACTCGGCCCGGAGCTGAGCGTTGACGATGTTGATGACCGGCAGGGGGAATGGCTTAGAGTCGACTTGCATGGCTGCCTTTTCCGGGAATTGAAGCTTCTTTTCGTCTATCAATTTCTGGATGACATCTAGCAGAACAACGCAATTATTGGTGTTGTGAGACCAAGAACTGTGGTATTTGCAGAACGTTTTTCCTTTGAGCTCCTTGGGTTTCGGAATTTTATGGCCGAAGGACAATTTGACCCTGGTCAAATCAAAAGTGTAGGCCTTTGTCTCTCGAGTCGCGAACTTGGCGTCAGGAATCTTTGTGCGGCTATTGTCGGCCTTGACAAGTCCTTTGCAGACAAACGGCTTGTCTATGCTGACTTCGGCTGAGCTCATCTTAACTTCATTGCCCTCGGCCTCTGCGGGATCGTCTGCTTCGGCATAGCTGATAACGGGATTCCGATAGTAAGTCCCTTTTGAAGCCGTCTTCTTCTGCACCTCTTCTTTCAGCAAGGATGCGTATTGGTCCACTTTGTTGATCAAGTCATGCATGTCCCGGAATTCAATCCCCTAGAATTTCTTCCGGTATTCGAATTCCAACCCTTCTTCGGCCATCTTGACAAATTCCCTCTCCGGTAGGTTTGTGCGGCACCAATTCCTACACGTTTTGAACCGCTGCAGGTAGTCGTGAGGTGATTCGTCCGATGCCTGGCTCATCCTTGCCAGCTCAGGGACCGTTATTTCCCGATTGGTCTGGTAGAAATGTTCGTGGAATATCCTTTCCATGTCAGACCAATCCCTCACCGAATTCGGCGGAAGGTTTATGAACCACGAGAAGGCCGCGCCGGTCAGAGAGTGATCGAATAAACGGAGCTTCTGGGCATCCGAATCGGCCTCACCGCACTGGGACGTGAAGCGGCCTATGTGTTCGATGGAGGAGGTCTGCCCATCCCCAGAGAATAGAATGAATTCTGGCAACCGGTAGTTCCGGGGAATCGGGATTCGGTCAATTTCTGGCGGGTATGGTTTGGTATACCTTGGCGCTTCCGGGCGCCTCTGAGCCAGGCCGTCCTCGATCATTTGCCGGACGTCTTCGAATCGGAGCCCCTGAGGGGGTGCCTCTTGCTGGGCTGCGACTAGCCGTGGGACTTGTTGCTCCTCGTTCTGCGGCCTCACCTGCTGGGCCACTTGAACGGGGGGTTCGACCATTGCGACCGAGCTGGGTGGTACCAGATATGCGCCGTAGGTTTGACCGGGATTTGTATGACTCGTAGTTAGAATGGTCGAACCGTACTGAAGATGGGAGCCTGACGGCAACAACGATGTATGTAATGGTGAAACGGCCAGATTGTTCTGATCGTATTGCTGTGACGAAGTAGCGGTCGAGTTGCTTGGGCCGGGATGGGTCTGGACGGCCAGTGTGGACTGGGCCGAGTTGTTGGACCGCGGATTGTGCGGGGCTGCTTTGCCCTAGTGACACGGCCAAAGCATGGAGTGGGCCGTACGTCGTCTCTTCCGGGTAGGTCGGTTCGGGATTTACCCATGTTGACTGGGACTGCCCACAGCTTTTTGTCGGCGGCTGTGAATGCTGGCCGTAATTTAAAGCTTGGGCGCGGCCAGAGACGCCGAGGCTGCTGCTCTCGCCGTAGGGCTCGAACCTCTCGCGCTCTTGACCTCTCTGTCTGGCTCTGGGAGGCGTTGCGGATGATGTCACCGGCATCCTCTCCTGAAAAAATGTCAGTAGCTCCAAGGAGAATCTGTCCATTGCGGCCATGAAGGATGTTTCGATCCTGTAGGCCTGCTTCACCATCAGATCTTCGACGATGGCTTGCTCTCCTATGGACTCGGCCGTGCAATCCGCTGTTATCGGACTACTTGTCGAGGTCCTGACCGCGTGTTCGGTCTCGGTGACAGTGATTGGTGAGGTGGACTCAGGAGCCTCGGAAGTCATTTCGACTGTTTTGTTTTTGAGCTTTGCCTGTGCCCTAGTTTCCACCATAAGTTTTTAACAAATCCCACCGGGCGTGCCAAAAGTGTTGGTCCGTCACAAATCTCGCGGCCTGGTGCTCCAGGCCGAGGGGATGTGCGTCAACACATGACGTCATCCTTTTGGATGCGATGCGGTTGTGCGCGGGCATGCCAGCACGGTCTACCGTGCGTCGAGGTGATGATGAGGTTCCGGTAGAAGATGGTTTAAATGTTGCCCCTATTTTGCGTTCGACTCCTAATCAAACGATTGTGACCGAGTGAGGAACGAATCTCGGCCGTCAGGTTCACGGCCTGAGCTACAAGGCCGTTTAGTAGTGGTGTTGGTGGTGGGTTTTTAGGCGGTGCTCAGAGAGCGATGGTCGTATGATATATGGGGTGAGTGAGGCGATAACAGAGGTGGTGCTCCGGCGCCTTGAAAATCAAGGGTCGTATGATATATTGATGAATGGATTTTCCTTACAGTCTACCACTACTCCTAAGAAAGGAAATAAATGTATTGAAAGTGCATTACAGAAAATATAATTTGCTCAGTGGGAGGCTTTTGGTTTGGTGTTTGAACCCTTTGAATGTAGTCATGAGCTTAGCATTTATAGGAGTCCTGGAGGGACATTCTAGGCTGACAAGACCTGCGTGGTGGAGCCTGGTCGGGCCAGTGGGTAGTCAAATCGGCATTTGGGATCGTGAAGCATGGTGGTCTGGGGTTGAGAAGCATGGTGGTGTGACCCCCATAAATCTCGGCAAATCTCGGCCACTGCCCTGATTGTGGGTTCTGCCCCCTTAGTCGTGGGAACGCATTTAATGTCTTGGACTGGTGGTTGATGATCTGACCCTAAGTCGTAAGATTACTTGTGAGAATGTCTGCGCCTAACCACCCTGATTCCCATCACCAAATCCTGACTTCAATCATTTCCCTCGTGCATTGAATGCTTCTTATGACTAGTGGGTTTTGCTGCAAAGTCAGAGGCATTACTTCATTAAATGGAGCGTGGGGCCCTGAGGTCACGTGGCGATTCAATCACAGCTTTTCAGACCGTATCTTTTGTGGCCTTCGGCCTTGGCCTTCAAAACTGCGGTCGTGAGGCCGAGGGGATTCTGCCTTTGCAGCTTTTCTTTTGCTCTTAGGAGGGCGAAATGCTTGACGAAACGGCAGGCGCCAGGGCCGAAGGGAAGTCCCTTCAATCAGTTCATGACCGTGTTTTATTAGGCACAAACAAGTACATTTACATATGATTTGATTGCCCTGTTGTAAAGAGCATCCCATTCTATTCAATGTGACAGTGTAATCTTCATTCAACAATGCTGGAATAGATACTAGGTTCTTTAAGCAACTTGGAAGATAAAGACATTCTTTAAGTTCTAGTGTCTCCCCATGTAGTAGCTTAAGGTAGAAACTGCCTACTGCTTTTGCAGATATTTGGGTACCATTACCGACACGTAGCACTATTTCCCTTTTAACAACTTCCTATCGTCTGCTAGACCTTGCAATGTATTGCAAACGTATCTGCTAGCTCCTGAATCCATTATCTAGATTTAAGTTTCAACTGCCATTACTGATTCAAGGACAAAATTGCTATCTTCATAAGTTTTGTTCCTTATGCATGAAAAATGTACATTACATCTCTTCTTCCTTTCAGCATCCTTATGGAAGCTAATCCCTTTTGACATTATAGTTCATTTGAGGCTTGCTTTGTGTAATGTGTTATGAATGGGGTTCTACATAAGTATCTACAAACATAACATAAATAAAAATTAGATTGTTTTGGTTAAGGCCATAGATTTAGGGTCTTTAAATTCTATGGCTCCTCCCACTATTTTAAATGATTTCCATAATCCCTCAAAAATGGAATACAAGAGACAATATGGAAAAGTGAATCATCTTAACATATCCTTAGATAACTTCAAACACACAAACGTGGAAAACTCAAAGTTATAATACACAATAATGTTATCATATCATCATTCTACTGCAATTTATAACATAAAACTTAAGCATGTGGAGGACTTTTCTTTGCAACATGTCAATGTAAAATGAAGTACTCGATGGCACATCCAGATCAATGATACCTTGGCCTAGCAATGCAAGGACTGTCTAAAATCTAACTAGGTACTTGACATTAGGAATAAGAGGAACTCACCCACTAACTGACCTGGCTGCATACATAACATAATCTTCCAAGCTCTCACTTAAACTACACAAGTACCTGACTTTCCATAGGAGGTTGGCTTGTCAACAATCGCAAATAGTAGGCCACTTTGCCATGAGATGTAATTATAATGCCTTCACCACTTTTGTCGAATTAAGGTCTCCCAGAGTCCCAGCTCGTCCAAAGATCTAAAGAAAATATCATGACAAAAAAAAAAAAAAAAAAAAAAAAAAAAAAAAAAAAATATAATTTTTTGTGATGTATTTATAAGAGAAGCGCTTTGAGTCTCACCTGCATAACATCTAGCATGCCCAGGTCTCCATTGCTTCTCGTCAAGTTCTATATCGGGAAAACCCCATAGTTCAACGACCCAAATGGAAACCACATCGGCATCTACCTCAACAACAATTTGCCCGTGTTTCAGCTGAGTTCCTCTTCGTCTTAGTTGTCTAATTGGGCAATGTTTTGCATCACAATCGGTTGTGTGGATGTGGTGTTGATTTTAGCATATGGGATTTACTTGAATTGGGTTGCAGGCAGAGGATTTGGTTCAGGAAAGAAGGAGAGAGAGAGAACATACATACCAAGTCATTGAAACTAATCATCTTGGTTAGGAAGGTGGGCGCGATCCGGTTCGGTCTGGATCTCACCTCAAACCAAAACCAGAACCGGTATTATTTAACCGATCTGGTTCGGTCCGGTTTATAAAAAAAAATTTCAAAAACTGGACGATTCGGTTTTGACCAGTTCTAGTTTTGAACCGGATTATTATTTTAATTTTTTTCAAAAAAAATTATAATAAATAACTTATTTATTTGGCTTAAAAATTAACAAATAATCCAATTCATACATTTAAAAACTTTTAAAGTTGAACTTGGAAAAATAGTGATTATAAAACTTAAAATATGGCATTAGATTTTAAAAATTTTTAAAAATAAAAAATATATGACCGGTCCGGTCCGGTGCGGGGTGATGTAAAACCAGTTGGAACAGGTTCGGTTCGATTTCGGTCCATTTTGTTGACTTTTTTGGTCAATCGATTTTTTTTCCTATTTTTTTTCACCGGTTCGGTTCGATTTTTCGGTTCCGATGCCCACCCCTATTAGGAAGTGTGGAAACGTACATGCCAGGTCATGTAAGCACCTCTGCTTGAAAATAAATTGTGTCATTAATCAGCTGGGAAATATGGAAATGTTTTATTTTGGTGATATATTGGTCTTCACATATTATTTCTTCATTATTTGCAGGGTTCGTCCTGAATTTTTGAGGCCCCAGGCAAAAGTAAATAATAGGCCTGTGTATATATACAAAAAAAACAAAAAAAATCATATTTTCTTTTTCATTGATATGAAATCATGAAAAATTATCTTAAATTGATTCTACAAGGACTAATTTTGCATTGAACAAAAAGCCCACACTTTGGATTTTGGAATCTCCCCAATCTACCAACAGAAAAATTAATTTAGGGATTCACAATTTTGGAACTAGTAGGAGAGGCTTAGATTAGATGAGGAGAGGAGAGGAGATGAGATGAGATGAGAGAAGAAGAAGAAGAAAAAAAATGGAATAGATAATATAATAATATAATCTTGAGGAGCGGAAGGGATGCACTGACTAATAATATAATCATATTAAGGCTTAATTGCTACAGTGCACCTTGAAACATTTGTCAATTCTCACTTTACCACTTTAAAGTTAAAGTGACTCACTTTACCCCTTTGACCAAGGTTTGATGTTCTACAGTGCCCTTCACCATCAATTCCATCCAAAAGTTTGTTAAGTTGGATGATGTGGGAGGGGTGTTTTAGTAATTTTGTGGAAATAGGTTTTTTTATTCACAAATTTGAGTGGGTAATGTGGCAAAGTGGGGTCCACCTCTAGCATGGATAAAAAAATTAATTACTTTAAAAAATTAAAATACAAACATAAAATTTAAAACTTTAAAAAATTTAACTCTCAATCTCTATCTCTAGGGTGGTCTAGAAAAGAACTTGTCAATGACATCCATTTTGTGTAAAGCACTTTTCTCGTTTAGAGCTGGTTGCTGCAAAGAGTATTCATCTATAATTGCTTAAATATAAGCAATATCACAGCTTGATGTAGCTGAAGCTGCTCTGGAAACTAGTGCTAGAAGAAATCAGGGGAGGTGTAATAAATCAGTGGCGGTGGGTTTTTGGGTTTTGCCGTTTTTGGTTTTTTGGGAATGGCTTTCCAAGTTCAGCCAAAGAAGGAAGGGATGGGTAGGTTTTTTTTTCTTTCTAAAATCTTTTTTATTTTCAATTTTATGTTTGTATTTTTTATTTTTAAGTAATTAGAAAACCTAGGTGTGCAAAATTACTAAAACATCCCTGCCACGTCATCAAACTTAACTAACTTTTGGATGGAGTTAACGATAGGGGCAATGTAGAACATCAAACCTTTGTCAATGGGGCAAAGTGGGTCACTTTAATTTTAAAGGGGTAAAGTGAGAATTGACAAATGTTTCAGGGTGTACTGTAGCAATTAAGCCTAATATTAATTAGTCATCTTTGTTTTCTTTGTTTTCCCGATAATATTAACATTAACCTAGCACTGGCATCCATCTTTCTTTTTCCCAAAAAATATTACATTCGTTTATAATAATATAATATAACACTTACAAAAAAAATTTGGGCCCCTCTGAATAAAAGGCCCAAGGCAGTCGCACTAACTGCCCCTGGTCTAGGCTGGGCCTAATTACATGCAGTGGCGAACTCACAGAGGCGCAAGGAGGTGCAGCTACACCTTTCCTCACCGGAAAAAGTTTTAGAGTCGCCAGATATTGCCACTTTGCTCTGCCTTGGAGGTGCCCACAACCTATTTGAACAAATGACTGAGCGAGCGACTTTTTTTTTTTTTTTTTTTTTTTTTTTTTCTTTCTTTTGGGCAACGCATCCCTTTTTTTTCTTTTTCTTTTTTTAAATCCTAGCCAAAACATTGCCATTTTGGACTAGCCAAAAAAAAAAACAAAGAAATAGACAAAACTGAAGCAACCTTACCTTATACACAAAGGACAAGGAGTCTTGAAAGATGTCATGCCCAAGTTGAAATTAAGTGATGCATTCCAGTTATAACTCTTGAAGAAGATTAATTCTATTTCAATTTCCATAAAAGAGAAGACTTGAAAAAGCCTGGCGTGGGCATGGCCTTGAAAAGGAGGAGGCTCTTGTTGTTGCATACTTCAATTTCGAATGTATTTTTTTTTTCATATATTTGTTTTTACTTCTGGTTTTTTAATAATGTGTCTTTTATTATTAATTTTTTAATTTGGTTTCACTATATATTAGTATGATCAATAACGAACTCGAGAAGGAAGAGGTTGTGTAGCGCACAAATCGAGGTATGATCCGTTATGATTTATTTGTTTAATTGATAATTTGATTTGCATTTTGATTAGATTAATTGATGATTTAATATGAATTTTGATAATTGTTGTATCAATTAGTTATAGACCGGTTAGTTATTTGTTTGTTTTTTTTTTTTTTTTTTTTTTTTTTTTTTTTTTTTTTTTTTTTTTTTTTTTTTTTTTGGGGGGAGTGTGTGTATATTCATATTTTTAAATATTCCTTTAAAAGATTTCGGATTCGCAATGATTGATTGTCTTGATGTTTTGTTGAACTCTTGGAAGCACCTTTACCTAAGCGAGAGTCTTATTGTAGCTGACTACACTTGTACTACAAGAAGGCTCTCCCTTAGCTTACTACACTTGTTTCTTATCCTTTGAGCATGAATAAAATATTGTTCTGCTTTAATTCATTCTAATGTTTGTGGTCCTTCACCTATATCTACTACTTCTAGATTTAGATGGTTTGTCACATTTGCGGATGATTGCACTCGTATGACATGGTTCTCCATGATGAAGACTAAAAGTGAAGTGTTTATTATGTTCAAATCCTTCCACAAACAAATTGAAACCTAATTCTCTACCTAAATCTAGATCCTTTGTTCTAACAAGGGAGGCAAATATGTCAACCATGACTTTCAGATGTACTTTTGAACGCATGACATTCTCCATGAAATGACTTGTCCTCAAACCCCACAATAGAATGAGATTGCAGAACAGAAAAATCGTCATCTCCTTGAAACAGCCTGTGCACTCTTCATTGGGGCTCATGTCCCTAGCCACCACTAGGATGATGCCATTGTCACGGCTGTTTATTTGCTCAACCATATGCCTTTTCATGTCTTGGACTTCCGTACTCCGATCCAAGTGCTTGCTTAACAAGGGCCTCTGCCCTCTGTTATAATGCTCAAACCATGAGTCTTTGGCTGTGTGGCATATGTTCATCATCATAAAAACTAGAGAAGCAAACTTGACCCTTGTGCGCTTCATTGTGTTTTTCTAGGGTATGCCATTCATCAGAAAGGTTATAGGTGTTATCATCCTCCTTCCCAAAGCACATATGTCACTTTTTTGGAATATGAGACATTCTTTCATGACTCAGTGTCTAATTCTCCACTTTAGGGGGAGACACGGAGTGAAGCACAAACTTGGAGCACTCTGAAAGATGGAAAAATTGAAGTAAACATGGAAACGATTTGACAATAACGACTGGTTGCTTTGAACAATGAGATGTCTAGACAAAACGACCAGTCTCTCTGAACCTGACGACCGGTCGCCTCAAATAGCAAAACTCGTTAGTTGGCCCCAGACTAAAACAACTAGTTGCCCTGAAGAATGCGACCAATCGCCTGTGTTTGAAAATTCTCCTGATTTGACTACTTATGGTTTCACTGAGAAAGAAGACGAATACCCCCTTCTCATTCTACGGTACCAAACTACTAATCTCTTGATAATATTCCTAAGGTAAATGGCCCTACAACTCCTGTGAATTTAGTTGATGATTCTGTTGGATACTAATTACCTTTCATGTAGAATCGTGGCAAATCGCCAAACAAATATTGCCTTGATATTGGCAAGTAGTTGAAATATCCAATTGCCAACCATGTATCCACTCAAGGATTGTCCGAACCACTAAAGGCATTTGTGCATCAGTTATCTGCTATTGATATTTGCACTAAGGTGACTGAAGCATTGAAAGATCCAAAGTGGACTCAAGCAATGAAGGAAGAAATGAAGGTTGTGGAGAAAAATCAGACGTGGCCACTCAAGACATTACCCAAAGGAAAAAAGAACTGTTGGATTCATATAGGTGTTTATTGTCAAACACAATGCCGATGGTTCCGTTGAACAATACAATACCAAACTTGTGACAAAAGGTACACACAGACCTACGACATCGATTATGAAGAAACATTTTCCCCAGTAGTAAAGCTTAAAACAATCATAGTGCTACTATCAAACACAATGCCAATGATTCCATTGAACAATACAAGGCCAGACTTGTGGCAAAAGGGTACACACAGATCTACGACATCAATTATGAAGAAACATTTGCCTCGTAGCAAAGATTAACACAGTCAGAGTGCAACTATCTCTTGCTACAAACCTGGATTGGCCACTTCATCAGTTTGATGTAAAAAATGCTTTCTTGCATGGTGAACTCACAGAAGAAGTGTACCCGTTCTACCGGGATATACAACATCTACTTAGACAAGTATGGTGTGCAAGTTGCGAAAAGCACTATGTGGGTTGAAATATACACCACATGCATGGTTCGAACGATTCACTTTGGCAATGAGGCAAAGCAATTCAAATCATACTATGTTCTTGAAACATCATAAAGGAAAGGTAACAACTTTAATAATCTATGTTGATGATATGATTATTATTGGGAATGATGAACATGAAATATCTCGGTTGCAAACTATTTAGCTACTGAATTTGCGATAAAGAATCTAGGTGGAGTTTAGGTGGACTCAAGTATTTCTTGGGCATTGAGGTGGCCAAATCAAAGCAAGACATATATCTCTTTGAGGAAATATGTCTTGAACTTATTGACAGACATAGGAATGCTAGATTGCAAACCTATAGACACTCATATTGTTCAGAATCATTATCTTGGAGAATACCCAGATCTAGTTCCAATTAACAAGAAAAGATACCAAAGGTTAGTGAGAAGACTGATCTATTTGTCACATACTCGACTAGACATAACCTATGCGGTGAGCATAGTCAATCAATTTATGCATTCTCCAAGGGAAGACCACATGAATGCAATTCTTCGAATACTTAGATATTTGAAGTATGCGCTTGGAAAAGGACTTATGTTCTCAAAACATGGTCATATGAATATTGATGGTTACACAGAGGGAAATTGGGCATGAAATATAACAGATAGAAGATCCACATCTGGTTACTTTACATTCGTTGGAGGTAATTTAGTAACATGGAGAGCAAGAAACAGAAGGTAGTCGCTCTATGTAGTGCAGAAGCTGAGTTTAGAGGTATGACTAAAGGAATTTGAAAACTCCTTTGGTTACGTAGTTTGCTTACTGAACTTAGGTATAGACCTACATTTGTCATGAATCTATAGCTATTTCACAGAATCTAGTTTAACATGATCGCACCAAACATGTTGAGGTGGATCGACATTATATCAAATAAAAGCTCAAAGCTAAAGTGATTTAGTTTCCTTTCGTAAAGTCAGAGGATCAATTGGCGAATATTTTGACAAATGCAATTTCCAGTAAAGCGTTCCACAACTCACTAGACCAGTTGGGCATTGGCGAGATCTATGCACCAACTTGAGGAGGAGTGTTCATGTGACTTGTGGGCCCGCAGTTACTTTCCTGTCAAGCAAAGAATTCCTATTCGGGGTGGGCATCAAAACCGGAATACCGAAACCATCTCGAAACCGTGCCAAAACCGTTTGGTGTTTATGTGTAAACGGGATGATAGCGTGTCATCCCGTTATTGTTTGACACGACAACGGTTCCAACTTTGTGATCCCGTTTGGTGTCATACCGTACCGAATAGTAAATGTAAATAATAACCTTAACTTAAGTAATTCAGTTCCTCCTCTCTGTCCAGATTTCTTCTTCGACTCCTCTTTCTTTCTCTCCTGCGATTTTTTTTCCTTTCCTTTCCTCATTCACTCTGATATGAAGCCGTGATTTCCCAATCAATCCATTGATCTCATCTTCTTCTCCTTCTCATCCTCCTCTCTCTCTCTCTCTCTCTCTCTCTCTCTCTCTCTCTCTGTTCTTCTCCAAACCAAACCAGTGGAAAAGCCCCAACCCAAAGTTTCTGTGTAGAAAAATTAGGGGGGTTTCTGTGGGATCTTCTTCTTCAAAGTTTAAACCCGTTTCCCTCTGCTACCAATTTCACTCTGATCTCAGATTCTCAGGTATTCATAATATATGGAAAGTTCTTTTGGTTTGCAATTATTTGTTTTCAATGTGAGAAATTGTTTTGATTTTGGTTCCCAACATCTTTGATTTGCTTGTATTATTCTTGTGTGACTGTCAATAATAAGAAAATTGAGAAGATCTTGGGAAAACATTGTTGTTTAACAAGTGCCCAGCTATATAAGATTAACGTTGCTGTTTAACGTTGCTGTCAACAATTATATTCCTGTGCATAGAGCCATATATGAACTTTCAATATGTCATTGCCTTTTCTCGATACATGTTTGATCATTAACTTGAATGACATTTTATGCATTACTATATTCAATTCGTCCAATGGGTTGTAATATTGTGGCTGTTGTGTGCTAATGTTGCCAATTTGAATCTGTGTGTATGCTTTGACCATGGGTTCTAAATAAATAAATAAATAGTAGGTTTTTTTCTTCTTCTTTCTAGCTGAATAGAAAACATGTGCTTTGACCATGGTTTAATAATGGTTTGTTCTATCTCACTGCTGTAATTCCAATATTAGATAGTTTCTAGTATGTTTTGTTTTGTTTTTAATAGCATATAAAAGCTAAGTCTTGCGTGTGTAATTCATTATGTATATTTTGAGAATTAGAGATAGCAATCAATCTAGAGTTTTATAGTCTATTACTCTGTTTAGTTTTGCATCAAACTGCTGGTTTTGGTTTTGTGTTTTCAAAATTGAGAAATTGTTCTGTTTTTGTATTTGCATGAATCTGAAATTACTGTTTGATGCAGCCTTGCAGGTATATTATTCTTTAGTCTGCAGCTCCAAAACCTATCCTGAAGCCCCAATTGGGAAATTGGAATGGTAAAAGACCCCGAATTGAATCTGTTTTTACTATTATTACTGATTTTCTTAAGCTTTTTTAAACTAGGAATCTATTACTAATATCCATCTTATATTTCTATTCTCTGCATGCAGTCTGAATATATTGGTTCTTCAACAGGAACCTCTCCATCACCTGAGATGGCACCACCACCAACACAATCTATACCATTTCCAACCCAATCTGCAGAAGAAGCAGTAGTGCCAGTGTCACCTCAAACTGAAGATTATGATGATGACTCAGTAATTGAAATCAACTCAGAGACTAAACCTAGAGGTATAAAACGTAGTTGGGTTTAGGATCATTTTATTACATATGAGGACAAGAAAAAGGAAAGAAAAAAAATATGCAACAAGGAAGATTATAGAAGTTGAAGTGGTTCATAAGAGAGCAAAATGTGTCTATTGTCCTAAAGGTCCTTTAGGAGATTATGCTGTGGATAGTGGGAAAAATGGGACAAGTGGAATGCTTAACCACATTAGAAAGTATTGCAGTTATTACCCTGCAAATGTTGACAAAAACCAGAAAATAATTAGTGGTGATAAGAGTCAAGGTAACAAGCTTGTAGCCAGGGGGTTTGTGCAAACTGATGTTTTGGAAGCTTGTGCTGAGATGATTATTATAGATGAGCTTCCATTCAGTTTTGTAGAAAAGAAGGGCTTTAGGAAATTTTGCAGCATTGCTTGCCCTTTGTTCAATGTTCCTAGCAGGAGAACAATTGTAAGACAATTTCTAAAAATGTATGATGAGCATAAGTTGAAGTTGAAGAAAGATTTGAGGGAAACTAGGGTTTACCTCACTACTAATACTTGGACAAGTGTACAGAATTGTAACTATATGGTGTTAACTGGTCATTTCATTGATTGTGAGTGGAAAATGCACAAGAGGGTTTTGAACTTTTGTGCGATTTCAAATCACCAAGGGCCAACAATAGGGAAGCTCATTGAAAATTGTTTACTCGAGTGGGGGATAGAAAAGGTTTTGGCTATAACTGGGATAATGCATATGCTAATAAAGTTGTTATAAATTGGGTTAGGTCAAAGTTGAATAGAAGGGCGAAAGCAGAACCTATTTTGCAAGGGAAGTAACTACATGTGAGATGTCTTGCTCACATCACAAACCTAATTGTAGTTAGTGGTCTGAAGAGGCTTTCTAAGTCTATTTTGGCCATTAGAAATGCAGTTAGGTATGTTAGATCTTCTCCTCAAAAGTTGGAGTTTTTTAAAACCTGTGTGGAAGCAGAGGGATTGTCCATCAAAGATATGGCTTGCATGGATGTCCCCACAAGGTGGAATTCGACATTTATAATGTTGGATGCAGCCTTAAAATATAAAAAGGCTTTTGTAAGAATGGGGGAGGATGAAGATAGCCCTTTCTTGGCTTACTTCAAGGAACCAGAACATGAAGTTGATGAGGATGGTGTGGTTGCGAGCAATACTAACAATATTAGGGTTGGACCACCAAGTGAAGATGATTGGGAGAATGCTACTGTTTTTGTGAAGTTCTTAAGGGTTTTTTATGAGGTCACACTAAAGGTGAGTGCATCTTTGCACCCTACTGTCAATAAAGCTTTTCATTCTATTTTAGCAATAGAAAAGGAGATTGATAAATTGTTTGTGTCACCTGAGATGACTACTGGTTCAGAAGTAGAAAAAGTGTTGGTTGATATGGCAAGCAAAATGAGAGAAATACAATAAGTGCTTTGTCAAATTTGAAGATATGAATGTGCTGTTGGTTGTTGCTATTGTTTTGGACCCTAGATTCAAGCTTAGGCATGTGACACATCTGTTTGAGAAGGAGAAGTTTTGATGCAGATGCAGTGGAAAAAAAAAAAAAAAAAAAAAAAAAAAAAAAAAAAAAAAAAGAGAGAGTAAAGGTAAAGTTGATGTCTATGTATGAAGAGTATGCACTTAGATTGGATGGTGGAATTCACATGAGAAGTGTAAATGTGAATTCTGCTCCACACACAGTGCATGCAAATTCATAAGATGTTGATGATATAATGGATGATTGGATAAAAGTGGTGGAAGAGAGTGAAGAGGCTGTGGTTGCACATGAAGTTGATACCTACTTGCATGATCCTTTGGAATTAACTACCAAAGAGGTCTTTTTTGACATCTTGTTGTGGTGGAAGCTCAATGGTCCTAAGTACCCTGTATTGGCAACTATTGCAAAGGATATTCTTGCCATTCAAGTATCAACAGTGGCATCTGAGAGTTGTTTTAGCACTGGAGGAAGAGTAATTGATGCATTTAGGAGTTCATTAACTCCAAAATCAGTGGAAGCATTGATATGTATGCAAAATTGGTTGAAGGGAGATGACATTTCCACAAATTTGGAAGATGAACCTACTCATGAAGAATATGAGTTTTATGAGAGTGTTGAATTAGGTATGTTTACTATGTTTATTAATTATTACTTTATAATGTTGCATTTGTTTGTAATTTGATTAGGCTTATTAATTTGATCTTAAATGTTTAGGCTTTTTAATTATTTATTATTTTATAATGTTGCATTTGGTTATAAGAACATGTGTGGATTTATTTTTTGCAGAATATGCAAGTACTGAAGCTGCTGCCACCAGTACAAACACATTAGGTGCAGATTCAAAAGGAAAGGGACATGCCATTTAAGATTTCCATTTCTTGCTTTGAAGTTTGTACTTAATAATTTGGCTTGATTTGTTTTGTAAAAGCCTATGTGGGATTTCAATTTCTTGATTTATAATTTGACATGTCTTGAACTCTTGATTGATTGTTTGCTTTGTTTGTTGTTAGGCTTGGATTGTTGTAAAAGCGTATATGAGATTTGATTTCCATTTCACTTGAACTTTGTATGAAATTTAGATTTCTTGGTTGGTCTTGAATCAAGATTCTTGATTTTGATTGTTTATTTTGTTGTATTACACTTATTTATGAAACTTTGCAGATTTTTTATGGTATCAACATTGATACCGAATCATACCAATCCCGATTAGGTTCGGTATGGTTTGAACGTGTTTTCAAAAACTCTCATCCCGTGTCATCCCATACCGATTCTCCTATTCGGGATTGACACCGAGATGACCTCCATCCCATGTCATCTCATATCGTGCCCACCCCTAATTCCTATATTAAATGTTACTGATTTATTTTAGGACAAACTATAGTAAACCCCACAACCTATAAGGTCATTTACGAGTTCATACCCGATTTTAGGGACACTTACTAGTACATACTCAACGTCATGGAAAACTTACAAATTGCCCCCCTCCGTTAGCCAAACCATTAGTTAATCTGTTAAATGCTGATGTGGCATTTTTGGGACCCATTTTTAAACTAAGATGGACTCCACATAAGAAATAAATTAATAAAATAAAAGAGAAAACATTTTTAAAAAATCTAAAAACCCACAAAAAACAAAAAACAAAAAACAAAAAACAAAGGGTAAACTACAGTAAACCCCCAACCTATAGGATTATTTACGAGTGCATACCCAATTTTGGGAACATTTACGAGTCCCTACTCAACGTTGCGGAAAACCTACAATTTGCCCCCTTCATTAGCCAAACTGTTAGTGAGTCTGTTAAATGCTGACGTGTCAAAAGTGGGACCCCTTTTTTTTATGACGTGGACTTCCACGTGGACTAAAAATTAATTAAAAAATTTATTTTACTGTTTAAATTATTTTAAAAGATCTCTCTCTCTCTCTCTCTCTCTCTCTCTCTCTCTCTCTCTCTCTCTCTCTCTCTACCCAGCAAACCCAGCTACTCCAGCCACCAAAACAACCACCCAAACTACCACCCATCACTTCTCAACAGGCTTTAGGTGCACCAAGATGTTATTCTCAGCCCAATCATCTAATGATGTGAAGATCTCAATCTGTTCAGGAGGCATTGAATGAGTCACTTCAACATTTGTCTCACGTGGAGGGCAATAAGACTTCTTCAGATTCTTAGTCTCTCTATAACAACCAGAAAAAGAAGATCTTAAAATGGTATACTTCAAATGATAAATCTAACAACCAATACGAAAGCTTTCTAATTCCCCAAATAACATACTTCAAGTTACATTGCAATTAGATAAATATTCCTAGGAAACCTCAAATTTCACCTACGTATAATTCTATATAGGTAAGGGAGAAACAAATCTGGAGGAAGCTACAGAGGCACGCAGCAGATCTGGGTATGGGGGCTTGGTCGACGTCGAAAACCCAGGTGGGGCTGAGAGATTTCGGGCCAATCAGGAGGTGCGATGAGCAATCGGGAAAGGCGATGGGTCTTCGTCGACGAACAAGAACTTGCAGACGAAGGGGACGAACAAGAGCAGAGACTCAATTCCAACTTTGACGAAGACGTTGGCCAAACGTTGGCCCAGATCAACCCACAGAGAGAGAGAGAGAGAGAGAGAGAGAGAGAGAGAGAGGAGAGAGGAGAGAGAGAGAGAGAGAGAGAAGATGAGTTTTTTTATTTTTGGGTTTTTAGATTTTTTTATTGTTGTTTCATTCATTTTATTAATTTTATGTCTTATGTGGAGTCCACGTCAGTTAAAAAAAGGGTCCCACAAATGAAACGTAGGCAGATAACAGATTTTCTGATGATCTTGCTAACGTAGGGAGCAAATTGTAGGTTTTCCGCGACGTTGAGTATGTACTCGTAAATGTTCCCAAAATCGAGTATGCACTCGTAAATGACCCTATAGGTTGGGGGGTTTACTTTGTAGACCAAAAAAAAAAAAAAAAAACAAAACCCACCCACCTCCAACATACTTCACAATTTTCTCAACCTCTCTGCAAACCTTCTCTTCCTCCTTCACTTACCCCATTTTCTTTACTTTCTTTGTGTGAGAGTAATTTATCGAAGAGTTACAAGAACCAAATGGAGAAGAAATTGATCGAGATTTTGATCTAGGTTTCGGACAGTGCTTCTTATCGGGGTTTTGTTTGGATGGTGAGAAAATTACCATTTTTGGAGAGGAGTTCGAGGAATTCGAAGAGATGAAACTGGCCCATGTTTTGGTTTCGCCTTCGAACCTTTTTTTCCCCTTTCTCACTGAAAATTCTGAGGGATTCAAAAGCGATGAGATAGATCCAGATGCTACAGGGTCAATTCTGTTAAATTCAGATAGGCGGGCCAGCGGCCCACTACTAACAACACCGATATTGTCCCAACTTAACCACCTACAAAGCCTAATAAATGTGGGGTTTTATCACAAAAGGCCTCGGTATTATTAGTAGTAGAACCATTCATTATATTTTGTATTTTATTTAGTCAAGTTTTCGATGTGGGACTCATATTCTTCAACACGCCCCCTCACGTGGGACCACCACATAGTGTGCCACACGTGGAGCCAAATCCACATCATAGTCAATTATTCAAGCCCAACACGTAAGCACCACGTATTGGGTAAAGGGTAGGGGTAAACATTCAAGCCCAACATGTGAACACCACATATTGGGTAAGGGTAGAGGTCCAATTCAGGCCTAGTCAATCAACCTGGCTCTGATACCATGTTAAATTCAGAGAGATGGGCCAGCGGCCCACTACTAACAACACCGATATTGCCCCCAACTTAACCACCTACAAAGCCCAGTAGATGTGGGGTTTTATCACAAAAGGCCTCGGTATTATTAGTAGTAGAACCATTCATTATATTTTGTATTTTATTTAGTCAAGTTTTTGATGTGGGACTCATATTCTTCAACAAGTTCCTCTCTCTCTCTCTCTCTCTCTCACTCTTCAAACCCCCTTCATTCTTTCTTTCTGGAACCAAAACTAGAATGATTGCTTGAATTTTGATTGAATTAAAATAACTAGATCGATTTTATTTATTTATTATGATTTTCCTTGTTGCGTCTATTTAGTTATGAATCCATTTTCCAAGCTCAAGTGCTTCTATCTGGCTACAACGTGAAACCAGAGAAAGCACAGTAACCAAATCAGGTTCATGTTTTGGGTTGGGTTGGGTCGAAGAAGGTGGCAGGAGGAGAGAAAGGATGACGGTTGAGAAGGGAGGGGGATATCGGAGAAGATGGGTTTATTCTGCTTGTTTTGGGCTACCATGGGGGTCTTGAGGAATGGTTGCGACAGGGGAGGGTGGTGGGTTCTTCTGGTTTGTTTGTTTGTTTTGTTTTTAAATTATTCAATTTTAAAATAATTTTAATGATTTAAAATTATTTTTGAAAAGTATATAATTTTTTATTAATTTTTTTGTCCTTCTGTAAGTCCATGTCATTAAAAAATGGAATTCACATTCGCCATGTCAGCATTTAACAGATTCACTAACGATTTGGCTAACGGAGGGGGCAATTTGTAGGTTTTCCATGACGTTGAGTATGTACTGGTAAATGTCCCTAAAATCGGGTATGAACTCGTAAATGACCCTATAGATTGAAGGGTTTACTGTAGTTTGTCCTTTATTTTAATACCTGATTTCCTACTATAAATAGATTATGAGTTATTACCTTCCTTGACCTACAAGGGTTTATTGTATTATAAATACAACCTTTTACAATGAGAAGAATACACAGAAAATTCTCACAAACAATATTCTCTCATAAGTTTCATATTTTAGCATTAATCTATATTTAGGTCTTCGTCCAATGGTCGTACTCGACATTATAGTGGTGAAAATGGTGATGTGAATTGAGGTTCAAACTTTGGTAGCCGTTGCACTCCTAATATGGTGATGTGAACTTGGGTTCAAACTCTGATGCATCACATTAATCTATATATAGGCATTAGATACTGTAGGAGACTTTTTCTTCCAGCGGCTGTAAATGGGTCAGGTTGCCGTAAAGGGTAGACTGATGAAATTGTCCCCTTTGTCTAAGTTCAAAAATTAAGCCCCAAAAATGCTTCGAAAGGGCAGCAGAGCCTTAGGAAGTATTTTGGTTACTTTCACCTGCCAAAACGATAGCAACTTACAGGTAATTTATGCATGCTTATAGATAAACTTTTGAGCTTGGCATGAGAGGCATGTGGCATGGAAGCAAAATTAGCATAAGTTGAGCACCAAAAAGGAAATATGGCTTCCTAGGGAGAAAGATGAGTGTTTAAGGTGAGGAAGAAGAGGTTTGCAAGCAGATGTGGCTGACATGAGGAAAAGAAAGAACTATGTTCTTCCGGCAGCTTACCAGAAGAAGAAAATGGGGAATGAGGGTGAATAGTGCACGAGGTTGCTGGGTTTTTGCATGTAAGAGAGGAAGCTTACTCTCCAGGTGTGGGTTGTTTTTGTTGGGTAGAAGAGGCCTCATTTTATAGGTGCTGGAAACTATCACTTCCCAAGAAACCCTAATGGCTTCTACCCATTTTGGCCAAGCTTTTCCCTTCCTTTCTCATCTCCTTCCTTGACTTTCCTTATCTTGGTAACATTTCCTCTGCCTATTTGCACAAAATCAGAGATATTTTAGAGCTCAAGGCCCCTTTCCCGCGGCTATTTCAGTGGGAGATTTCCATTCCCAGCCATCTTCTTCTTTTCTTTCCTCCTCTTTTTTATGGCCAAGTCTGATCGGGGAAGGAATTGGGGTATGTATGCTGGTTCGAAGAGTGCTTCTCTTCCTGGCAGCTTACACTTTAATATCCTTTGGTTTTTCGGGTGTTTTGTGCTTGGAAATTGCTCATCCCATGTGCTGGAACCTCCAGCAGCTTTATTCAATGAACCCTCTGACCCTCTCTTCGTGACTTCTATTTTTTTAGCAAGGGCTGAGGTTTTTTGTGGCTTATTGTGAAGTTTTGCATGGGCCAAGGTGGTTTATTAAATAAGTGGGCTATTTTGTTAAACATTGGGCTTTTGAGTCAATAGGCTATTTGGGGGCTATTTGGGCTATTTTGGTTGGACTATTTTCCCATTTTGTGCTCACCCATATGTTTGGGTCTAAGAAATGGGCTTGGGTTCCGAGGCTCCCAAGCAACCCAGAACCTCCACTTCTCGGTCCATCAATAGGCCTCATGACAATTTATTACCATCCATACCACAACCCACTCAAGCAAGCCCCGGGCATTCGAGTGGCTTGAGCCTACTTAGGCTTGCAGCGTGTTTGGGTGTGTAATAATGATTTCCTACTTGGCATGGCATGTCGCTGGGCATGGCATATCACTTGGCATGCTTTTAATTATTATGCTTGACGGGATAATTAGCATGGATTTGCATAGATAATGCATTTTATAATCTTAATCTCGATTCCTACAATGATGGATTATTTATTTGGCATGGCGCGTGGAGTGTGACTCGTGCATGGCGGACTTTTGTGTGCTCCAAGTCGGGTTTTTTCTCAATAAGGTATTGCGCTGGGGCGAGAATTCATTTGGGCCAAGCCGTAGATTTTTTTGGGCCTCAACAAATACTTTTAGATGCATGACCAGACCGATTAATTGATGATTTGTATGTTCCTTGCATTCTTTTTAGTGGGTAAGGCTACTCCACCCTACTACATGGTTTTAATCTGTGACATTTGGCAAGTGAATATCTTTATCCTAAATTGCTTTTTTTTTTTTTTTTTTTTTTTTTTTTTTTGATTTGGATGGTGAGATCATGTAAAGGAATATTGTTGGGTATGAATAATGAGCAATAATAAAAAGGATAAATACCGAAGGGGCTCTCTCTCTCTCTCTCTCTCTCTCTCTCTCTCTCTGCTATTATTGATTTCACTCATTAATTTTGTATAGGTGAGCTTCTCTATTACGTGGGGTTTAAATTTTAACAAAACCCTTTATGAAATGGACTTACAAACACACCAAAAGCCCATTTACAAAACAACCGGCTTTGAACTTTCTATAAATTACAAAATTGCTACTTGTTTTCTTAAAGCAAGAATAACCTCAAAAACCTAAAACAACCCAAAAACTCAAAATAAGCCCAATCCACATTTAAAAACACAAAACAAAACAAAAGAAAACGAGAACAAAATAAATTAGGAGATATTTAGTGATATACCCATTCTTAGCACTAATATTATAGATAAACCCTCCATCATTGAATTTCTATAAACAAACCCCAAAAAAACCCCAAAAATGACAGCTGGCCTTATTGAATTTAATATTGATTATTAAATTACTTTAATGCCCTATTGAGTGTTTTTGGTATTTTTATGAGATTTTGATGTTAGGCTTGTTTTAAGAAATTTATGGTAGTTTTGTAATTTATAAGAAGTTAAGACCTCTTTGTTATGTTGTAAATGGGTTTTGGGTGTGTTTATAAAGTTCATTTCATATGGGGTATTTTTATAATTTGGGCCCCCATATTGGGTATATTAGTGAATCTCCCATAAATTAATAATGGAAAAAACTGACCAATCAAGCTTAATTTTTAATTCCTACCTTTACTTTTCTATTTTTAGGTACAGTTGCCTTTGCTTTGTTTCCTGCCAATTACCCCAAACCCTGCAACTTTAAGCAGATTTGATTGAGCCTCTTAAATATCAAAACACAATTGGGGAACTTACATGAATAAATGAAATTAAAATTTTAAAATATTCAATTACATAACCCCTTAATCTCAACTAATCGCTCCCTTCGATTGATCTGAGCTCGTCCACTAACTCCTGCACAACTGATACGAGGACTACTCTACTGAAGATGACTCCGCCATGAACACTCTCAAGGCCTCCTCCGCCTCCGCCCGCAACGCTTACAAGCTTCTTCAGTGCGGTGATTGGTCAAATACTTGGAGACCACCGACGCCATCATCGACCTCCACAACATCGCCAAGCTTAGCTAGTGATCCACAGTTACCTCGTGGAGAATATTCAGGTGTACAATGAAGTCCACGATAGACTCGAGCATCAGTGATGTTCAGAGGCTTCGCCTCAAATAAAAAGCTATGCTCTTCAACGACATGGGCACCTCTATTGACGATGCTTGCTTTATAGAAAAAATCAACGGCCTGCAATTCACCTCCATTGAAGAACTCAAAAAAGTATTTTATCCATCAAAACTAAATTCAAAATGGCAGATCACCATTCAGTTTTTTTTGGCTATCACATTCCAAATAATAATCAAGGCTTTTGTAAATACAGTAGAAAAAATAAAATGACAAACTACAAAAAACCCCCCAAACCATAGTCATTTTCAAATTCATACTCACCTTTGGGGACATTTACAAATACATACTTCAAGTCATGAAAAACCTACAAATTGCCCCCACCGTTACACAAACCGTTAATAAATCTGTTAAATGTTGATGTGGCAAATGTTAGCCTTAATTTTTGATGACGTGGACCCCATGTGGGCAAAATATATAATAAAAAATTATTTTGTTTTTTATATAATAAAAAAATATAATTTAAAGATTTAAATTATATTAAAAATTTAAAGATTCTTTTAATAGATTAAGGGTGTATTCAATTGCGATTTTAATAGATTTTAATTATAGGATTTTAATGTAATGGATTTCAGCATGATTTTAGTTATTTATTTAATAGATTGCAATTACATGATTTCACTTAATTTAGGATTTTTTTGTATTCTCCAAAGAATCAAAAGATTTGCTATAAGATTCCATATGAAATAAAAGTCATATAATAACATAGATTAATTCAACATAAAAAATATCGTTACAGCTCATACCATACTTTACATGCTTTTTTATATTAAAAAAAACTAGATTTACTGATATCGAAGTTAGCAAATAATCTTGTTTGGTAGGATGTAAAACTAAAGTGTGGCTGGTTGTGGTTGGTTGCTTTCGAGTGAGTGGCATATGCGTGTGTTGCTATTATGTGTGTGGCTATTACTATGCAAAGCTAAAAACATATAATGAACAGCCATGAGAAGAGAATCTATCCGAAAAACACGAAGTGAAAAGATATCAGTAACCTTGTTTACATTCTCAAATGTGTCTGTTGATATTCTCTCAAGAGAAAATCAAAGAACGTGAGAATCATGCCTAGGAGGGTAAATTTTTTTATTTATGGAATTTGGTATTTATATCACCCACTCAAAATCTCACACAATACAACATTTAATGGAATACCTCAAAATCGGTAAGTAATTGAATAACACCCGACTTTAATTCATTACTTAAGAATCCTAATTGAATACCACTGAACTTTAATTCTTTACTTAAAAATCGTAATTGAATACTACTGTACTTTTAAACTTCAAAACAATTTATTAAAATTCTAATTGAATACACCCCTAAAATAATTTAAAAAACAGCAATGCCCCCAACCCCGACCATTTCTCTCTTTCCCACCCCACCTCCACCATCTTCCCCAATCAACATGCACCAACCTTATGCACCTTCGACCTCTCTACCTTGGATCTCCACCATCGCCACCACAGCAGCCCACAAATCACTCTCCAAAAGACTTCTCAATCCACCCAAATTCAAAGTGAAACAAAAGCAAAATCAATTCCAATTGAACTCAACACATCCCCACCCTTAATCTATTCCAATTGGACCCATTGTGGAGGATACAAAGTCGCTGCTCAGATAGTTCACTGGGGATGGTTTTACCTATATTCGCCGTACTGCAAATGGAGTGGCTCATCGCTTATCACGTTTTGCTTCACATATCGGCTCTACTTCTACTTGGTTTGAAGAACCACCAGATTTAATTATTGATGCTCTGTTTGAGGATTGTAACAGGTAATTTTTTACGGGAATGATCTTAGGGGGACGGGGGGCGCTCTAACGGTGGCAAGGTTCCTTTTCCCGCTTGCGGTTGAGAAGGTAGGCTACTTTGGTAGTCCGGTGACCATTACGTCCTTATGTGTAGAGATGCTCGCCTAATCCTTTAGGACATTGCCCAATTTTTTGTACTTGTTCTTTCATGATTATTCAATAAATCTCTATTGCCGGTTGCAAGAAAAAAAAAAAAAAAAAACAAGAAAAAAAAACAGACTATGCAACTTAATCTTGAAGATCAAGACCCTGTTTGGGCCTAATTTAACACACCCAGTCCAAGAGATCAAAAGCCCATGTCAAATTTTGGGCAGTCACCAATAATACATACTCAACCCAATATTGGAGGCCCAGAAGGACGAGGAAAAAACAGGCCCAGGCAGTATGAGAATCTGCCAAAACATGACAAATGACATTGGGCTTCGAAGAAAGGGAAATTAGCCCATGCCTCCAAAAAATTCACACCTAGGCCTGGCATGATTAAAAAGAAAGGCCCAAAATTGGAGGCAAACCCACGTGATATCCTGACTTGGAAAAGTCAACAATTTCAACTATCATAGAGGAAGTGATTGGGAATTAAATAAAAGCAGGACATTAGCAAGAAAATTTCTCTAAAAACTCTGAGGCTAAAAAATCAGAATCCTTTCTGCGTCAGAGAAATGTGATCCTTCCAAGAGATAAGCAGGCTATATTCTCAAAAAAGAGATAAGCAGGAAGACAGGGAGCTGTTCAAACTGGAAAATCAAACTAACCATCACGGTTTGAGCTCTCACAAGGGGCAGTTCGAATTAAAGAAGGGTTAGGTTCTCTTTCAAAATACAGGGAAGTGACTGCCGTAGGAACTGACTGTTGAGAGCTTATATGCCAGAATTGATAAAACCCCTTTTTCTTTGCATTTAAAAATGAAAGATCTTTTGAGAATTTTGCCGCCCATTATTAAAATAAAGAAACCCTACTCCAAAGCATTTCTTATAAATATATGAAAGGGTAAACAGAGCAAGGGACACACTCAAAAATTAAAACAATCAATCAAACAATCAAAAATCAACCAAAGGCAAAAACTCAAAATGATCACTTGATCAATGAGAACCTTCAAAACAAACTAGAGCAACCAAAAGCTCATTTGAGCCACAAAAGAAGCTAGCTATATATCAGAACCTCCAAGTCCAGACTTAGAGAAATAAGTCATTCAAAACGAGACTTCTCTCGTTACAAATTTGGTTCAGCAAAAGTCAAGACAAGCAGAGTTTGAGTTTTCACAAATATGAAAACCTCAACAAATTTATGGAGAGCCCTGATCAAGCAGAACAGGTACCACAGTGCAGTTCCGGCTCAATAATCCTCAAGTCCAGCCACTTTTGCTCCGTTCAGACCAAAAAAGTTGCAGTTCTGCCGTTCGAAAAGCCTTCCAGGGCTTGAAATAGATTAAAGCTCTGTCAAACTCAAACTTTGGTATCGATTTACAGTTGAAGCTTAGCAGTTGAAGTTGTTGACAGTTCAGTCCAGCACAGACATACCCAGTCCAGCCAGGATCAGAAGCTTCTATCCAGGCAGAAATGGAATTTCAGCCATCTTTTTGTCTTTCTAGAGCTGATTTTTTCCTTTCTAGTTTCGTAAAAGGCAGTTCTGCCTAAAAAAACAGTCCACTTTATTATCATTTATTCTGGCCAGAACTACCAATCTTGTACTGAGATAAATTGTGAAGTCCTCACCAGTCTGAGGCAAGAAATGAACTTACTTGGGAGATATTCCTCACCCAAATTCACAATCACTGGTTTAGAAATCAGTAACTTGGGGCGCAAGTTATCTATTTCAAAGAAGTCTGTTAGGATTTTTTATTGCTAGCAGTGGCAAGCTCGCACACCAAAGAAAGTTGGCTTGTTGACCAGTCAATAGTTTTCAAGGCAATGTGGAACTTTGCCCTTCCATCACAGGAGCAAACACAAAACGGGTGAACAGACCCATATTCAAAAGGCACTGATTAATGTGAAAATGGAATTGGATCGTTTACTCAAAAAAAATCCCCTGAGTTTTGCTAGTATGAAGTCAACCTAGATTTGGGTTGAGTGTTCTGACAAAAAAGAAAGAACCTTTTTAACAAAGAAAGAACCCAGATATGGGTTTCAAGTTAAATTCAACTAGGTTGACAGGACTCACCTCGAATTCCTCAGAACTCGAGACGAATCCTGTGGAAATTCCGACATCACACTGATGCCGAGCCCACTTACTCAAGACCGAGACTTTCTACCAAAATTTTGGGAGAGTCTCCCCTGTAAGTTGAACATTTCCCAAAAATTTCAACTTGCATATGACACATTTAATAATCCCAACAGGCAGCAAGCTCAAAATAATTTCATACAATTCACATAATCAGCCTCCGGCCTTCACATAATTGGAACCCACACTCCTAGCCATGTTCTTAAATCAAAATAATACATTAAACAATGCAGATAATACACTCAGACTTATTTATGAATGCCCACAACAAATAACATAAATTAACTTCCCCAAATTTCAATCATGCAAGGTTTAACCTCCTAACACAAACGCAAGTAGTTTAAGGCCTCAGCCCAAATCGTATAACAATCCAAACGGGTCTTGCCCCTAATTCGACCACAACATACTAACACTACCCTCCTGTAGCCAAGCGGGAGTATGAACAATTATCTAATCACTCCTCCGTTTCAAACAAGTTTCAGGACCAACGCCAAGGTCAGAACCAAACTTGATAAAATAACATGAGTAAATTTTAGTCAGCGGCTACACCTGGGTGGGACCCCAGGCTACCTACGTACCCTTATTGAGGGATCAAGCCACACGTAGTTCTTCCTACAAACATCCCAGTCCCAATAACATACAATCAATTACAGTAATACGAAAGGATAGACTCTAGAATTTATCCCTTTCCCTTTTCTTTAAATCCCAACTCACCAAACACAATCTTTTTCAAACATCTTTCTTTCCCAACTTAGTACAACAATCCTTAATTCATCTCCCTAATAATCACATAATCTCCCCCTACGTCGAAAAATCCAACGCCATGTGTGACCTAACCATCACATAATCTCCCCATACGCCGGAAAATCCAACGCCACGTATGTGGCCTGTCAACACGCCAGAAAATCCAACGCCATGTGTGACCTAACCATCACATCTAATTTCCCACAATAAATAATAATATTTATTTCTGATTTCCCCCAGTTTAAAACAATAATAATATCCTAATCCCACATAATCAACATAATTCAATTGGAAATCAAGACCTGCCATTATTGTCTTTTTAATCCTCCTGGGAAGGTAGAACTATCTCGGAAGACTCATGGTCAACCAAGGGTCAAACTACCCAAGCTTGGTCAAACGGGCCCACGGGGCCATTGACCTCCGTTTTACTATCCGACAGTTCTTATGGGTTCCACAAGGTTTAGGATACACGTCCTGCAAATTTGGTCCGGATCGGACGGTCGGATCGCTCACGATCACATGATCGGATGATTACTGTAAACCTAGCCCTAGGGTTGGCATGTACGAAGTATCCACGACTCTGTTTTACGATCCATCGAATCCTACACAATCCTAAAGATGTCTAACTTATCATATATTATATTCAAGACGATATAACGGTTCAAACCTATCGAACCCGGATATCGCACAATAGGCGGAATCCGTTCGGGGTTCAAATGGTATCCAATTGAAATCCGTGCACCCCTACACGCTCATGAGAACCTGAGGATCACATCAGGACAAAATGCCATTTTCTACAGTGCCCACACGCCGCCACATGCACGAGCAGTGCGTGGGCGTCCAAAGCGATAACCTTTCGCCGAAAAAACTCAAAATCGAGACTCAAGGCTCCTACCCTAGGTAAACACCCTAATTGGAACCACTTTTGTTCTTGGACCTACCCCAAAAACTGACCGAAAGTGGCCAAAATCGCAATCCCAAAATCAGCCGAAATCCAATTCGAAAATCAGACAATCTTGGCTCAAAATTAATGCAATCCTACCCAACCATGAGCTAGATCTTGAAAAATAGGCGAGAAAGCATACCTTACTTGCCAAAAACGGGGGGGCTGTCATTTTTCAGTGAAATCACGGCGGCAGGTGGCGGGGCTGGGCTGGGGTTGGAAGAGGACGGTGGCTCGGTCATTTTGGTACTGGCCCCATCAGCTTTGGTGGCCGAATGAGGAAAGGCTGGCCAAAATGTGGCCGGCTGTCACTGCTGTTGCGAGAGAGGAGAGAGAGAGAATCAAATTTTTATCAAACCCTTTTCACCAAAATTACGGTTATGCCACTGAGAATATTTTGATCGTATCTTCTTCGTTACAACTTCGATTCGAGCCCATTACGTGTCTACGGCCTCATCTCGCCGGGCTCTATGCAATGGTATTGTTGAAATTCCCAAATTCCTTCCCGGTCAAAAAGTCAACTTTAAACCTAATAAAATATTTTATGGTCAAAATGGTCTTTTTCTGAATAAATTAATATTTACCTAGTTATTAGGACTGGGTCGTTACATATGTAAACTTGGTCTCGTGGTGAAGAGAAGAAGAAGAGCTTGTTAGAGTCGTACACGGGGAGTGGCTTGCCTAATGAAACTAACATCGATCCCAGCCCAAGATGAAGACCTTCCAAACTAGCTACGACACACCTCTCTTTCAATACACACTCATTCGCCTCTTCACCTTTGACAAGTTGATGGGATGAGGTATGTGTTACCGTCTCATCGGAGAAAGAGAAATTGATGTGACGGAGTTGATGGTGTGGTTGAGGCTTGGGTGGGTGATGGGAGTGGTGAAGGCTGGGTGGGTGTCGGAGATGTTGGTGTGACTGGGTTTTTAATTTTAATTTTAACTTTTTTTTTTCTACATGCAAGAATAATGAATTTTTTGATGGCTGGGTGGCGAGAGCGTGATAGACTTTTGCTCAACTTTGTGCTTTTGTGGGCGCTAATGCAAGGAATTAAGGGATGTTTGGCATGCCTCACTTTGCCTCACTATGCCTCACTGTATTGGACTGTATTAAATAGTCCTTGAAACCTATGTTTGGTAAGGGAGGGGATTAACTTAAATGAGATTGTATAGTCCGAGGGGGAAAAAACATCCGACTCGCTTGGGTAATACAGCGAGCCCGAAACGTGGTTCTCAAAATAACGATGGTGCTATTTTGAACATGCGAGTCTGATTGGATACCACCACCACCATCAAACACACGAGCTTAACCACCACCACCACCATGAGTCCACGATCGTCAGACCACCACCATCAAACCCATAACCAGCCACCACAAACCCAATCAAACCATCATCACCACCCAATCAGTCAATCAAAGCATCATGACCACTCATAATCAACCATCACATACTTAGTTCAACAACTGTCACCACCCAATTGAACCACCACAACCATTAATTAGTGAAATTAGAGAGAGATAGGGGTGGGTGTTTGCAGCCACCACATACCCAGAAGTGGATCTGGCTCTCTTAAAACTTGGGGTGAGTCATGAAGAGAGAGTGAAAAGGAAGGAAGGAAGAAGAAAAGAGAAAGGAAAGAATAGGAAGAAAGAAAGAAAAGAGAAGGAACGGCTTGGAAAGGAAGAATAAATGAGGAAGAAAGAAAAAAAAAGAAAGAAACGGGCCAAGAAGGAAAGGAAGAAGAAAAGTCAATGGAGAAAAGAGGAAGGAAGAAAGAAAAGGAGAAAATGAATAAAAGAAAAAGAAAAAAAAATAGATAAGATAGTTTAAGCCTGTTAAAAATATTAGAATTTATTTGTTTTCTTTTTATTTATTTTTAGGTAAAAAAATTCTTAATTAAAATTAAATATTAGAATTTTATTAATTTTTCTTTAATTAAAAATTAAAAAAATTATTTTTAGTCTGATACAACACCAAACATAGGTCTTCTTTATTTTTATAATCCAGTTTCTTAGTCTGACGCAGCACCAAACGTAGGTCAGTACTTAATCCAGCTTACTCTAATCCGGGCTAATCCAAGACAATCTCAGGATTTATTTCAATTCATGACAGTCCGCCATACCAAATGACCCATAATGGATCAAATCAAGCATCCATAAACATGAGCATATCCCACTTTTGGGGCCATCCACTTTCACTCTCGAAAATGCTCATTATATAAAGTGGGATTGGATTGAAAAATAGTCAAAATACAATTCTTAATTAAATCCCCAATACTTAATACACAATAGTCACCACACTTATATTTTCGATACTCAAAATTCTTTGCAATTTACTTTCAAGAATTCACGTATATTTTTGTTAGAATCTATTTTAAATACTTTTTAAAAGTCATAATTGAATACTATTAGACTTTTATAAACTCTTTAAAAATCTAAATTGAATACATGTATGATACTTTTTTGAAGTGTCAATAACAAATCATTTAAAAAGAACATAATTAACTATTTACATTGAGAACATATGTTTTAACAATTTAAACAAAGGCATAATTAACGATTTATATTGTACCATTGAAGTTTATCTAATGAAGTTTCTATTTGATTAAAAAAAATAATAAAGGCAAAATTTTAGCAATACAACCTAAACTTTTCCCCTTTCGATGCTTGGCTACTTGAACTTTTTTTGACAGTTTACACCTAACTATACAAATTGCGCAGTAAATATGTATTGTAAGTTTGAGTACATGTGCTTTTGTCTGCCGAATTGGAATGTTAAATATTTTATTTATTTATGCATAATTCTCTCTAGATCAACCCAAATTGTTTTTATGTTTGGTCACTGAAGATGTTGTACTCATATTTGGCACTATGACTGCTATGTACTTTATTATGTTTTATTAATAAATTATTGCCGCTTTTTCTATATATATATAAATTATACAAGTTTGTGACCTAACTTTAAAATTCAATTTTCATTTTGCCTCTGGAATTTTGGCTCTTGTGGGACTTTGGCCCTTGAATACCAAAGTGTTCCAATTTGGTCCTTACGGGACAATTATAATAAGTCTGTCAATTAAGAGATAATAAAAAAGTTAAGGACAAACTACAGTAAACCCCCTAACTTATAGGGTCATTTACGAGTTCATACTCAATTTTGAGGACATTTACGAGTACATACTCAACATCGCAGAAAACCTACAAATTGCCCCCTCGTTAGCCAAACCGTTGGTGAATATGTGAAATGCCAACGTGGCAAATGTGGGTTCCATTTTTTAATGAGGTGGACTTACAGGTGGACAAATAAATACTAAAAAAATTCTATATTATTTAAAAATAATTATAAACAAGTAAATAATATTATTCAATTAAATTAAAAATAAAAAACCAAAAGAAAACAATTCCTCTTCGTCTCTTTCTCTTCCCAGCCCCACCCCACCCAAACTGACTGCCTCTTCCCACACCCCACCGACCCACCCTCCCTCCATGCACACCGCCTTCAAAGTCATCACCACTGACCTCGCTGTCGTTGGATAGAACCAAGGGCAAGATCTCTATCCTCACCAACTACCTCTTCCTCTTACTTCCCTCAGAGACCTTACGATAGCCATCTTAGTTCCTTGGCCTCCCAATTAAGGATTGATCGTCACTTCAGTTGGGGGTTTTCAATTTTCCAAATTGATCACCGTCGACCTCAACCATGGTTGTCGCCAGAAGATGCGATTTCAACTTCCAAAGGGATCAAGTTGCAGTCCTCAAAAAATGCAGACTTCGTTTTGGGGCTTCTGAGAAACCATGGATTCTGTCATGGGATCAAGTTGTAGTCCCTAGAAAATGCAAACTCTATTTTGGGGCTTCTGAGAAACCGTGGATTCTCTCAAACCCATATCTCAAAGTTTTGCAAAACTCGCCCAGAAAGTAACAGGTTTTAATGGGTTGCCTTTCTTTTCTTGCTTTCTGGCTTTGTTTGGATGTTGAGAAAGTAGATTTGGGTGTATGTTTTGGTTGAATGAAACAGAACAAATGGTTTTTCTTTAAAATTGTGATGAAATCCAATCATTTGCACTTTGTGATGTGTTTTGTATACTCATTCAAATGCTTCATTTTGGATCTGGGTAGTGGAATTCGACTAAGCTGGACTTGGGGTTTCATCTTTTTGGAAGAATCAAAGAGGTTCTCAGTGTTAGATTCACGAAATTTGGTTTGCATAATAACGAAACAGAGGGATTATAAGCAATTGGGCAAGATGATGGCTGCGACGGAGGAGGGGTGGGTGGGTGGGGTAGAGACGGAGAGGGGGCTGGGAAGGGGTGGGCAAGGTTGTTGGGGTGATTGGTTGGGTTGGAGAAGAGAGATGATATATATATATTTCATTTTTAATGATTTTAATATTATTTAAAAATTATTTTTAACATGTATATAATTTTTTATTATTTATTTGTCCACCTGTAAGTCCGTCAATTAAAAAATGGGTCCCATAAATGCCACATAGGCAGATAACGGATTTTTTGATGATCTCGCATCGGAGGGGGCAAATTGTAGGTTTTCCGCGACGTTGAGTATGTACTCGTAAATATCCCCAAAATCGGATATGAACTCGTAAATGACCCTATAGGTTGGGGGAGTTTACTGTAGTTTGTTCAAAAGTTAATAGAAGTGGTACTTGTTTAATAATAGATCTTGAATTTTCTAACATTTCGGGGCTCCAACATTAGTATTGGGTGAAAACCATGTCGTTTAGAAGAAAATCACACCAGTATGTTGTGATTTAACGACATTCTTTAAGTTTTTCAAATTTGTGTTTTAGTAATTTTGTGCTTTCCTTTCTCGTTTAGTTTTGGTTTGCTATTCCTTTGTCAACTAAGATTTTCCTCCCACACTCTTGCTTATTTTCAATTAAATTTGGGAGTTTTGTCAATTTTTTGGTTCTTGATATTCGACGCCAGTACAATCTTTTTTTGTTTTCCCTCGTATCAAAATAGGTAAAAGTTTAAAGCAAATATTGAAATTTACTTTACCTATAATTTGAAAAGGGGATCGTTAAGCGCTTCAAAATAGTTATCCTGCATTCTTTCTTCCCCTTCATTTTTTTGTCATTATCAAAGAGTGCATAATTAGAATTAAAAAAATTAATGGGTAGTTGTGTTCCATAAAAATAGGATTCATTATCTGATTTTTCTTTTAATTTTAATTTTTTTTATATATGAAAAAGTGTGAATTTACCATATTATCCTCATTTAATTAATAATTGCAATTCTTAATGTTTGCATTAGCCAAAGATATTTTATGGTATTTTGAATGTTTTACCATTTTATATATTTTGCTTTATATATATAGATTTTCAACTATTTTTCACAATCATATGATGCGATAGAACTTAAACTCTTTTCTGAAATTCTATAAAAAATAAAAATAAAAAAAAACCCTTTTTTTGAACTTTTCTTTCTCACATAAAAAGTCCTACATTTTAATGGGTTCCCTTTCGGAATTAAAAATTGAGAAAAAATAATTACAAAAATTCAACATTTTTGTGGTTTTGGGAATTTCCTTTCCCTTTTTAGTTTTACCCGGTATAAAATAAAAAAGAAAGATGACATCGGAAACCTGTCAGATAATTTTCTCTCGTTCCAATTTCCGTCACTCTCTCTCTCTCTCTTTCTCTCTCTCGCGCGCCTGACAACAGATAATTTTATTTTGGTAAAATATCATATTGACCCCTTTCAATTCCACGCTCTCGGTGCAATTAAAAACCCTAATTTGCTGTCGCATCCCTTTCTCTCTCTACCCCCAAAATATTTGAAACCCTAGCGCTCTCTCTCTCTCTCTCTCTCTCTCTCTCTCTCTCCTCTCTCTCATGGCGGCGGCGGCGCGGGAAGAGAAGCAGAAGCAGGCGTATGAAGGAATGGGAGCGGGAGGCAAGTTTCGGAAGACGCCGTTTCGAAGGACCTCCCATTCGACGCCATACGATCGGCCGCCCACGTCACTGCGAAACCCTAGCACCGCCAACGATGGCTGGCTCTCGAAGCTCGTCGATCCGGCTCAGCGGCTCATCTCCTACAGCGCCCACCGCCTTTTTTCCTCCGTCTTTCGCAAGCGCCTTCCACCGCCTCAGTCGCCTTCGACAGGTTCGGCTTTTTCTGCTTTCGAGACTACCTTTGTTTACTATGCTAAGGGCTTTGGTGGTTTCTTAGTTGCGACCTAAGTTGCGGCCTAAGTTTTGGGTGCTTTGTTCAATCAAATGTGGGAGTTGGGTTTTCTTTATTTGGGACGCCTTTTGTTATGTTTTTGCTGATTTCAAAGCTAATTTTGTTTCAATTTGTCTTAACAATTAATTTCCTGGGGCCAGTGTGTGAGGGTTGAATTTGGGTAGTTGGTTGCTTCATGTTGGGTTATGCAAGTTGTTTTTGTGTTGTGGAATATCAGATCTCGAATTCATTAGGTTCATTATAATAATTGTGCGGTCTTCAGGAAAAACTTGTAAGGACATGAATGTTCAACGATAAACGATTGAAATTGTAATTGACCGAATCCTAAATTCGAGTGGGTCTGAATTTCAAATAATGCATGCAGTTACACTATTTGGAAGACATATGAATCCTTTATTTTTGATAGGAGGAAGGCATAAAATCCTTGCACCCCTTATATTCTACTGCTGGTTTAGTTATTTAACATGTAAATTGGTATGAGTCAGGTGTGCTTCTTGTAAGAGTGATGCTTGATAGTACATCGTCTTTTGCATTCATACAGTCTCTGGTATTGGTGTCTTATCTGAAAGAGCCAGTTGAACTTTATCCGAAAGAGCCTGTTGAACTTTCTCCCTTGATTAGTTTTTTTGTTTTATTTGTGACTGCCATATCACCCGTATTTTTTCTTTTGTAGATTTGGGTTTTGGGGAAAATTTGAAGTTCCTGAGAATACATAAGATTGCTTGCTTTAGAAGCTTTCTTTATAGGATGATATTTCTTTAGCTGTCGTTGTGACTTTAAATTTTAGCTGGTTGTTGGCTCCTTTGGTTTCTTGAATGAGATATGAAAGCGAAATGTCAAATTATTTTGCTTGCAGTTGTTGCGTGTATGTTAATGTTATCTTGAATGCCTTGTACTTTCTATTATAAGATGTCAGTTCATTTATAACAGAATAATGATTAGCTATCATGAACTCTTTTCTGCCTTATTTTCTGAAAAGGACTGTGATTGCTTTGTTGATTTCTTTGCCAATTATTCATGAATTTAATCTGCTGTTACTTTACCAGGGGTAAATCATGAAGTAAGGATCAAGGGCAAAGAAGATGTTACCATGGTAAGTGTAAAGGTGTTGTATATTTCTATTCTTTGCACTCATTGTGCTTTGATCTAGTAACTGGGATCCCATACCTTTTATTTTATTATTAAGCTTTATACTCATGTTGTGTTAAACATTCTGTTTGTTGATAACATTACAGTATTCTTTTCTGAAATTATGAGTTGTAGGCAGTACATGATACTTGGATCTACGTTTTGCCCTATGTTTGAGTATTATAAGCATGCAACCTTTTTTTAACTTCCCTACATTTACAAATTTTGATGATTGATGTAAGATCATAGTTTTAAATTAGAGAGTTAGGTGAACAGGAATTTTGGCGCTCTAATTTCCTCTATGTCGAGTGTTAGAATAATTTAGGGGGTTAAGGAAATATAAGTGCAGTTGGGTTTATTTGGCTAAAGTTCTGTTGGAAGACATGATCTTGGTATCTAGTTGATCCATTAATAAAGTCTAGAATTGATAAGAAAAAACTCCTTGTAATCGCAAGAAATGAAGACAGAAAGACATAATAGAGTCAAAAAAACTGACAGGAAAAAAAGAAGTAAACATCCTGGTTTCGTTGCTGAATAGGGATGGACATTTTAACTGGTCAAACTGCTCAGTTTGTGGAATTCATGTTGGTTGAAGTGAGTCAATACGTGTTGAACCTGTTCATGTTGGTTGATCTAATCAATTTTTCTTTGTTTTTGGTTTAATTATTCATCCACGTTTATTTTTTGGTATGAGTAGTCCATGTTACAGATCCACATTTTGTGTTGCTAATAATTATTCTGTTGTCTAGAAATGCACTGACGTAAAGCATCTGGGTTACTGTTCAATGAGATTTTAAAAAGGAAACTTAGTGCGTGAGTCTCGTACCCTGTTTCCTGAGAGTTTCTTTCTGTTACCCAAAGCCACGAGTGGTTGCATGAGGCAAACTATATTTTTGGGCCAATGTGCACCCATTGAATGAGAATTAATTGTTGTTTCTTTAGTCCTTTGTCAATTAAAAATTATTTTAATTGAGTTATGGTGGTGTGCTTTTATATATATATATATATATATATTTTAAGCTGAACAAGTTTAAATGAAATTCAATTTTTAGGTTTATCATTTTATTTTTATGGTTTTGATAATGTTATTCTGCATGTAAATCATCTTGATATGTCTTCTGTATGTAATGTCTGTTGTACAGTGTCCTCCTGGAGTGCAAAAAGGCACAGTTGATCAAAGTGCTGGTCCAAGTACTACTGCTGATGGAGGCGAGTTCACTGAGCTTAAACAAATTTTAGAGCAAAAAACTTTTACCAGGCAAGTTTTTATGTTTTTGCTTTTTTTGTTTGGCCCGGACAAGTTATTATGTACTAGGTAGTATCTTTTTGTTAATCTTTCATAGAAAGTACTTATAATAATCTAAATGTAGCCGTACATCAGGAAAACTGTGTTGTTTATCAGTCACTGGTATGCAAAGGGAATGATTTATGGTGATGTGTGTGTTTTTTTTGTATATTTTAATTGCTATAAATATTGGTGGGTGCTGTAATTCTATGCTCTATTTAATTGGAAGGGTTAATTTCTCTACACCAGTATTCCTGTATGGGTAAGTTAGATGGAGAGGGTGAGGGAGCGGGGAGGGAGATAGAGGGAGAGAGAGTGGCAGAAGAGGCGATGAGGTGAACTTTTGAATGAAATTTCTGAATGGGATGGGTTATGACGTATGCGTTTATAATTTCAGAGATCAGTTATAATTTCGTCCATGCCTCTTGTGGGGATTAGAACTTGTTTTCTTGCAACATGTGCTTACTGTGAGTTGAATGTTAATCACATCTGCAGATCTGAAATTGATCGATTGACAGCGTTATTGCATTCAAGAACTGTTGATATACCAATTGAGAATCAAGAGAAAAGGTCAGAAGTGGTGCCTTCAAAGCCAGTGGTTTCTCATGACAGAAAGGAGGAATTTCTTAGAACTCCAGTGCAAGACAAAAATGGGATTGAGAGCTGTCTTGTTTCAAACCCTGTTGTCAATACAAGTGTATGATAACCTGCTTTTCATTTGTATACTTTGGTTGATGAGTTTGTGAAAGCTATGCTTGCTACTCTCTAATTAAAAATAATTGTGGAATAGTAACATATTGAACTTTGGCACTTTTTGACATTTAGTGGTTCAAAATGTCTTCAGGTCCTTCATGAAGATGTTGCTTCACCTGCAGAGCTCGCAAAAGCATACATGGGCAGTAGGCCTTCAAAAGTATCCCCATCAATGTTAGGTTTACGAGGTCAAGCACACCATGAAGATTCACCTATTTTGAGCAGTCTACCAATTCAGTCAAAATCGCCAATGATGTCACTTGTGCCATGGACTTCTGGCAATGGGGGGGGCTCAAGAAAATGGTTTTGTGACCCCTAGATCGCGAGGCAGATCTGCTATATACAGTATGGCTCGAACACCATACTCTCGAGTTCGCACAACTACAACATTCAAGGTTTGTTTGCTATGAGAATATAGCTCCTTTCAACCAACTGGGGTTTAGTTGAGTGGTTAGGCCTGTTTGCTCCCATGTGGATTGGATTCCTCAACCTATTTATTGAGTTGCTAGAGTTTCCTGCATTGTAGGGTTCGGCGGTGTGCCCCACCGTCTGATCTGCAAAGTGGGTTTGGGGGATTTCTGGGTGTAAGAAAAGGACTACAGTTCCTTTCAGGTTTTTAATGTTTATTGGGATTGAGGCTCTTACATTTTCTTTTGCTCGTACTTCAGGGTGCTGGGTCCACAGTTGATGCTTATGGTGGGGCGTCGTCTTCTCAGTCTGTATTGGAGCAAAGCCAACCTTCTGGATCTAAACAAGGGGTATGAAGTCTGAAGATTATCAGATGCTACTTTATTTTGTACTTATTGCATCCAGATTCATTGTTTTTTCTTTTGTAGGTCTTAAAACGCAGATTTTCAGTCTTAGACAATGACATAGGATCTGTTGGTCCTATTCGTAGAATTCGTCAAAAACCTAATCTTCTATCTTCAAGAGGCTTGAGCTCACCAGTATACAGCACTACTTCTTCTATTCGCGGGACTAGAATAAGTTCTGAGGCTGCTCAAAATCCATCATCTTCAATATGGAAGCCACTATCATTGGGTGAACCTAAGCATAAAGCATTGTCAGAAAATGGGGACAATGCTGTTCCTAGTACAAGTTTCTCTTCTGTTCCCTCAAAATCCAGCAAGATGGCTTCCAAAATTCTGGAGCAGCTTGATAAGTTGGTCTCTCCTAAAGAGAAATCATCTGAGACCAATCTACATACTGTGAGAGATAAATCGCCAACTAAGCTTTCACCATCCATGTTACGTGGTCAGGCTCTGAAAAGCCTGGAGGATGTGGATTCGTCAAAATTTATGGATAATGCCCATAATAATAAGAGTAATTCTAAGTTGAATGTATCATTTGATCGATTGATACCAGATGCTCGAGACTTCACCTCTGAAAATGAGGACAGGGTTAAAGAAAATGGCCCATCGAGAATTAGAGCTCCTTGTGACAGTTCAGCTATACTAATGAATGGTGAAGATTCTACAACAGAAAAGAAGGATATTGTGCCAAATGTTAAAACTGCAGTTTCTACTGCATCAAATGCTGTTGTTCATCCTCCACAAAAGAAACGGGCATTCAGGATGAGTGCACATGAGGTATAGTTGTGCTTTCTTGTCATCCATGGTTCCCTGATAATCTTGGGGTCTTTTACTAAACTAAGTTCGTAATTATTCTACTAAGTTCGTAATTATTCTACTTTCTTCTTTATACTGCTCTGAAATGTTAGTGACATGATATAACCAATTTTGGTTTCAATTTGATCATAGCACATACGCCAACATGGGTTAGTTGGAATTGTCAGGCCCATGTGGTCTGAGGTTGTAAACCCCGAAAGGTACCTACCTAGCTACTTCCTAGTGTTTTCTGCCTTGCAGAGACTGTAGGGCTGGGCCCAATTTCATAGCTGTGTCCTGAAAGCAGATTGATGGATTTCTAGGTATCCCAAAAAATAAAATAAAATCATAGTAGCTACTGATTGGGGGCTTTACATTTGAGATTATAAGATTCTCTAGCTGTGTTACAAATTCATAGGTGATTTGTATAGTAAGCGTTTGCTGATCAAATAGATCAAGTTTACGAGGGGGTTGTTTTCGTGCAGGAATTGGAGAAGAAAAGTACAAATTAAAATAACAATTGAATTAAAATTTTTGTTACAAATTCAATTTAGATTCCATCAGTTCCATTTGAAAATCTTACTAGATTTAATATTTCTTTCAATGTTCAGCAAATGAATATTATTAATTTCTTTGTTATTGAATTCCTTATCCTGTGATATATTTGAACCTTATGGGTATGGTTTGTAGGATTATCTTGAGCTGGATGATGATGACAATTCTAAGGTGGAGACTTTCTCGACTGAGAAGAGCAGTATTGCTACAGCAACTGTTACACTGGAGAAGCCTCCAGCTTTCTCTGATGGGTCTGTGCTTGCTGAGAATGGCACCAACACTATTGGCTCTAGTGCATTGTCATTCAGCAAGATGGTATCTACCCAGCCATCCTTTACATATGATAAAGTTGCTCCACCAGAAGAATCAAATGCTGGTCCTTCAATGTTTAACTTTGGGGGTAAAGTTGCTTCAATGAAGGATTCAGATGCAGCTTCTCCTGTGTTTAACTATGTCTCTAAGAGTGTTGACGAAGTTGCACAGCCACAGTTTGCTTTCACTTCGTCACCTGCAGTTGTTGAATCTGTTGACGTAAAATCTGGTGCCGTTTCAGTCCCCAAACCTGAAAGCTCAAGCAGGTCCGTATGATAATTTGCCTATTTTCTTTTTAATATTCTCCTATTGTTGAAAAGTATTGTTGAAGGCCCTTGTTTGCTGCATTTATCTTTGCTTATTTTTTCTTTATAAAAAGAGATTTAAGTGTATAAACAAACCTAGGCTTCTGAAGGATTTTCCTATAAAGGAATGGGCAAATGGATCGGAACTGTATGAATATCATTCAGTTGGTAGAGGATATGCATATCCGAAGACCATGAAGGTAGTTTATGGCCTAATACCACGAAGGCAGGTTGCCTGTAAATGTCAGTTTAAAGTGCTCACTTAGTGTGGCAATGAAAAATTAAGCTATCGTCTGTTGGAACCTTCGTATAGTTCAGTGTGGGTTCTCGTGTGAGCAGTTTTTGGATTTATATTTTCAATCTTCTTTGCTAGTGGTGAAGGTAGTTAGCGAAAATAATGCAATATTGATAGATAAAGCGTTTATTTATTAGCAAAGAATGAAAGACAATTGAAGACATTCGTACCGTGGTAAGTTAAAACAAAAGGAACAAAGTGCTTAGAATACCTTTAAAATTATGGTTTCCTTCTGCCTTAATGCTTGTGTACTTTTGTTCTCCACCAGAATTTCATTTGGTCAGGGTAGATCTAGTACTGGTGGCTATGTGGTGATTTAGGGTTTGAAAAATGGGGTTGAGGGGCTGCTCCTGTGATGGGTGGTGATTGATACAAGCTCTTAACTGGACAATGAAAGAGAAAGGACTTTCTCTTTCATTTCAAAATGTAATCAGTGGTATCATGTGGAAATCTCAATCATTTGTTCTGTAGTGGTGTTACTAATTTTTATGTTCACCCAAAAAGTACTGTTTTATTTATTTATTTATTTATATATCAATGTTTTCATCTGCAGTGTATCTGCCGTTGTAGCTGCTGCAACAAATTCTGTATTCAAACCACTTGAATCAGATAAAGCTGCTAATAAGAATAATGCTGGAGTCTCTTTTAGGATACCTGAAACTGCTCCGTTCTCTGTATCATCAACCACAGGCATATTCTCCAATGGCACCCCTTCCAATAATTCAAGCCTAAATAATGGGTCAACCCCTCCATTTTCTCCCTCCGTTCCTTCAGCTTTTTTGACAAGTCCAAATTCATCAGGTAGCATGACCCTCACTGCCAACACAAACAGTGGTAACAACATCGCTAGTGTAACTGCAGTCACCACCGAGAGTTGCAATGTTTCTAGCTCAGCTCCAGCACCTTCATTTTCATCTGTGCCTAATTTCAAAGTTGAATCCTCCACTGCTTCAACTGCAGTAACCACCAACAGTAGCAATGTTCCTAGCTCAAATCCAGCAACTTCATTGCCGGCTGCGCCTATTTTATTTGAATCCTCCACTGCTTCAATTGCAGTTACACCAGTTCCAGTAAATTCTTCCTTAGACTCTTTTGAAGGAAAGAACAAGGAAGACAAGGGCTTTGGTAATCTAAGCAGCACCTCTTTTGCTGCCACATCTGCTGCCATTCCAAGCACAGGGAGTGGTATGTTTGGATTTGTTAGTGGTGGTGCTGCTACGACGTCTGCTGCTAACCAGTCCCTGGGTACTCGTTTTGGTGCTGGCAGTGGATCTGTTCCTATTTCCCAGCAGACTGGAATTGCATCATCAGCTGCCTCACCATCATTCGGGTTGTCTGGAAGTACTGGACAGTTTGGCTCAACCTCTGCTCCTAATCTGTTTAGTTCAGGAGCAAGTACTGGACTTGGTTCTTCTGCTCCCTCGTTGGAGGCCAACTCCAGTAGCAGTACTGCTCCTGGCATATTTGGTTCCAATTGGCAATCCCCTAAGTCTCCTGCATTTGCTTCCACAACATCTTTGTCAGCTGGGTTGTCGTGTGGAGCATCCTTGGCTACTTCTGCACCTACTGTATTTGGAGGGTCCTCGACTGCTGCTACTACTAGTAACACGCCTTTTGTCTTTGGAGGATCCTCAACTGCCGCTGCTACTACAAACAGCGCACCTATATTGTTTGGAGCTTCCGCAGTTTCTTCTACAAATGCCAATGGGGCATCTATGATGTTTGGATCATCCAATGGTGCATCCTCAACTTCGATGTTCCCATTCACTTCATCTGCAGCTAGTACTGCCCCATCACAGCCTGCATTTGGGAACCCAAATCCTGCTTTTCCATTTGGTTCCTCGGGTAATAATGATCAAATGAACTTTGTAGACAGCATGGCTGAAGACACTAATCAGGCATCTACGCCTACAGTCCCAGTATTTGGTCAGCAGCCTGTGTTTGGTCAACAGCCTGTGTTTGGTCAACAGCCTGTTTCAAACCCACAGTCTGGCTATGTATTTGGATCTGCACCTGCAGTCCCAGCGGCGAATCCCTTCCAATTTTCAAGTCAACAGAATCTAGCCAACCCACAGAACCCTTCACCATTTCAGGCTTCGGGTAGTTTGGGAGCAAGTCAAGGGGGCAGCTTCTCATTGGGCACTGGTGGTGACAAGTCTAACCGAAGAATAGTGAAGGTTAAACACAACAGGCAGCGGAAGAAGTAAAAGCATGAGTGGTAAAATGTGGGTGGTGTGGTGGTTGTTCTCTGTTCTCTGTATGAGGGTGAATAACTTTAATATGCAAGACTAGATACAAGAGATTGCTGGTTCGATACTGATGAAGGTATAATTTTCCTTCTGTGGTTAGGAAGATCAGACTATTCTGTTTGCTCTACATATATATTGTTTCCCTCTTTCTTTTTACAATCGAGCAAAATTTTCGTGGTTGGAATGAGAGGTTTTTCACAATTTTATACCAGTTTGTAGTCGGAACATTTATGCTTTTGTATTAGTACATGTAGTAGGTGAATGTTTTTGTATTAGTAAGTGTAGGTGGTATTAGGCTTTCTGGCTGGGCAATTGTGTTAGCAACTGTTTTCTGTGTACTCTGCTATTTGTAACATAAAAGGAAACAGCTGTGAATGTGTCCAAGCTTATCTGCTGGCCGCCTACTGATTTTTCCCAGGAGGCAGGGGATACATGATGCAGCAGTGAGCACATTACTTGGGTCTTAATCAAATTAGCTTCTTTCCAAATAAATATTTTATGCATTTATTTTAGGTATCGTGTGTTTTGCTCGCATTGAATGATTGTGTTGTAAGAATGTGTCTTTTGCTTTGTGTTTACGTGTGCGAAAGGGCGACGCCTAACGCTAGCATATTCGTATTTCATGTTTATATTGGTATCGACTGATATTGAAAAGGGTTAATGCTAGAGGCGAAGCAGATTTCAACATCGTTCATCCCAAATGTGCGGTATTTGTATGTGTCTGGCATAATTTGTTCCATCACATGCTTACGTTCATTTAGCGATTCCATTTTGAGAAAAGTTTTGGTTACTGATATTTTTCTGTCCCAGTGCTCTCTTCCCTGATTACAGTTTTGTCCAAGGCATTATGTTATTCTTACTACATTTGTATATCATATCTTTATACCATCTTATGTGGCAGCTGAGGTGGACAGCCACATTAATTAAAATTATTTAATATTTTCTTTTCTTTTATGATTTATTCCAGTATTTGTTTTTCTAATTGCCTTAATTAAAATACACTTAATTGATTTAATTGATGTGGCATATAATATAGACATTCCACATCATGTGGTATATAAATGTGGGATAAAAATGTGGTAAGTGTAGCATTACTCTTATTTAAACCTGACATCATATTTATAGATAGAGCTGAAAGTCTTAAGAATTTCACTTGAAATAAGTAGATTGAGTTTGTGTTATTGTCTGCAATAATCTATATAAGTTTGGGCTGGAATCCAGAATTTCATCAAACTAAATGTTTAGCAAAAATTAAAAAGCCATGCTGTAATCAATATAAGGGTAGATGACTAGTTTTTGTTTTATTAAAAAAAAAAATAAAAAAAAAAAAAAAAAAAATTTTACAAGATGACTTATTGAGTTAAACGTACATTGGATAAACGATAAAACAGAAAAGTACATGACATATTTAATTTTAAAGGGACTATAATGAGCCGCATATTTTCATTTCCTAAATCATGCTGTAATTATGAGTTATTTTCTTATGAATTCTGCAGTTCCAGTTCCAGTTCCAGGGCAATTATTTACTCCAGCATTGTGTTGCATTCTCTCCACCTCACTGAAACAACATGTTCAGCTTCAACCTAATGCATTTGAAAAATACATAGAATTCTTAAATGACGGAATTTAGATATCCATAATTTAGATTTATGATAATTAATAATTTTAGTGTTTGAATTTATGTATGTCAAATTTTGTAAATAACAGAAATTAGAAGGAAAAATGAATTGTTTCTAAATAGAAATTGCGAAATAACCACTCTTTTGGCATAAATTAAACTTGAAAATCTTGATCACTAGTTTTCATAAATGTTTCGGTGCGTCATTTAATAAGTTTCACGCTTAAGTTGTCGAGCAATAGAAATATCAATGACGTTTAGCTAAATCATGAGTTATTGTTCTAAATCCAAACGGAAGGCTAAGAATTTATAAATGATGGAATTCACAATGATAGAAATCAATGTTCCATAATTTGTTTACCTTCGCATCTTCATTTTTTCGAAAACCCATAACCATTCTTCTGGATCTTCAGTTGTCCCAAGGTCACCCAATATAGGTATTATATTCATGATAGGACACGAAGGAAAACGGTCTTGACCATGGCCGCCGTGGGCATGGGTCCCGAGGGCAACGACCTAGGGCCTTGAATGTTTTATAACATTGTTAGGACCATATTAAAAGTAATTTTTGGAAGGTTCAAAATTATAAGGTCCAAAATAAAAACCATTTCAATCTTTAACAGAACAAATGCCCATATTAAAATAGTATTAATTGGCTTTAGAACAAGAAATATGCAATTAAACACTTTCTTAAAGAAAATGTTTAATTCTTCTAGTTTGATGATTTTTGTTGTTGTCAACCATATCATGGTTTGCATTTTTATTTTAGTCCAATTAAATTACTATATTTAAGCCAAAATAAAAATACATGTGTATATACTTTTTTTTTTCTTGTAAAACTGTGATTAAATGTTTTTAAAAAATATTAAGGGCCTCATTTTAATTTTTAGCCCTAGACCACTCAAAACTCAGTGATGGTCTAGTCTTGACTTGTAGACCAATTGTCTTAAGTTCGAACCCCACGACACCTTGGTAGTATGCAAGTGAGAAACCCTTCATTTACCTTATAGTTTAGACTATCACTTGTATTAAAAAAATTGTCAAAAAATATTATTTATAATTATTCGAATCAATAACAGGTGATGCAGTGAAGGTTATGCGGGTGGTGGGATAGGGTGCTATTCATCAATTTTGGGACATTTGGTTCACTAAGTCATTATTATTATTATTATGTTAAATTTGTTTTACCAAATTAATTACTCATAATTAATTCATTTTTTTAAACATAATAATAAATGGGATATTTGTTGAAATGTCACCTGAACTTATACCTTAGTTTCAATTTGTCACCTGAAAACATAATTTAAGTGAAATGTCACCTGAATTTTTCAAAATCCATGATTTGTCACCTGAGTTTAACATCATCTGATTTTCCATCTATTTTCAAGGGTATTTTAGTCTTTTCATTTTCAAGGATATTTTGAAAATGGAAAAAATTATTATTAAAAAAATAAAGCTTAAATGTAAAAATGGCTGCGGATTAAATGTGAAAAGATATATAATTTTTATAATTTTCAAGGGTCTTTTCATAATTTTTTTATAATGAATTTTCCATTTTTAAAATACTCTTGAAAATAAAAAGACTAAAATACCCTTGAAAATAGTTGGAAAATTGGATGATGTTAAAGTGAGGTGACAAATCATGGATTTTGAAAAATTCAGGTGACATTTCACTTAAATTTTTTTTTCAGGTGACAAATTGAAACTAAGGTATAAGTTCAAGTGACATTTCAATGAATATCCCTTAATAAATATTGGAAATATATTTTGTTATTGAAACATTGGAAACTTGATCATTGAAAATTGATGCTGGTTTTTGCCACCTCATTTGGGACTGAAATTTAGTGTCCCCAACAATATTCTTTTTTAATTGCATTAATGTACATAAGTCAAATAATAAGTGGAAAAAGAAGAAGTCAAATCATAAGTGCAAGGAGAAACAACTTTAAGGCCCCATGTGTTTTTCCAAGGGATGAGAAATGAAAGATTCTTTTCTCATGTTTGGTAATGTTGGGAAAGCAACCGGGAAATACCATTTTATCTAATTTCTCATGTTTAGTTTATGTAGGAATGTAAAACAAAGTTCATTTAATTTTTCAATTTTACCCATATTAGACAAAAATATTTAAAAAATTGCATTTAATGCTATATTGTAATTCTAAATTGTTAATGAAGACAAAATAGTCATTGAAAAGGCACATTTAATGCTACCCTTAGTTTCCAAGTGGAAGGAAAAATGAAACCCAAGGGGGAAGGAGGGCTTCATTGTTCCCCCTATTTTTCCATGTGTTAGCCAACTATTTCCCAATGTCTAGACTTACCAAACATAGGAAAATATTTGATTTCCCATTCCCAAGCCCCATATCCCATGAACCAAACGCCGCCTAAGAAATAAGTCTATTATGAATAATGCAGACCTTGATATTGCTGGATTAGGTATACCTTCTAAATACAGTTGTCAATGGACCAGATTTTGATATGAATCCAATGAAATTAATAAGAGATGGATCTGGAAGTATATATTATGTTCCGAATCCGTTTACCAATTAGATTAACAAAACATATATGGATTTAGCCTACTTCATTCCGATAATAATCCGATCTAATTTGGTATAATATATATCTTGGAAACTTTGCATCTAATGTCTTGGAAATGAATTTAGTCACAACATATAACATAAAAACATTCATAATGTCGGATTAATTTCGCTTATTCTAGTTGAGCTAAGCCTTTTTCATTTTAACCCAAATATCTTATAATCTAGTATTTTTGGCCACAAATAGAAAAGGGAGAAACGTATGAGGGTTTACCCTTGACTACTATTTCTTGGACAAGCCAAGAGTGAACACTTTTGTAGGAGTGTCTTCCTTTCTTCCTCTTCTCACAAGCTCCTCAACCCAAGACTCCAATAGTGAAGTCATCTACACCAAAAAGACTAGAGATGAAGAGAAATCAACCTAGAGCACTTTGGTGCTAGTCTTTCTATTAGATATTGGAATCTAATGTCAAATATCCTAATGTGAATTATTCCTTTATATGATTATCCTGGTAAGATTTGAAAACTTCTTCTTTCAAATCTTATCCATTACTATGCACAGAGATTTGATCAATCATATCCTTTGAGTATTCTCTCTCCTTACTGAGAGTAGCCTTGTTATACATTCATTTGTCTTCATGAATTTATTAAGAGTCCTGATAACACTTTTAGGTCATGTCTCTTACAACACAATTGTATAGTACCCTCAAAGACATACAACATAGCCACAAGATATCTATGATGTCTCAGGTCTAAGGATTAGTTTGCACCATTGCATTGCAGTCTATGAGTTCTAGATTAACATGTGAGTAAAGACTTTCATTCTAGAACTCATGTATTTGATCGCATTCAATGTACTTGTTCTCATGCAAGCACCTACACACATATTTAGGTGCCGCTACACTCAGTGACTTGAGACCTCGTCATTCTCTACATATAGAGAAGATACTATGTGTACTTGTCTTGGCAGAATATCAACACCCAATTGATATTCCTATGACCAGAAACATATTTAGGATTAGGGGCCATGATAAGTCTCGATGTATAGTTCTCATGTCCACTTATATATTCCTAGGACTATAGCTAGTTTACTATTATGATAATATACCAAATATCATGATTGAAAACAATTGGTTTTGCCCATAAATAACTTATAATAATTTATCACATAAGATATCCTTGACATTAATTATCGTTTAATTAGTTAGCTTTAAGGACATACTACTAACATATATATATATACACACACACTAAATATATACACTAACAATTTATTTTATAATATAACAGAAGGCCAAATGGTCAAATTGACAGAACGTATTCAAATTTTAAAATGCATGGGTGTAAATTGACAAATTAAAACCCCATTGCCCATTTCAAAAATGAACCTTCAGACTCTAAAATGTCGTTAGCCTGTAGTTATTATTATTTTTGATTGCCTTAATTGAAAGGATTGGGAAAACCCAATAAGAGGAAAATGGACAGCCCAAAACACTAAAGGAATGGCTTGGATACCTAGAAAAAAAACACAGAAAAAAGAAAAGGGCTGCCGACACCACATCAACTCCCTCTCCCTATTATCTCCCTTCCTCTCTCTTTCTTTTCATTATTTTACTTCTCTCTCTCCTATTATTTCCCTCTTTCCTTTACTTTTCCCTCTCTTTATGTCAGTGAAGAAAAAGTTTTATGAAACGAGAATAATACTATTTTGCTATTTTTGATTAAGAACGTTATAACATGCGTGATAACAGTTCCACATACCATAATATTATAACATGTATATTAACAGTTCCAAGTAACATAACATTATTGACCGGGATACCAAAACTGTATTATTCCCATTTCAACTAAGGGGGTATATCCAATTCTAACTTTTAAAGATTTTTTTTTTTTTAAAGTGCCTGACTTTCATTGAATTGACAGATTCTTAATGACTTTTACATACTTTATAATGTTAAGTGACAAACTTTCATATACTTTTATCATAGAGTTTTAGAGACTTTTATCTAAAAAGGATACAATTGTGTAAATGCAAAGAAATATTTTTCCTTCACATTTGAAAATGACAAAAATGATAAAGTACAATTGAAAATGTACCTTAAGGAAATAATTGTCATTCAACTTAAAAAAAAAAGATCCATTTTAATGGTTGTGAAATAAACTATAATGCAAATTGCAAATTCCTTTTGAAATTTCATTTTTCATCACCGTTGATAACCGTTATCATTTTGCATGATATCTCTCCACATATCAGAAGATATACCAACTCTCTGTTTATTAACAAGAGTTTCAAAAACTTGTTCTGCATTATCTCCTTCATTCCCTTGTAATGGTGAAGATGATGAAGATTCATTCTTTGGTTCAATAGGAAATTCACAATATTTGAGCAAGAAACATATAATATGTTTATGCAAACATTATAAATTAATGGCATATGAGAAAAAAATTAATATAATAATATTGTATGCGTGAGCAGATGAGAAAATTAACATATAAATGAAACATTGTAAGCAAAAATAGCTTTGTGATGAAATAATGGTAAGCTTCGGGATGCAAGCATGAGGACAAGAAAAGAAATATTGATATGCTTTGTGACGCAAGCATAAGGAAAAGAAAAACACTCAAGATTTTTTTATTAACTTGAAGGAAGTGTATGAGAAGATAGGATACCAGGAAATGGAGCCTTAACCATGAAGAGAGTGTACTTCTCACTGTTTGATGCTTGATATAACGAAGGGAATATATTGGAGAAAGAATTAAAGAGTTTTTTTTTCAGTCTCTTTAGCTTCCCAACAATTCACTATAAAGTTATCTGTAAATTAGCAAGACTTTTTGTATTAAGAATTAATAAAAAATTATTTATTTAACAAAATTTTCAAAACTCATTAACTTTTTGGATACTAAAAAAATTTTAAATATTTTTTTAAAAGTTACAATTGAATACTACTAAACTTTTAAGGGGGCAAGGGTGGGCAGTACAGGTGGTGGTGGTTTGCAGCATGGAGGATTTAGAGAAGCGGTTTGGTAGCCATCTACGATTGTCAGCACGTGAACGAGGGGGGATTCGGATTGAGGCAGGGGATGGAATCAATCTTATGCGGGGGTCACGGTTCTCCTTGGTGGCAAGGGTTCTGACTTCTAAGGCTGTATTCTCGGATGGGTTTGTGGGGGTTTTTTTAAAAATTATGGCATGGGGGCGATGGAGTTTCAATAAAAGAGATTGATGAACAGAAGTTTCTGATAAGATTTGCTAGTAGACGGGACATGCTTCGTGTTTTGGATATGGAGCCCTGGTCTTACAAGGAACATCTCGTACTCCTATCTGAAATCCAGCTTGGGAAGGAGGTGCGGGAGGTGGAGGCATCCATGGCTTCCTTCTGGGTGCAGATGCATGGAGTTCCGCTGCTAAATATGACCATGGTGGTGGCCAGAAAAATAAGTTCGGTGTTGGGGCAGGTGCTGGAAGTTGACCATACAGAGGGGGAAGAATGTATAGGGCGGTTCTTACGCGTTCGTATTCGTTTGGATGTACGGCAATCGCTTATGCGTGGTTCTTTTGTTGAGTTTCCTGAAGAGGGTGCCACTTGGGTGGATTTTCGTTATGAGTTTTTACCATAATATTGTTTTCTTTGAGGGTGTTTGGGACATCCCAGTCGGATTTGTGTTGAAAAACTGGCTTCTGCAGATAGTTCCCAAAATTTGCAGGATCAGATGATGGCTTTTGCAGGATTGGAGGCAAGTGAGGACTTGGGCGGACGAAGACTTCGGCAACATGGACGGAAGGAGTCGTCTGATTCCAGTCCATGGGTCTCAGGGGACAGTACTGATGGGAATATGCGTCGGCGCAAGTCTTATTTTACAGGGAATATGAGGGAAGGTTCGGGGGGAAGCAAAGCTGACTATAGTGATTGGCGGATAAGACGAGGGCATACACGGGGGGGTTATGCTGAGGACTCTAATCTAGCTGGGAGAATTCGTGCAACAAGGGAGGCAGAAGAACGGAATAGGCAGATACGGGAGGCGGCATGGGAGGCTGGAATTTTGGGGCCACATGGCAACATTGAGGTCTCGCCCGCGAACTCAATTGAGCCTCATCTTCCTCATGGAGGTGTTCAAACTTCTGTCGACAGTGGGATCGCTATTGATTTGAATGCGGTGGCCTGGGTAGAGGAAAGGACCACAATGCAAGGAACAATACACGAGGCCTTAAGTAACCGGGTTGATGTCGGAGGGAATTTGGGGGGTCAATCTGAGGCGCTGATGTACGGGTCTGATTCTTTTAATCTAGGGCTACTTATATTTGGGCAACCTGTTAATTCTAACACAGGTGGTGTAGGCTCTAGGAGCAAAAGGGGGAGAGAGGAAAATGAGAATGGCAGTATGGATAAAAGGAGGTGTGCTAGTATTCGGTTGGTGTCAGCTTGTGGAGGGATAGGCAGTATGGGATCTCGAAGGGAGATAACTTTTGACGATACTCTAATTCAAGAAGCGGAGACCGGACTCGAGTCTCGGCGAGCATTATGAGGATCATAGTCTGGAACTGTCAGGGTATCGGGAGTGTTATGACAATTTCGAGTTTGAAGGAGCAAGTTCGGCTCCAAACTTCTGACATAGTGGTCCTCCTAGAAACAAAAAATCGGAGTCAACGCTATGGGTATTTAAAACGTCAGTTAGGTATGCAATTTATGCATGCGGTTGAGCCTCGGGGCTTGAGTGGAGGATTGTGTTTATTCTGGAAGGAGATGTCACAGGTTGTATTACTCAAGTATGCTGATTTTTTATTGAGGTTGTGATCAAGGATGAGGAGAATGGTGCCAAGTGGTGCTTCTTTGCAGTGTATGCAAGTACTGATGAGCGAGTACGGAGATCACAATGGCAAATATTACAGGATAGGATGGCCCAGTGTCAGGAGGCTTGCCTACTTATGGGAGATTTCAATGATATTATGGACGTATCTGAGAAGCGTGGGGGTTTGCCACGAACGGAACGAAGCTTGTATGATTTTTCCATGTTTGTAGTGAATAGTCACCTGTTGGATTTGGGATATGTGGGTCATCCGTTTACTTGGAGGAACAAGCAGCAGGAGGGAGGCATAATGGAACGCTTGGATAGGGGTTTTGGGAATGATCAATGGGTTACACTGTATCCGGCTGCTACAGTACATCATGTGGTGGTGCCTGGCTCTAACCATGTGCTGCTCTTACTACAAACCCAAAGTCCAGGTAGGAAATGGCGTAAAAGATTTATTTTTGATCATCGCTAGGGGGATTCAGAGGAGTGCCGAAAAGTGGTAGAAGAGAGATGGTGCAGACAGTTTCCGGGGTCAAGGGGGCTACAAATTTCGGGGAAATTATGCTGGGTTAGGAAGGGGATTTTGGATTGGAGAAGAAGTGAATGGAGAATTTCCAAGGCTACTATTGCTCTCTTACAACAACAACTCAAAGCTACTTATCTGGCTCCTGACTTTGATCGTGATGAGGTCTTGCAGTTGGAGAGTAGCCTTAAAGAGGCGTTCTGGGAGGAAGAGGTATATTGGAAGCTTAAATCTCGAGTCCAATGGCTTAATTAAGGAGAAAAGAACACAAAATTTTTTCATTCTAAGACGCTTGCTCGTCGTCGTGCAAATAGGATGGTGGGTTTAGAAGATTCTGCAGGACGATGGTGTACGGATGATAGTGAATTTAAACCACTAATCCTTTCCTATTTTCAGGAGATTTTTACCATGTGTTCCCCTTCGAATATAGAGTACATTACTGATTGTGTTCAGCCACGGGTGACCATGCAACAGAGCTTGACACCGCAAATCTCATCTGAAGAGATTTGGCTAGCAGTGAAATCCTTGAACCCTACAAAGTCGCCGGGTCCAGATGGATTTACGGGGAAATTCTTCCAACAGTATTGGGATGTGGTTGGTGAGGATATCAGTGGAATGGTCAAGAGTTTTTTTTCACTCCGGGAAGCTTCATAGAACTCTTAATCATACTCATCTCGTCTTGATCCCGAAGATTGCTACTCCAAGGAAGATGACACAGTGGAGACCAATTGCTTTATGCAATTTGGTGTATAAAATTAGATCCAAGATTTTAACTGCTAGGCTCAAAGTTTTGCTACCTGAGATCATCAGTCTCAATCAATCTGCCTTTATTGAAGACCGCTTAATTACAGATAATATTTTAATTGTTCACGAGATACTTCATTCACTTAAGAAGGAGGGTGGACTGGGGAGATCCAGTTTGGCTCTGAAACTAGATATGGCAAAAACTTATGACCGGGTTGAATGGCCATTTGTGGAGCATATGATGAGAAGGTTGGGAATTGATTTTGTCTTTCGGAGTTGGGTCATGGAGTGCGTGTCTACTGTAACATATAGTGTGATTGTTAATGGTGAGGCTACAGGACATATTTTACCTTCCATTATGTGCTGAGGGCTTGTCAGCTATGATTAAGAAGCAGGAAGAGCGGGGTGCCTTGCAGGGCTTCCGATTTCATCCGCAATGAGGTAGTATTTCACACTTGTTCTTCGCCGATGATTCGGTTATATTTTGCAAAGCTAATGAACGTGAGGCTAGGTGCTTGAAAAATATTCTAGTTGACTATGAGAAGGGGTTAGGTCAGTGTATTAATTTTGATAAAAGTTCCCTCTTGTTTGGGAAAAAATGCCTAGCTCGTGTCCGGAAGCAAGTGGGAGAAATATTACAGGTACAACAAAAGGATGGGTTCGGACGATATTTGGGCCTCTCTGCAGATTTTGGTGCGTCAAAACAGCGGGTCTTTGAGGAGGTACGCAACAAAATTAATGCCAAGCTTATGGGGTGGTCTGAACAATATTTATCGCAAGCTGGGAAGGAAGTGCTAATCAAAGCCGTGGCCATGGCTATGCCGAATAATGCTATGTCATGTTTTCAGTTACCCATTAATTTATGCAAGGAGATAGAGAGGGAGATCATTCGGTATTGGTGGAAGGGGCACAAGGAGCATAAGGGTATCCACTGGGTTGGTTGGCAACGTCTCAGTATGTTGAAAGAAGCTGGGGGTATGGGCTTTCGAGACCTTAGATGCTTCAACCTAGCCATGCTTGCAAAAATTGGTTGGCAAATTATCAAACACCCTGACTCACTGCTGGCCACTACTTATCGGGACAAGTATTTTAGATCTTCAGATTTCATGAGCGCTGGTGGTGGTTGTGGGACGTCGTGGGGGTGGAAGGGTATTTTGCAAGGACGGAAAATATTGGAGGCAGGCATGAGATGGCGTATAGGCAATGGACATCAAGTTCGTACCTGTATAGATAAATGGGTATCCTCCCCTTCTTCCTTTAAGATTTATTCTAGACACCCAGAGATACTTGTTTGGGTGCAGGGACTTATTGACGATCAAACGAAGATGTGGAATCGAGATCTTATTTTGCGGTGTTTCAATAGTGCGGATGCCCAGACCATATTATCATTACCTCTTAGCAGGTGGGGCTGTGATGACAGACTAGTGTGGCATTTTACTACGCATGGTGGATACTCAGTTCATACCGGCTATGAATTTGCTCTAACCTTACGGAAAAGTGGTGAGTTGGGGGGGAAAGTGGAAGGGGAGTGTAGCTATGGAAATGATCGAAAGAAATTTTGGAAGAGCATTTGGAGATTGCAAGTACCGCCTAAAATTCGAGCATTTGTTTGGAGGAGTTGTCGAAATGCTTTAGCAGTAAAAGGAAACTTGCGGCGTCGATCGGTTGATGTTGATAATACCTGCGTCCTTTGTGGCTGTGAAGGAGAGTCTCAAGTCCATATTTTCTTTCGATGTGAGCATGCTAGAGTTTTTTGGTTTGGAAGTTCCATACAGCTGGATGCTTCATAGTTGATTGGGGAGGAGTTTAGTGAGTGCTGGGACAACTTATTACAGAAGTATGAGAAGCATCGGAACTCTCAAGAAATTTTACAGGTGGTGGTTTTTGGGTTATGGAGGCTGTGGAAAACAAGAAATAATGCAGTGTTTGAAGGCTCTGTCATGGACCCTACAACGATGGTGGGATGTCTCCATGCGCAGGTGCAAGAGGATCGGGCTGCCCGGGTGGCTGCCAAGCCATTGATTAACGAGTTACCCTGTCCGCCAGATCGTGTTCAACAGGTGCCTACTGCCTGGACTAAGCCGCCACATGGTTGGGTTAAGGCTAATTGTGACGGAGCTTGGCTACAGCAGACGCAAAAGGGAGGGGTTGGTTGGGTTATTAGAGATTCTGATGGGTGGCTGGTGCAGACAGGGGGTGTAGGGGGATTATGGGGTAGTATGGCCTTGATGATGGAGGCAGAGGCGATAAGAGAAGCCTTGCTGGCTTGCATTAGGGGTCGACTGGTGTATGTGGAGATTGAATCTGACTCGATGCAATTGATCCAGATGCTTAGAGGGGAGCGTCAAGTCGATGTTGCGGTGGAGGCTATGGTGTTTGATATTAAGGTGCTTGCTGGCAGGCTCCAACAGGTTGTTTTTTTAGCTACTCCCCCGTCAGTGTAATAAGGCAGCGCACGAGGTTGCGGCCTTTGTGTCTAGAGTAGGTGGTAACCACATTTGGGACCGAGTGTGGCCCGAGTGGATCTTTGATATTTTAGCTAGTGATGTAAACTTAGCTATTCGACTCTAATAAAACTTTCTTCGTTAAAAGCAAAAAAAAAAAAAAAAAAAAAAAAAAGTTTAAGCTGATGATTTCTCACTTCTCTTTTGTCCACTTACACTTCGTTTTATTTTTTTAATACTTTTTACTATAACATATAAAGAAGTGTAAGTAGACAAAAGAGCAGTGAAAACATACAATTTCCAATAAAAGGAATGTAAGTTGACAAAAGATAAGTGGAAAAATCAGCTCTCAACTTTTAAAGACTATGTAAAAGTCACAGTTGAATTCCTCCTCACTTTTAAACTCATTAAAAATGGTTGAATACCTCCTCACTTTAAAAGTTAGAATTGGATACACCCAATTTAAACGCTTTTGTTTCCATAACTTCTTTTACAAGCTGCTTTACTTTATTAAAAAAAAAAAAAAAAAAAAAAAAAAAAAAGCTTTACTTTATTTTTTTTTCCTGAGCTTTTTCGTTTTTCTTTTTGCTATTACTTTCCTCTTCTTCACTCTCTCTCTCTCCTTGTTTCTTCCATTTTTTTCTACCTCTAATTGTCTGCGCGTGGGTTTTTGCAGAAAAGAAAATCCTCTTATTTCTTCACTCACACTCTCTCTTTCTCTCCCCTCTCACCTGAAGATGTGTATTAAGATATTAGGATCCCTACTAGGATTTCGACATCGAGGAGGCTTTGACTCATCTACTGATGATGATGATGATACAAAAACAAGAACAACCAGAGTCAAATGCCCGTTTTGCTCCAAATGCTTCAAAGTCAATAATACTACTGAATGCCCAGAACCAAATGCTCGAGACTTCACCTCTCAAAATGAGGACAAGGTTAAAGAATATGACCCATCCAGGATTAGAGCTCCTTGTGAAAGTTCAACTATATTAATGAATAACGGTGAAGATTCTACAACAGAAAAGAAGGGTTTTGTGCCAAATGTTCAAACTGCAGTTTCTACTGCGTCAAACTCTGTTTTTCGTCCTCCACAAAAGAAAGGGGCATTCAGGATGAATGCACTTGAGGTATCTTCTATGGTTCCCTGATAATCTTAAGCATCTTGGGTTGTTATTGTATTCCTTATCCTGTGCATGTTCACGGCTTCAAATTGATGTATTTTAACCTTATGGGTATGGTTTCTAGGAGGAGCTGGATGATGATGACAATTCTGAGGTGGAGACTTTCTCGATCGACAAGAGCAGCGTTGCTACTGCAACTGTTACACTGGAGAAGCCTCCAGCTTTCTCTGCTCTCTCTGATGAGTCTATGCTTGCTGAGAATGGGGCCAACTCCACCGGCACTAGTGCATCGTCGTACAGCAAGATAGTATCTACCCAGCCATCCTTTACATATGATAAAGTTGCTCCACCAGAAGAATCAAATGCTGATCCTTCAATGGTTAACTTTTGGGGTAAAGTTACTTCAATGAAGGATTCAGATGCAGCTTCTCCTGTGTTTAACTATGTCTCTAAGAGTGTTGACGAAGTTGCACAGCCACAGTTTGCTTTCGCTTCGTCACCCGCAGTTGATGAATCTGTTGACGTAAAATCTGGTGCCTTTTCAGTCCCCAAACCTGAAAGCTCAAGCAGGTCCGTATGATAATTTGCCTATTTTCTTTTTAATATTCTCGTACTGTTGAAAAGCATTGTTGAAGGCCCTTGGTTGCTTATGTTTTCTTTATAAAAAGAGATTGAAGTGTATAAACAAACCTAGGCTTCTGAAGGATTTTCCTTCAAAGGAATGGCAAATTGATAAGAACTGTATGAATATCTTTCGGTTGGTAGTTGTGACCAGGAAGGCAGGTTGCCTCTAAATATCAGTTTAAAGTGCTCACTTAAGTGTGGCAACGAAATTAAGATATTGATGGATGTAGTGAACCAAATTCAAGTTCCAACTCGTTGTTTTACCTTCTATCTCCATATGAGGATCCTCAGTGACCGAAAGCATTCCAAAAATTAATTTTAGTAACATTTTAACCACTCCAGGAAATAAACTTACTGTGTAGAAGATCACCACCAGCACCAAAGGAATAGGGTTACCACGTCCATCTTCTGCTAGCAATTTTCTGAAATCTCAATAGTCAATTTCTTTACAAGTAAGACCTACATCTAGATCAATTCAGAAAAAAAGTAAAAAACAATGATACTGGGTTGTGGAGCAAGTGCTTGGAATACCTTTAAAATTATGGTTTCCCCCTGCCTTAATGCTTGTGTACTTTTGTTGCCCACCAGAATTCACTGGTGGCTGTGTGGTGATTTAGGGTTTGAAAAATGGGTTTGAGGGGCTGCTTCTGTGTGGGTGACGATGGATACAAGCTCTTAACTGGACAACGAAAGAGAAACGAACACTTTTTCCTTTAGTTTCAAAATGTAATCAGTGGTATCATGTGGAAATCTCAGTCAAAAATATTGGTGTTACTAATTTTTATGTTCACCAAAAATTTACTGTTTTATTTATTTATATATCTATGCTTTCATCTGCAGTGTATCTGCCGTTGTAGCTGCTGCAACAAATTCTGTAGCTACACTGCAGTGTGTCTGTTTTCTGTGTACTCTGCTATTTGTAACATAAAAGGAAACAGCTGTGAATTTGTCCAAGCTTCTCTGCTGGCCGCCTACTGATTTTTTCCAGGATGCAGGGGATACGTGATGCAGCAGTGGGCACATTTCTTGGGTCTTAATCAAATTAGCTTCTTTGCACATCAATATATTATTTATTTATTTTAGATATCTTGTGTTTTGCTCGTATTGAATGATTTTGTGTGTTGTAAGAACGTGTCTTTTGCTTTTTGTTTACATGTGCTGGGACTGTCAAGTTTGGAAATGTGCATTAGGGTTATACGCCCGAGCGCGTGACGCTAGCATATTCGTATTTCATGTTTATATTACTGTTGACTGATATTGAAAAGAGTTAAGGGGAAACAGATTTTAACATCGTTCATCCCAAATGTGCCGTGTTTGTATTTCTGGCGTAATTTGTTCTATCACTTGTCTTCATTCATTTAGTGATTCGATTTTGAGAAAAGTTTTGGCAACTGATTATTTTATTTATTTTTATTTTTTGGGTCTCACTGTTCTCTTCTCTTTCTGGTAAATATAAGAAAAACATGCATATATTATGCAACTTGTAATATAATATATGAATTTAATCAAACTAAATGTTTAACAAAAATAAAAGCCAAGGTGTAATGAGAGAGTTAAACGTACATGGATGAACAATAGAACAGAAAGTCATATTTAAAGGGACTATAATGTTGAATGAGCCAAATAGCTTCAATTCCTATCTATGCATGCCACAGCTACTGCTGTTCATGTATTTTCTTATGAATGACTTTCTGCACTTCCGGTTCCAGGGCAATTATTTGCCCCAGCATTTTGTTCCATTCTCCCCACAACATGTCTTTCACAACATGTTCAGCTTCAACCTAATGCATTAATCAGAGACTCACACGACCCATTTTAACGTTTCTTCACTGAAGTTGGATTTTCCGTTCTTTTTACAGTAAGAAATTTAAAAGTATTTAGGAATTCATAAACGACGGAATTCAAAATGATGGAAATCAATGTTCCATAATTTGTAAACTTATTTTTCTTTTTGTAAAAAGTGAAAGACAACCAACATAAAAAATAACATTGTTTTCTTTCTCCGCAAGATTTCATTTTCAGTTATTTTTAGGTCACGCGCTCTCTGATTTTCTCTTCTCTAGGTGTCATATAAAGTGAGTGTATTCCTCTTTATCTCGAACACCTATGTATAACCTGCATGGTTAACATCTTCTTGGGGTTCGTACTATGAGTTTGTTCTTTCACGTTTATTCTCAAATGGAATTGCCTCTTTCCATTTTTGGCCAATGATATTATCAACATTTAATAATAGAACGTGGTTCCAATCAACATAGGCCATTGATGATTTGAGTAGCTACTCTAGAATCAAAAAATTGTCATTCAACAATTCGTGATCCCACCATTCTCATGTGCATGCGCATACATCAATTATAAGCATTTCTTTGCCTTTGGGTACACAAGCCATTTTAGGGCCTTTCGTTGTCTCTTTCCAGACAAACATCTCTTATAAGATAATTATGTGAGAATGTGGATTAACCTTCAATGAAGTGTTATTTTATAATAGGACGTGGATAATCTCCATTTAAGGAGTTGGAACATTTAGAACCCATATATATGTCATGCTGCATGCATGCCACATATTAATACACACATGTCAATGAATTGTCATTATGGGACTTTAAACTATATAATTTGCTACGCATTAGATGTGCACCATATTAATACTGACATGTTAATGGATTGTCCTTTCGGGACCTAAATCCATATCATTTGCTACACAGTAGGCGTGCATCTCATTGATCTCATGTTTTGCTCATCTGAGGCTTTAATCTATGCAATGTATTATTAATGTATTTAAATTGCAAATTGTAACATTTGCATTAATAATTCATGAATACATATCAGGATGATACAAGCCATTCTTCTAGAACGGTCATAATACAAGTCGTTCTTTTAGAATGATCTATAATGCAAGTCACTCTTCTGGAATGGTCATTTGCATGGCGTTCTTCTGGAACGGTCTTATCTCCCCATTTTGTCGTAACCGAAGATGACATACAAAATATCAGAATATTACTAAGAGTACAGACATGAAATAACAAAAGTATTGCTTACATCTTTTGGTATGAAAATTTTTACTCAGAGATTCTTCAATAAGAATTATAAGGAAGAGATATACCAAGATTGAAACTCTCCAAGAACCTCAGTTGGTGAGCAAGTTGTGCTGATAAAGTGTTATATAATTAAGAGGATATTTGGAGAGAAATTGGGAAGAAGAGAAAATAATTATAGAATAACAATTCTCAAGAGCTCAACTATGAGTTCCTACTCATCTAGTCTTGTGTGTCTTTCATTCATCTTTGGTGCCTATTTATAGGCATGAAAAATACATAGTTTACTACCATAAGTGGTCATATACATCATTGGTCATAGATGGTGGGGTGAGTCACTTATTAGGTATTAGGTATGATCAGGACATTCGCTTATCCCTGTAAAACATGGATTTACAAAAAAAAAAATCATTATTAAAAAAAAAGTTAAGAAACTAGAGAGAGAGACAAAAAGAGAAAGAGAAAGGGAGAGAAAGGAAGGAAAAAAAATTCTTGTAACGTTGATAACACTATTTTGATATTCCGACCAATAACACAATGACACATGAAAAAATTATTCAATGTGTCATTGTTTTATTGGCCAGTATAGTAAAAAGTGTTATTCCTGTTATATGAGAGTTTTTCTCGAGAGGAAGAGGGAGAGTAAGAGAGGACCAACCAATTGATTCTTCATTAGATGTGTGGGCTCCACATATGTGCAACGTCATCAATTTAACGAAGTTTTTGATAGAGTTACCAATTTGATGTAGACGTAGTTAACGTCAAGGACCAATGTCACAAAAAAAAAAAAAAAAAAAAAAAAAAAAAAAAAAAACAAAAAAAATAATGATTCGCTGAACATGAGGTAACATTTGTGATATAAAAAAACCCAAAGAAAAAGAGTTTTTTTATTTAAACCCCACACTTTTCTTTGTTCACCCCAATACTTAAATCATTAAGTTCTTAAGTTTTATTATTGTGTAAAAAGACAAAAAAGGTCATCCAACACACTCCACACACTCCACCACTCTTCTTCTTCAAATTAAGCAAGTAATTTTTGTTGCGATTAAATAAAAAGCCATATAAGGATAGCCAACAGCTCTTTGTTACAAAAAACAGAGCCCACCGCTCTGTTATTTCCAAAAAAAAAAATAATTGCGGTTCTTCTTTCTGAGCACAGTCCATCTCATGCCATGTGTTGTGCCTGGCTATCCTACCTACAGTCAAATGGTCATGTAAAAATTACTTGTTCGTTTCCTTGAACTGATCTGAAAATCCACAATAAATATGTTGTTGGCAGAGATTCAAAGTCTTTACCATGTTCTGTGCGCCAAGAATGACGAATGTTGGTTTGTGTAGGTGTCCAAATCTGTAAACATTTGATTAAACATAATCATTCCAACCTCCAAGCATTTGATTGGTATAGTCCATATCGAGATCGCATTGACAATTGGAAAGAGCTTGTCGATTCATTTGATAGTAGGGTGTGAGGTTGATGAGTTTTGTAATATATATTTTTTTTTGCTCGATATGTATTTAAGGGTAATTTGGAAAGATAATGAGGTTTTCTTAGAAATTATGAAAATTTGAATTAAAAGTTGGAGTGAACTTAAAATATATAGAGTGAAGAAAGAAATTGCAGGGTTTAAATAGAAAAACTAAAAAAAAACAGTGCTTATTTGCATTTGGCAGTGAAAAGAAAGGAACAGGGTTTAGAAGCAAAGCTGGTTTATTCAGCAGAGCGAAGCTGGCAACGCCGCCCTGACCCAAATGTGGAGGAAAGCCATAGCAACAACAGCAAGAGGCGTCGGCGCACTCCACTACCCATGGCGCACGATAGCACACGGCCACTCAACCGCCGTCTCCCCCTCCGACGCCGTCAACTCCATCCTTCTCCGCTCCCTCAAAGAGCACTATCTCGACGTCACGAAAATGAACCCTCCTCCCAAAATCAACCCTCCGTCGCCGTTCACCGTCGTTCAGGGCTCGCTCGACGGCAATGGCCCGGCGCTCAAGCGGACTTTCGGCGACGAAGAGATCACCATATCGGTGATGCGATTGGCTAATATTGTGCCCGGCGATGGCGGAGAAGACGACGGCGCTGACGATGGTGATGACATCAACCAGTTGTTCCTGCACGTCGACGTTTCGAAACCCGGGCAGAAGGAGTCTCTGCATTTTCTTTGTGGGTTATATCCGGACGCTTTGGGGATTCACTCTGTTTCCATGCGCCCCAAAGCTGATGCTGCGAGCTCTGTTGAAGACGGTTCCTCCTATACTGGTCCTGTTTTTGAGTAAGCCATCTTCCTCTTCTTGTTCAATTTTGGCAATTTGGTTTTATATTTAGTGTTTGTGGTTGCATTTGCAGAAGACCAAAACTGGTAATTAGCCTTTGAAAAGTGAGAAGAGCTACTATTTTGTTATGGGTAATCTTCAACATAATGTTCTTTTGCTAGAAAATTTGGAAAAGAGATTGTTATAGAGTGAATCATATTTGTGATATTTCAGTGAGATTGGAAGCGTATACATTTGTTTGCATGTTTAGTTTTCATGGCGGTGGATTAATTAATCTTGATTTTGCATCTTTGCATTTGGCATAATATGGAACTAGGAGCCAGATTGTAAGAGTATAACAAACTTCATTTGTAGCCTAGGATTTTTCTTCTTCTTCTTTTTAATAGGGTCGATGTGCCTTAAATTTTAAAAGCATAAAATCGTGTATTATGTTATGAAAAAGGATTCAATTATGTGGTAACTCTTCTCCTCGAACAAAAGTAAAAAATAATGTGGTAACTGTCTAATACGACGGCAAATTGTACCGATACTTAAACATGTGGAAATTTATGCAAGCAAATATTTTCAGAAAAGGTTTCGGTTCCCAGCAAGGGTGAACCATATGGTGCTACTTTCCAATGAGTTTACTTAAAGTTGTTTCTTTTTTATGTTTTGTTAAATGGCATCTGCTTGTGGGTCTCAGAAGTAATGCTTCTTTCTGCTTGTGGGCATGCTTCATTGTTGTTCCTGGCCTTTGAATCTAATCTCCTTCATTCCTTTTTAACTGAAAAGCTAATCTTTTGGCCTCAATGTAGTATCTATTTGATAAAAACCTATGTACTTTTGGTTATCGTATAGACTAAAAATTATGTAGATACACAGGAAGAAGGGAATATAATTAAAAAGAAAGGAAGAGAAGAGGATGGCATACATCATTGATCTCAGTGTTCTTCACTGAATAAAGTATGTGGATTTTTGTTATTAATACATTGAGATTGCTGGTCTTGAAAACATCTCTAGCTCAACGGTGACTATATTTTTGTGACTGGGGAGTTTGTTTTCTGAGGCTGTAATTCTTGTGGAAAGGTATACAGCTAAAGTTCAGATCATCCTCAAAGAGTTATATGTTTGGCAGATTCTTTCATGGTAAAATGTTATCTAACAATTCTAAGCTTACATTATACCACCACGTTACTCCTAACAATGTCTAATTTATTTTTTGTACTTCTGTTCTTGAGTCATCATGCTGTCACATGCATTTTCTTGGAATGATTCATCCCTCAGTGCTGCTCCGTAATGTGCTTGAGTCACTGAAATATCTCGCCTTCTATTTTGTAAATCTTTTTGGCCCTTTAGAAATTAAATCTGTAATGTGCTCTGATTTATGCATACGAAACTGATGTATATATGGCTTGAATTGTCCTCCAATTGGCAGAGATCTCGATGAAAAGATAAGGGATGCATTTCACAACTACATAGAAGAGCGGGGTGTGGGTGATAGTCTCTTTCCATTTCTTCGAGCATGGCTATACGTTAAGGATCATCGTAATCTTATGCGGTGGTTCAAATCAGTGGGAACATTCATTAATGAAAACAAGACAGCAGTTAAGGATTCTTAGTTTCATAAGGTGGTTTAGAAAGAAAAAAAAAAGTATTTAGCAGTTTCAGTGCCAGTTTGATCTCAACACTAATTTTTCCTGATATGGTTGGTTAGTACAGGTTAAGTACTTTTTTTTTTGATAGGACAGTTTAAGTTCTTTGGTATTACTGTTTTGTAACCAACATGCTAATATATATGTTGCTGTGTTTGAATTAGAGATGTTATGCTTATTATGTAATTCTAAATCCATCTCATATTCGATTTCCCTCGTTAAAAGAATTAATCTATATGTTACCGCGGTGTATGTTGATTAGTATTTTGGTATTGATTTTCATTTCTGGTGGTTCCTCTTTAGGTTTTTTTGAAATGGATTTTTTCACAAATACCATGCGGAGGAGTATAGGGGTTGTGCGCAAATACCACCAAGGAAAAAGTTTTAGCAATGTCACAGAGACTTTGCGACTGGTAGCAAATGTGCCGCCTCTGATAGATTCCATCCATTTTTGGTTAAGATGATTACATGGAATACATAATCCAGACATGCATGGCTTTTGAAAACAGAGCTCTGCGCAGAAAACCAGTATAAGCAGAGAGAGAAAACCATGACAGAAAGTAGATAACACCATAGCCTCTTCTTGTTCATCCATAACACCTAATTCTCAGCAGCAACCCAGCTATTATTTCCCTACCATGGTCTTTAAGGTTAAAGGCCCTGATAGTATTGGATGGAATGTTATCTTTGCCATTACATGTTGGCAGCCACTGAGTTCACAACCCAACAGCCACCGAAGCCACGACCCATGGAGGGACATGGAAAATGGAGACAGACTTCCCCAAACCATTTATCCAAATCCAATTCTTTAATTCTCATATTCCTAAGTTCCGATTCATCCTCCCTTTTCCTAATAAGTAAACATATTATCATAAAAGAAAAGAAATACGTGGAAAGTATGAAAATGCAGCCTGTCAATTTTAGGAAGTAATTTTAACGATTTTGGTGATCCATATATTATCAAGATTTGGAGAATCCAGAGATTCTAGGAATATCAATAAAAGCGAAAGAATTTTACCTGAATTAGCGGGAACAGATACCAGAGGTAACAGTAGAAATATGCACTAGTTGAAGGACACCTTGTGCAATTCCACTTGAATTCTAAGTAGAAAAAGAGACGTTGGTTCTTAGGACTGCCGGCATCTCTCTCTCTCTCTCTCACTCTCCCTAGAGTTATTTTGTCCATTCCACAGACGGCAAATTCCAACTATAGAAGTGCATTTAAATTCTAACTCCATTGCACTTCTTTTATCTGTCTCTTTCAGTTTCTGCCAATTTCCTTCATCCCAATCCTAAAAAAATTCAAAACCCATTTCCAATTATCATCTCGAAACTCCATTTTATATTTCAAATTTCAATCTCTCTGTTTAATCTTCATTACCCATTTCTTTAAATTTCAAATTCTACCACCCAATGTAGACTCTTTTTGTTTATATCCATTTGTCATGTTTTAGCCTAATCCTTGGTATATATTGGCATCCAAGTAGGCAATGGTGGTGAAGATGATGAGGTGGCCACCATGGCCACCAATTTCCACCAAGAAATTTGAGGTAGTGATTGTCGTAGGCAGGCTTGAGGGATTGGATACAACTCAATTTGAGGGTGAGAGAAGAGCTGTGGTTGAGGTTAAATGGAAGGGCCAGAAGGGTAAGGCTTTGGGGTCTTTGAGACGATCTGTGAAGAGGAATTTCACCAAAGAAGGTGGAATTAGAGATGATGGGGTGGTGGAATTGCAAGAGGAGTTTAGGAGTTTGTGCAGTTTTTCTGGTTATAAGGAGGGTATGTTTTACCCTTGGGAGCTTTCATTTACAGTCTACAATGTGAGTCTCTCTGCTTTCAATTCATCTTCTTGTTTTTTTCTTCTTTTGTTCTGTTTTTTTGGTAGCAGCAGGAAAATCTTTTGTAGCTCGGTTGTCTCTTTTTGAGATTGATCATATTATGATGTTGTAATTGTTTGTTTATACGATTCTTTTGTTTAAGGTTTGTCAATTAACTTTTGTTTTGCCTCATCCATCATGTGATTTCTTGATGATGTCAATGATTTTGTTTTAATGAATTAGGCTGAAAACAAAGGATTGAGAAACAGAGTTGGTGTTTATGGAACTGCATCATTGAACCTAGCGCAGTATGCTTCGGTGTCTGCGGAAAAGGAACTTGGGCTCAACATTCCTCTTAATGTTCTTGTTGTGGCCTCAGAGTCTAAGCCATCACTTTCTGTATGTACTGCCCATGTTTAAATTAAACTTCTATGTTCATCACCTTTTGCCAGGTTAGGTTCTTTTTGCCTTTTCTAAATTTGAATAATATGTCTTATGTTAAGTTCCTTGATAACCGCAGATATCTCTGAGCATATTGGAAATGAAAGCCACTCAAGAATTTTCTGAGACAGTGCCGGGATCAATACTTTCTGACGAAGCTATTTCCACAGAAAAGGATGAGTTGTCTCCTCTTAAAGCAGGACTGAGAAAGGTGAAAATCCTTAGAGATTATGTTTCATTTGGTAAATCAAAGAAGGCATGCGTTGAGGAAGATAGCAGTGATAGTAGGAGTTCCGCTAGAAGTGAGGATGCTGCATCCAACTATCCATTTGACAGAGATTCACTTGATGATGATGGGCGGGAGGAATCAGAGTGGAGTAAGGAGGACTCCAGTGTCAGGCAGTCAATTAGTTATGAAACGCTAGCCTATGCAAACTTTGCTGGTGGCTTGTTTTACTCCAATACTAATGGTAATGGCCAAGATGACTTTTGGGTCCACTATAGCAACCGTAAATTAGATATAGGTGGCTTGCATGTTGACAATTCTAGTGCACCAGTCTACCGGCCAAACTCGTGGCGGAGTTCCAAGGGAAGAATCCTACAATGGAACAAGAGGAAATTGAGCTTCAGATCTCCTAAAGCCAAAGGGGAGTCTCTTCTGAAGAAACATTATGGAGAAGAGGGTGGAGATGATATTGATTTTGATCGCAGGCAGCTTAGTTCCTCTGATGAATCCAGTTTTGGGGTACGTAATGCAATGTCTCACTGTTGTTTTCTGTACATGTTTTTGCTTGTCTTCATTACTGTATTGATTTTTTAAAACATTTTTTTTTAAACTTTGAAAGTCACATCACACAGAAAGTTCCATTTCTGAATTCGGAGATGAGAATTTTTCTGTTGGCATTTGGGAGCATAAGGAAGTGATAAGCCGTGATGGACATATGAAGCTTCAAACTCAAGTATTTTTTGCTTCAATTGATCAGCGAAGTGAACGTGCTGCTGGAGAGAGTGCATGCACGGCCCTGGTTGCAGTCATTACAGATTGGTTGAAATCCAACAGAAATGAGATGCCTATCAAGTGTGAATTTGATAGTCTCATTAGAGATGGATCATCAGAGTGGAGAACTCTCTGTGATAACGAGGCCTACATAGAGCATTTCCCTGATAAGCACTTTGATCTTGAGACCATCCTTCAAGCTAAAATTCGTCCTCTGTCTGTAGTTCCAGAGAAGTCTTTCATAGGATTCTTCCATCCTGAAGAACTAGAAAACAGGAATTTTGACTTCCTTCTGGGTGCCATGTCCTTCGATAGCATATGGGATGAGATCAGTCGTTCTGCATCAGAATGTGCATGCAATAGTGAACCTCTGGTCTACATTGTGAGTTGGAACGACCATTTCTTCATACTAAAGGTAGAGCAGGATGATTTTTACATAATTGACACATTAGGGGAGAGGTTGTATGAAGGTTGCAACCAGGCCTATATCCTGAAATTTGACAAAGACACAACAATCCAAAGATTACCAAGTGAGACTAAAGCATCAGATGAGAAATCTGGAAATCAGGTGCGACCGAACAACTGTAAGGAAACTAAGGCTGAAGGGGCTCTTGTATTGAGCCAGAAAGATTTAGAAAATAGTGATGTGGAAGAGGAGGTTGTATGCAAAGGCAAAGAAGCTTGCAAAGAGTATATTAAGAGCTTTTTGGCTGCTATCCCGATAAGGGAAATGCTGGCAGATCTTAAGAAGGGTTTGATGGCATCAACACCTCTTCATCATCGTCTACAAATTGAATTCCATTGTACCAAGCTCTTGCAGTCAATGGATGAATATTCTGTAAAAGAAACAGCAGCTACTGCACCAGCAATGGCAGTTGCATAATCACTTTACATAGTTTCCAGCAATTGTTAATACCCTTAGGTTTTTTTTTAATGGATCAAGAATGAGAGAAGCTCAATGTAAATAGAGAACTGATAACACGTTATTTCTTTGTTTATTATTATTAGCAATAACTCACACACAAAAAAAAAAAAAAAAAAAAAAAAAGGAAGGTAGGCAAGGCTTTACAGCATTCTTTCCGTTGACATCCTTAAGTGTCCCACAGATTGTTCCTTCTTCTCGTTGTGATTCCGAAATTCTCAGCCATGTCAAGGGCTTCTGATTTAGTATCATTTGGAAGTACAAGTTGAGCAAGTCCAAGCTCAATGTTTGAAGTAGCAAATGAGATGCCTGGACAAATCCTCCTACCAGCACCAAATGGGAGCAACTCGAAACTGTTCCCTTTGAAGCCTATGGAAGAACCTTCAAAACGCTGGTTGATGGAATTTCAGATAAGCCCAAATTTTTGGATCTCTCCCTATTGCATATGCATTGTGGAGGATTTTGGCCTTAGCTGGTATTATATATGATATATCCACTAATTTTGCATCTTTCCTTAGCTTCTCTTGGGATGAAAGGACGTGGAGGGTGTAGTCGAAATGTTTCTTTGATGACTAGTTTCAAGTAATCTAGCTTTTGAATGTCATCCTCTTCAATTTTTTTCTTTCCCTTGAATGCTAGTCGCACCTAGGATTGTGCCTTCTCCATTACTCTCGGGTTTCTTAGTAGCTCTGACATTGCCCTTTCGATTGTTGTTGCTGAAGATTCACTGCCTGCAGAGTAGATGTCCTGAAAACCATGGTGAAGTTACAATGGATTATACTATTGTACGATAAAAAGGTTTTATTGTTTGACTGTATACAGGTCTTACCATGGTGACCATTTTGATTTGATTGGTTGTGAGATGAAACTCAGGCTTATTAGCTTGCTCATAATTAAGCAGCGTGTCCACCAGATCTTGCTTATCACCATTGGTGTTGTTACTAGCTTTTTTCTTAATCTTATGTTCAGTGACAATATCTTCAAGAATCTTGTCAATTTTTTTCTGAATTTTCAGCAATGCGGGCTTTATCCCACTCATGAAACGAAGGAATGTAAGGGAAGGGTACAAATCAGAGATGTTAAAGCCTCCAACAAGAAGTATGATTTCCCCAACCAATGTCGTAAACTCATGCTGATATTAAATTTGCACTTGTTACCAAATGCTACCCTGGAAATCACTTGTCATGGTGCAAATCTTGTTGCTGAGATTTATGCTACGTCCTCCAGGTGAGGCAATGAATTCAATCAAATCCCATACCTCCTCTTCCCTTATCGATCTGAATGACCAAACATGGCTCACACGTAAGAGCATCACAGTTATCTTTCGTAGTTGTCTCCAATATTTATTGTAGGGAGAGAACACCATGCTTGAATGATCATGGGTGATTATTTCAACAGCATACACTTCAGGTCTTCGCGAGAAACTGATCTCATTTATCTTTAACATCTCTTTTGCTGCTTCCGGCGATGAAATAACGACAGCAACCCAGTTGCAGTTTCATGATAGGACCATGTTTCTTGCACAAGTTGCTCACAGCATGATGTGGTAGAGCACCAATCAACTGGTGCAAGTTCCCTATAATGTGCAGCTGTTTTGGCCCGGTAGCCAACTTGCCTTGGACTTTGGATTTCTTCCAATGTCAAAACGAATATTAAGAAGAGAGTAAAGGATGGCAATTGGAGCAGCTGGGATATTGAAGAATCCATTGACAAATTTGTCTTCAAGTTTTTATTGGAAAGAACTCCAACTCTGTTGTGGATGCTAGCTAGATGTGGTTATTGTTCTATATACAGATATAGAATTAGTAAAATACAAACGGCTTTTCAATTATTAGCTTTAAAAAATTAACTCGCTCACTCCACAATTTGGCTTCTGCAACCGATCATCAAATTGATTTCTTAATTCTTACCAAATAGGTTTGTACTTTCTTCTTTGGGGATCACATAAGTTAATACTTTGGACAAGATGAAGGAACAAAATGATTAATTTTAGAGGGATAAGTGGAGGTCTGTACTAAACGAGAAAGACTTTCATGTCATAGGGATAGCACTATTTTGCTATTCCCGACCAATAACGCTATGACGCATGATAACACTTCCACGTGGTATAACATTATTAGTTGGAGATAGCAAAACAATGCTATCCCTGTTGCAACTAAGTTTTTATTGTACTAAACCAACAAAGTGCTGCCTAAGAGAGTTGCAAGTTAAAATCAAAATAAGATTACATCATTCTTCTATTTATTACGTCATTCTTTTAGATAGTGTCTCATTTGTTGAAAGGAATATAAGTGGTGGCAATCAAATGCAAATTGTTCTTTCTTCTAACCGTTACTCCAAAATTCTCAGCCATGTCGAGGGCTTCTAGTTTAGTCCCATTTGGAAGGTTCCAGTTAAAGTGGTACAATAGTTGAGCAAGTCCAAGCTCAATGTTTGAAGTAGCAAATGAGATGCCTGGACAAATCCTCTTACCTGCACCAAATGGAAGCAATTCAAAATTGTTGCCTTTAAAGTCAATGGAAGAACCTTGAAAGCGCTCTGGTTGAAAGCATTCAGGATCTGCCCAAAGTTTTGGATCTCTCCCTATTGCATAGGCATTGATGAGGATTTTGGCCTTGGCTGGTATTGTATATCCACCAATTTCACATCTTTCCCTTGCCTCTCTCGAGATTAAAGGACCCGGAGGGTGCAACCGAAAAGTTTCCTTCATGACTAATTTCAAGTAATGTAGCTTTTGAACATCTTCCTCTTCGATTTTCTTTTTTCCTTCGAATACTTGTCGCACTTCCGATTGCACCTTCTTCATTACTCTAGGGTTTTTCAGAAGCTCTGACATTGCCCATTCCATTGTTGTTGCTGAAGTCTCACTTCCTGCTGAAAATATATCCTGAAATCATTGTGAAGTTGCAATGAATTATATGCTTGTACAATTAGGTTTTGTTAGTATATATTAAAAAATAACTTAATAATTCATCACAAAAAGTAACTTAATTAAGTACAAAAGCATTAGGGCTTTTGTATTGTTAGAGTTTTATTTGTATTGTTATGGCTTGAGATTTTTCAAGCTTTATCTATTTTTTGTTTTTTTTTGTTTTGTTTTTTTGTTATGAGTTTGCACTCTTAGTTGGGATGTCTATGCAAGAGTTTCTTCGATTATGCATGATCGTTAGTGGATGAGCCTAAGATTGTCTTAATTTGGATGTTAGATCGCTCCGTTATTGTAATGGCCCTTTGTGGCTAATGACTTTTTTTGCTGAATTATGAATGCAATTCCAAAATTTCTAAAAGAGTACAAAAGCATAACAATAGAGCTTTCCTTTCAAACCTTGTTAACTACATCATCCATGCTTGTATATGTTTCCTTTCCCAACAAGAAAACCTTTTTGGAAATTAATAATTGCTAAAATACACTGTTTTAAAATATGAAATTGCTAACAAATCATATATTTGACCACTATGAAAATGAAGAAATTCGATTTAAAGCTAGGGAAATTAGCATATCTACATTTTTCTTTCAACCAAAGTTAAGATAAGGTGGCGTTGACGCATGCATACCACATAATGATGCATATAACACTGAGCTAGCGAACTACGTAATCAAGTTAGGAATTGGTCATTTCAAATTATGTGAAGATGGATAAAATGGATCCTCCACATAATGATGCATATAACTTTATTCTTTTTTTTTTTTTTTTTTTTTTTTTTTTTTGAAATGGAAATCCATTCATAGAATCAAAGTAGCGCACATAGAACCCTAAACCCTTGAAGAAGAAAAAAAAAAAAAAAAAAAAACATGGGGGCAAAAAAACAAAAAACGTGATGGCCCAGGGAGGATTCCTGTTACCTAAATATAACCTGGCCAAGATGACGCCATTTTGGTCTAAGTGTTTAAAAAAAAATTAAAAAAAACCAATCAGTTATCCCCACCCCACCCCTAAACAGAACCCTTAACCCGATACCCAGCCAATACCAAAACCCTTAACCCCATCTCCTCTCCTCTATTGCCCGCCTGTCGCTGCTGTGTCCACCACCTGTTGTGTGTGCCCCATTATTGTTATGAAATTTCACAAAGTAAGTTCTAAAATCCTAAGCCTAAATTAATGTTATGTATGCTATATATATATATATATGTGTGTGTATATAACGTAATTAATTGAATTGAAATTAAACTTATGGCTTGATTATATTGTTTTGATTTGTTGATTAATTGATTGTATTCGTTTGAGTTTTAGATTTTTTGTGGTTAATTGGTGTGTTATTTAATTAATGTGAGTTATTATATTTGGATTATTTTATGTGCTGCTGATGTATTGCCACTGTTGTCGGAGTTATGCCGCCGTCCACTACATGTTGTGGTGCCACTATTACGTGGTTCGGAAAATTTACAATATGACCCTATGAGATTCGGATCCTGAATCCAAGAGATATTGGGGGAGAGATTCAAACACAAGAACTCAAATGCACAAATAATTGCTATTGACGACTCGAGGTACAAGCCCACTACCCAATAAAAACAATTATTGCTAGAGTGCAGAGATGGTACCATAGTGACGGCTTTGATTTGATCGGTTGTGAGACGAAACTCATGATTATTGGCCTCCTCATAATTCAGAAGCGTGTCAATCAGATCTTCCTCATCTTCACCAAGCCTACCAGAGCCTTTTCTACTGGCTTCTCTTTTCATCTTATGCTCCCTCACAATATCTTGAAGAATCTCGTCAATTTTTTTCTGAATTTTCATCAACGCAGGCTTCATCCCACTCATGGAACGAAGAAATGTAAGAGAAGGGTACAAGTCAGCGATGTTAAAGCCTCCAGCAAGAGGTATAATTTCCCCAACCAATAATGTAAACTCATGTTGGTATTTGCACTTGTTACCAAATGCTGCCCTAGAAACCACATCATTTGTCATGGTGTAAATCTTGTCACTCAAATTTATGGTATGTCCCTCGGAGGCGGCGACGAACTCGACAAGATTCCACACCTCCTCTTCCCTTATCGATTTGAACGATCGGACACGGTTAGTGCTTAAGAGCTCCATCATGGATATCTTTCGCAGTTGTCTCCAGTACTCGTTGTAAGGAGCAAACACGATGCCTGAATGATCATATGACATTATTTCAACTGCATACACTTCCGGCCTTTGCGCAAAGCTGATCTCACTTGTCTTCAAGACCTCTTTGGCTTCTTCCGGGGATGAAATGATCACGGCAAAAACTTCCCCCAGTTGCAGTTTCATGACAGGACCATGTTTGTTGCACAAGTCGGTGACAGCATGATGTGGTAGGGCACCAATAAACTGGTGCAAGTTCCCTATAATAGGCAGCTGCTTTGGCCCAGGAGGCAACTTGCTCAGGCCTTTGGCTTGAGATTTCTTCCAGTATTTGAAAATCATTAATAAGAAGAAAAGAGAAGCTAAGAAGACAAAAAAGGATGGCAATTGAAGCATCTCGGATACGGAAGAATCCATTGACAAATTTGTGTTCAAGTTTTGTTTGGTAAAGAACTGCATTTCTTGTGTGGATGCTTAGATATGTGCTCATGGTTCTATATACAAAGCCGTTTGGGATATAAATTAATTACAAATAGGCAGATTGCAGCTGGTATTGAGCTCCTAATCCTTGAGCCCCTAATCCTAGAGACTGCAGTAGCCTCCCAAAGTCAAGCCAAACACATTAATGTGGCCAACCTCATTAATGCAGCCAACCTACAACTGGTCTAGCTAACACTTTCTTCTTTTGCTGTAACCAATTTCTCTTCCTCCTTTCTCAACTCCCTCCACCATTCTCCACCTCACACCCACCACCACTTAGCAACTATAGCAACTATAGCAATTGAAGGAGATAGTGGCTGCTTTGAAAATGAAGTACAAAACTGTAATAAAACCAACCAGTTCTTGTTTCGATGGTTGGAGGGCTTTAATGGTGTGATGTACTTTTACTTATGGTTTTCTTTGGCTTTGGCTATAGTTGCTATCGCCTGGTGGTTCTGTTTTGTATTTATGCAGGATCGTTAATTCCTGTCTTGTTTTCTAATGAA